TGCATGATTTCAATGGCACGAATGTAGCAGTTCTTGGTGGTGTGTCCAGTTTTCTTGCAGTGGAAACAAGTGAGACTGGGGTCATGTTGTCTACCACGGCCACGGTTGTTTCTGTTGTTGTTTCTGTTGTTATATCTGTTGTTGCTGCTATTGTGGTTGTTGTTGTTGTTGCGATGCATGATGGCATCTAAATCCATAGGCTGTACGTCGCTGTTGATGTTGTATCTGGTGTTTGTCTGAACACCAGCACTGATCTCCGGATGATGCGCAAATTCATACGCCAAAGCATCAGAGAACAGTCTCTCCAAAGTACGTGATTCGATAGGCATGGCACGAATCGAAGCAATCAAATCCTTGTCCTTCAAACCTCTCATAAAACGATCACACTGTTCACGTTCACCGATATCCTTGATGGGAATGACAGCATCCATGAAGCGATCCACATAATCACGAATTGAATTTGTTTGGCGAATGGTAACCAGAACATCACGAGCCAAATCTTGGTCATTGGAGGGACGGAAGTTGTTGATCAAGATTTCCTTGAGTGCGGTCCAAGTGGTAGGTGTCGTGAAATGACTGTTGGGGTCTTCATGATGAGCCACAATGGTGGCAGCACGCCCAGATAACAAGGAAGAAGCAAAATTGTAGGTGCGTTCGTCAGTCCATTCATTGTGCAGCTTTTGTTTATCAATCAAACGAATCCAGGCATCAATCTCGCTTGCATTGCGATTTCCACTGTAAGTAGGTGGTGTTGGCAACTTGACAGTAGGTGCATGATTTTGTGCCTGAATGAAAGCTTTCATCATGTTGGTGAGCATGACCTGGTTTTGTTCCATAAATTGAGAGTAATCTGGTGAGATTTGAGGTTGTTCTCCTTGAGGATTGGGTGCTTGCTGATCAGCCATGTTGGGTAATATGTTGGATGTTTGATCGAGAATGAGGGAGAGTATTGATTTGAGGTGTGAAATCTTCGTTGGTTGTATTGGTTGTATAGTAGTGTAGTTTGCTGAATGTTTGTGTCAATGTATATAAACAATTCAGTATCAGGTTTGGGTTCTCCGAGCTGGTGGAATAGAAATCAACACGAGCGAGATGTATAGCAATGTATAGTGTTCAAAGATAGAAACTAGGAACGACTATGAATATAGGAGGGTTGACTATTATGATTCAGTAAATGCAAAGATCTAATATATCTGTTTCGATCTTTCCCTTTAATGAATACTTAGCCGGCGTGTCTTGCTGTTCAACTTTTGTTTACTATTCTGCTGTAGGCGACAGGATAGAAAAAAAGGAAATAAAAAAGTACGAAAGTTGCTACCAATTGTCAGATGCGAATACGTAGAGATAGTATATGCAATCTGAGATCTGATCGAGATAGATATAGATATAGATGTAGGGATTATGCAGGAATGTATATAGCCTTTTAGTTGAATGGATAAAAAGGTGCTTTATTAATATTAGATTTGAACATTGATTTTATCCAATATAGTTTGTGTAATGTTGTGCGCTATCCAGGTTAATCGCTGTTTAATGTTCCTGGTAGCTGGCGCTCTAGGTTTAAACCTGCGCTTCTTATTCTTGTTTGTGTTTAGTCTGTCAATGATATCCTGCAGATCTAAATCACTGTCAGAATACCCTTCAACCCTGACAATTTTGTCGTCTTGACAAATAAATCCAATGGTAGGAGTTAACAAATAACTTAGAGTGTAACTAATAGATTGAGATTATGTTCGAAGATACTGTTTATTGATTGCATTTACAACTTATATTTATACTATTTCTGCGATCGATAATTACTTAATCAATGGAACTTTCGAGTAGATATAGTACTTGATATAGCAACTGATAATCAGATCAATGCCTGCCATCAGTTTCCGGAACCTTCGAGGAGGAGTATACGCTGGCGCCTTTTAGTCGCTTTCTTCAAATCTGGCTTAAACCTAAATATAGGCACGACATTGCGATACGTGTGTATTTTTTTTTGGTTACTTAGCTCTATCTCGATTTCCTGAAAAGGCAATATACCTTATATGGAAAAGACGCAAGGTGGTGGATTCAAGGTGTAATTCTATACTTTATCTACTACTATGTCTTACTTGAAAGGTTACTCGTTGGTGTGGTGTTCTGGTGCATTGATACACTCATATAATTGCTATAAAATTGTAAGTTATCTCTTGATGGTGCGTTGATACTGTTATTCTAGTCGATGCAATTTTTATCTGGTGCGTTGCTAATCAATGTTGGCGTTTACTCATCGGTGTCGTTTCTATTTTGTTGTTGTTACATATCCATGTACTCGTGGTGCTCTTGTCAAGTTTAGCCGAAGATCTAATCAATATTTGGAACCGATGTTGTTGAATCGATGAATTAGTCAGGGATCTAAATGAGACTGCGCGCTGATAGCCAAGGATTATCAATTTGAACTGTGGATTTGACTCTGGACTTTGACTCAGGCTAGATACAAACCAATTGATGTTGAATCGATGCAAAATTCGAGTGGAATTGCAACAATGGAATTGGGGCTTTACTATTTTAAACAATGGATCGACTCAAGAACGTTGGTACATAAAATTGACATTAAATTAAAAGCGATCCAATTTGGGGTTACATTTTGATCAGGGCGCTGACATTCGGATCTGAATTGAGTCTGACAGGAGAAAAACAATAGAACAATAGCATATATAAATAGTATATTGAATGGCATCTTAATAAACATTATCCATTTTCTTCTTATTCTAATCTGGAGTTTAGTAGGATAAACAACAAAGATGATTTAGGATAGAATGTTCTTCCTAATAGCTTTGACGGAAGAACATTTGTCGGAAGTGAAACCCACTTCCAGGGACGAAAGGCCATAGGTGGTTACCACTCTCCAGGAACCAGGATATAGATTAGCCATTTGATGGCACCACTCATGTTCCTTCGTGCTGCTTGAATAAAGACCTCTCACTTCTACTATACATCTCAGCTCATTCTCAGATCCTCTTATGTAATATACAACGCCTAATACATTTGCCTCTCAGAGATGATCTTTATCCTAAACACAGAAGAGAACGTTTTTCATAGTAGATTTGAAGGAATAACATTTGTCAGAATTGAAATTCGCTTTCAGAGACAAAAAAAAACATGGCCTCAATACTTCAGGAACAACCAGAATACAAATTAGCCATTTGATGGCATCACTCGTGTTCCTTTGTACTGTTTGAAAGAAGAGATCTCAATATACCATGCATCTTCTCTACTCCTGGTCAATCCTTCTCCTGTATTATACGTTGTATTATACATTTGCCTCTCAGAGATGATCCATATTCTAAACAGCTGTGGAATTTGAGGCTTTATAGACTAAAATTCACGGAAAAAAAAGAATAAAAAAAACAGTAAAGTCAACTTGATAAAAGTATGTTTTATTATCAAACTGACAGGTGTAAAGTCAAACTGAAGCCTCTCTACTGGCCAGGTAGATGATCCTTCTTATATACTATAACAATGGATAAAAGTTCTATTAATTAGATTGACAAATAAGTCAACTCAGATCAACTAATATCTAATCATGCTAAAAGACAACTCCAGCAAGCTAATCATGATTTAGCTCTGTCTGGATGAATAATTAGACTCTCATCCGAAGTACCCTGATCTATCCTTTCTATAAGGATAATTAATATTGATCTAGTAGTAGCATGTATCCGATAGGTACAGTCTTCTTAGTCTATATTAATAGTACATATCTGAGTGTATATCGCTAAGCATACATCTTTAGCATGTATCTGGATATATGGCATGTCTATAGCATATCGTATGCATGTCTATAGCATGTCTCATATATAGTACAAGTCTGTAGTACATAAAGTATCTGTAGCTAGTATCACGGATATAAGCATGTGTCTTATAGCGTGGATCATGAAGTGCACATCTGAAGCAACAAGCTCATATTGCATTAATCTTGGTGCTTATCTAGATATGGTAAACATCCGTAGTCAATGCCGGAATACAAGTATAAGTCTATAGCGCCATCCATGTCCGTGGTGCCATCTATAGCCTATATCTTATTTAGTATGAATCTTATAGTACTAGTAGCGTATCTGAAGTCCATATCTTCTTATAGTATGCATCGATATCATACATCTAATCCAGTGTACATACAGTTTATATCTAAATCTTCTGCTGGTAACTGGATGAACTGTCGGAATGCAGATCATAGTGGATGTATTCCACAGGGTTATTGCAAATTCATAAAAATTCTCATTTTTCCATGAGTATTAGCAAGGGAAAATTCTTGAAAATTAAATGGTCGCGTTTTTCACGTCAAAAATGAAGACTTTTCCTATGATATATACTAGATCAAATTGACTGTAAAGATGGAATGCAACATTGGAAACTCTTTCTGTAATATCTTCGTATGCTAAATTTTGACATATTCACAGAAAACCTGTTTTCATGTTTTTGAAAATTGCTGATTATTTTTGGTCTGAAAGCTGAAAGTAATTAGCACCATTCGACGCGGCTTCTTTAGTTCTCTAGAGATGTATTAGAAAGTTGGGTGTGACAACGACAGTTTTCATAATCAAATTTAACAAAAACGTTTAAAGAATGTGAGATCAAGTCAAGTTTGAACACGAAAATGACAACTGTACGAATCCAAATTCGAGTGCCGCAGCAACAGCATGCTGTGGCAGAACACTGAGGCAGTATCTATTAGCCGTGACGTTGGATAGGGTGCCCTCTCATTTTCCCATACTCCTGTTTTTTTTCCCTTTTTGCAAAAAGCGTTTAGTATCAAACCATCATGTCGGTTCTGGAAACCGTTTGATTGATAATAACACTTCAACTTGTTATGACACTGTCTTGTGCTGTTGGAAAACCTTGATACTGCTTCTTTCAAGTGGAATATGGTAGGTACCATTCGATAACGAGCATTGGAAGGCGCAGAATTAACATTAATTGAATTTTTTTATTAGGTCTTGATGATTCTTTTTGACTGTTTGATGCAGGTGTTATTGCCATTACTTCTCTGCTACCTCTGCCGTCTGCTTCTTTGGTTCATCATGCCTGGTGGTTGCTTCTTTGGTCTTTATCTGGTCTCTGTTGTTGTTCATTCTTCGATTTTTCGATGGCGCTGGTGTTGCTGCTGCTGCTAATCTGGTTTTTCCCGGTCTGCTGTATTTGTTCTATGCTTCTTGTCTGGCTTACTTCTGGTGATTACCTGTACTCTTCTGGTCTATCTCTGTTGGTGATAAGCAGTAAGTAGCTTCTTTGATCTTTGCCTGTGCTCCGCTGATGGCGTTCATTCTATAGTTTTTCTATGATGCTGGTGTTGCTGCTGCTGCTGCTGCTAATCTGGTCTTTCCTGGTCTACTGTACTTGGTGCATGCTCGTTCTCTGCTCTATCTGTGGCTGTGGTAAGTGGTAAGTATCTTCTTTCTTCTGGTCGCAATGATATAAACTTCTTTGAACGTTTATATTATTGCTTCCTTTTTCGTGATAATGCATTCATGATGTTTGCCTTGTTGCGCTTTTTTCTTCTTTTTCTTTTGTTGGTAGTGTTTCCTCTGTAGCTTTACAGGAAACAACATTAGTCATTATGTTGTATTGCAAACTTATAATACCACTGTTGCTTTTGCAGTTGTGCGTATTTGTGTCATGTTGCTTTACATCCGACTATTACTACCATGCGCGTTGATGCTCATGTATGCATTTTCTTGCAACAGCAACGAGCTTTTTTAAACATCTTTGATGTTGTGTTTGCTATACTTTTCTTTGACTCGCTTCGTGTGAATGTATCTTTTCTGCTTACATACTACTATACTCGTATAGTAATATGCTCTTTTCTTTCTTTTATTATGTTTATGTTTCTTTGAAGCATACCTTTTTTACGTTGTGTGGATGTGCCTATCCCTGAAGCTCAACAAGACTTTATCCGAGGCTAGGAGGTAGATAGGCTGCCTCCACTTGGTTATCGCTACTTACTTTAGTGATGATTGAGGGTCTTAATGCCAGAATTTAAAGCTAGGTGGTGTAAGTAAGGCATGCTCTAGCACTTGGGGGAAATTTGATGATAGCAGCGGCTATATTGTTATTATAGCGGCGCTTAAAATTTTGCCTCACATCAGAACAGGGGGAAACCCTCGCAAATTTTTTTTAGGTCAGCGGAGTTTTCAGGCGATTTGATTGGCTCAGGGGTTGAAGAACCGAAGGGTTATAGCTAGCTGATTTTCTATTTAATACCATGAATTTGTGTTTGTAATAAAAGGGTAGCCAAATGAATACAGTTTAAATCCTTCTTTATTCAAAAATAAGATAAAGCGTGTTAAGCACAAAGAATAAAAAGATTATTATTTGTAGCTTATAAAAAATGTTCAATATTATAAAAACAAGAAAAGACTTATTTGAATAAGATCAGACACAAAAAACTAAAGATTTATTGATGAAGACAAGAGTTATTCTATTTATACTAAGTTCTGAATGCCAAAGTAGCAATTTATCTTGTACAACGCTTATCATATCTGGTGAACCTCAGTATTTAGATAGCTGAGATGCACTTCAATTATCATAGCTTGTCCATGTTGTTGCACAACACAGACATATCTACCCATCAAGAATACCTTAATTTTTATAGACAGTTGTAGCCCTTCTGGCACAACAAAGTGCAATTATGATGAATTCGTAATAATAAAGTTGATGGAGTAATCAGTTGTCAATTGTGTCTAAAACGAAAGTAAAGGACTTCTTTATGACAGGGCATCCAACTAACTTAAGTGCTATTATACATCCCTGCTCAATGACTACAACGTTGAGATGGTATATAAATAGCAGGCCGCTAGAACCTATTGATCATTGTTAGTACAGCTAGTTGAGAGATCAGCTAAGTCGATTTGTTTCATATATTGTAGGTTGATCTCAACATCTTGACATTGGCGAAATTGAATTTATTGTAGTTCTTGAGGCATTTGTGTACATACAACTGACTCGATTTGTAAACATAGATGTGATGTGATACAACAAGCATCATTTATGCTGCTACACTGTGAGAGTGGCCTGAGGAGAAAATGAATGTAACCTAGGATGCGTGCTTTTAAGCAACAACAGATTATTTGATCTGAAATTCATGACACAGTTTTATGTGAGGAATTTTTTTTTTTACATTTGTTATCCGGGAAAATTAGTAATGAGGACAGCAGTAGTACACTAAAATAGTCTATTCAGTGCGCATTTCAATTCTGTACAAGCGTATTATGAGCCGGAAACAATGCCTACTATTGAAAATCATACGTTTGGACGTTGCTAGTAATTAGCAACCTAAAAAATTAGCATTTACAGTAGCTATAAAGCATGCCTTTATTTTTCAAAAAAAAAAGTTCAATAGCTTGCTATTCTTTGTTCGCATACGACTTTTGGTCGTGCTCAATGCTGCGCCAGCGAAAGAGCCCACGGCCGTTTTCATATGTAATTCCGTAAAGAAATAAGGCAAGCAAAGCGGTTTGGCATAATGACTGATTTGCATAGTCGCGAATGAGAAGGCCATTGGTTCGATCTCGATTGTTATAGAGTTCTTTAAAGTCATTGGAAATAACGTGAGATGGTATTATGTATCTGTCAATCAAAAACCGAATGATATTTATAGGCATTTTGTTTAATATACTCTGAGCTATTAGCTTGATGGTGCTGATACAAATGAGTTTGCTAGCGGCGAAATTGCTTCAGTAAGATACGATATAAAGAATTATGGAGTGAGCCAAAGCAAACTTAAGTCTTGAATGAGCGCCGGGCTCATTGCAACTATAGCCACTAAGCAGTTTTGTTGTAAATCTGAAAGTACGTAAGAATGGATATAAGTTTATTTTAGTAAAATCAGATGAAGAGGAGAGGAAAGAGTGAATGTCTACTGCTATTTATATGTATGATTTATGGATTGCTTACACACCCGTCTAGAATGGTGTTCTCATGCTAAGTTTTAGTGTCAATCCTCGCTTATGCTAAATGGTAATTTTTTCAGATATAGATGATCAGTCTAAATATCTTTAGTTGCTCTTGGCAACGTTAATTACTTACATTCCTTATCTGCTATCTTTTGACATATAGAGAATAGCTTACTGAAACTTAGCTTATGTGAATATCATGGCTATCGCTTACATGAGGATACAGTTTATTTACATATGCTCCATATGTGCATAGTTTATTACTGAATTCAACCTACGATATTGTGATTCAGGAACAGTTAGATGTGTGAATACACCAAGTTTATATTTGAGTTTCAGCGATTGATGTTGTTGTCAATGAGAGAGTCATTTTTTATGATGGCGATGCAGCAAAGGCCTTGTTTGTACGTTGAGGTATTATCAATCTTTTTTAGGCGGTAACTCTTATTGTTGCCAAACGAAACATTTACAGAGTATATAAATAGTTTTTGATATATGGTATTTCCTCTTTCATCTTTCTCTGCGTTTTATATTCGTCAGAAATCTATACTATTATTACCGCAACATGAACAGTAACACTGATCCAAATGACAATAGCAAATCTGAACAAGATGCTACATTGATAGATATCCAAAGGGAAATTAAGCAATTGCAAGTTGAAGCAAAGGAGGTAAGTGAACAAAATGTTGTTTCTAATCATGCCTTTTAAAATGGTGTACCCATCACCAGATGCGCCAGATTGTAAGTGGCGGATAGATACAAAATCAATTGTTCTAATATTGTTTGTTGCATCCTATGTCAGATGGAAGATATGCGGCTCCAAGTAAGTACTTCCAGCCATTTATATCATTGAAATACTTAATGTGCTCATCGAACATTACTCATACAACAGTTAAAAGCAGCAGAGAATACTGTAAGTATGAAATGCAGGCGCACTGAAAATAGTGTACCCATATTAGTTTTGATTTACAGCAATGGGTCAGTACATATTTTCTTGATTTTTTGTGGCAAACAGTGCTAACGATTGTGCCACCATTGTATAATGCAGTCGAAAGTATTTGATTTACAAGCTGACGTGAGTAGAAGCGTCCAATCTTTAGTTGGATTTAGCAGCCTAATAGTAGAATCTACATTTCTAGATCATACAAGCAAAAGTACAAACAAAAGTAAATGTAAGTATTTCTTGTTCAGCTGTATTAAGTAAATGATACTAATATTTCATCTCTTACTTGTAGACAAAATCCAGAGTAAGCTAAGAATAGTCATGCTCGATTCATAGTAACTAAGGGTATATCTGCCTAGTTTTCACGATTGGCTGACATTATTGAAAATGGCATAATCATTATCACCGTATGTCTTACAATGATAGCGATGCGTGAAAATTTCGTGGACATTTAGTATACGATATTTGCATGTGAATAAATATCTTTGATGAGACCTGTTGCTGCGTACTGCAAATTTTTCACTCCAAACAATAAATAATATTGTATATTTTGAACTAGCCGATCGACCTCGCTTCGCTCGATGACGGCGTCGCCCTGCAGGTTTTCACCGAAGACATTTCAAATCAGAGAGAACAAAGCTTTGGTATATTAAGTAGATTTGAAACAATCAATTAATATTTATATCTGAGTCAGGAAGGTTAGGGGGGGGTATCCCCCCTCAGCACCCCCTTTGCTTAACACTGATATCAAACGAAATCTATTATTGAGACGATGTGGAAAAGATTTCTGTTTGTGTCACATTTTCTGGCAGCTGAACTATCATACCATTCGCTGATGTTGCTGGCCAACGTGAATACAAAACTTGTATAAGATCTACAGCGACTTTTTTTAGAGATTATCATAGCAAAAGACTCATTTATAGGAAGAAAAAAAACTACCAACAAAAGCAAAAAAAAAACATTTAAGCTAAGCGATTGTCCTTTCGAATTCAAATCAATAACCCACAATTAATTAGCATCGCAATCATCTTTGTCATCATCAGAAAGGCATTTGAGTCAGCCAGCAGCAGCTCCTCCGCCGCCAAAACTGATTCAAACTCATTTTTTTGTGCTCAAGATTGGCCGAATGTTGTCTTTTTTTGACTTGATAGAACGGTTTTGTAATATTCGACTATAGAAATGTGATGATCATCCGATGCTTCCTAATACATTCTTGAAGCACTTTTCAAGGCGCTTCCAGTGGTGCTAATTGTAGCAAGTGTTTTTAATGAAATTATTGAGCAATTTGGTGAGATTTAAAATGTAGTTTTTAGCGAAAATAGCCATATTTTGCATATGAAAGCCTCATAAAAGTGATTTCAGAAGTTGCTTTACATCGAGAGAACATTTTGACCCAATACATACCATAGTAGAAGTCTTTACTTTCAAGGTGAAAAATGCGATTGTTTGATTTTCGATGAAAACCATAAGGTACCCCTCATGGCTTTTGATCGATTTTTGGCCATGTTTTTTAGTCCCCCAAAAAGTTGAGCAAATGTGTCAGGAAGTTACTGCTACTCGAGTGCAATTGCTTGGTGTCACTCCAGCGGCTCAGAAAGGCCTACACGTCAAGATATTAAAGCTTGAAAACTGCCCAATTTGGTTGTATTTTTGCTTTGTAGCGTTTACTACACGGCATGAATCACACCTTTGGTAGCTGAAATCTTCTGTAAGGGCACTTTTGCAGCGTGTGCAATCTCTAATTCGAATAGGAAGCATATTAGTTTTGGTAAAAAGTAAATTTTTATGAAAAGAAAGGCCGAATTTTTTGCTTGAATGCTATGATTTTGCACCTTCGCGGTACTACGGTAAAACGCTCATTAAGTTCAATTCTATCAAATGTTGGATCAGGTGCTTGAATACTACGATTTTGCACCATCGCTTCGTTACGGTAAAATTCTCTTATTATAGGTCATCGTTACCAAATGTTGAATAAGATGCGTTTTGTTCTTGGAGGAGGGGCTTCTGATTTCTGATTAGTCACTCTGTTTTTCTCATAGTTTTTCATCTTATGACACTATAACACTTTCAACTGAATAGACTATTTACATTATTTATTATAATAACACGGATATATTATGCGGTTGATAATCAGAGGTATGTATTTACAGTGTAGTATTAGTGAGCAAAAATGATTTAGCTTCTTAGGCGAGGTCTTTTACATTCTCCATTGGCTTTTCATCCACAGCAAATGTAGCTGAAATTTGCTCAGTAGAAATATCACCCTCTAGCCTATTCGATTCAACATTAGTTTCAGTCACCTTGCTAGCAACGAGAAAGATCAGAGGAAAGGAGATAAACACCAAAAGCCAACAGATGAGACACTCCCATCTAAGGCGAATAGTTGAGGAATCAATACCGAATGCAGCAGCAGCACCAGCGGATTGCATGGCTTTATAAAAGCCGGCATAACGAGCCAACAAAGCAGGGTCATTCGACATGGCACCCATTAACCAGTACAAGTAGGTTTGGTAAATCGAATCAGAAAAGCCATACATGATAAACAGTACGAAAGGCCCACCAAAACGGCTGCTTGTCCAGCGAATTGGATCATTGTAGTCGGCATCAAAGGTCATCTGGAAAGCGAAACCACCTGCCCAAATGGCCATCAAGGAAATAAACGAAAGTCCTAAGGCAATCAAACCACGCGTACGACGAGCAAAACCCTTATAATCCAACAAGTAACCCATCAGCATGGAGCCAATGACCTGCATAGCCCAGTACAGCAAATCATTCAATGCTCTAGTAGAGGGATCAAAGTAAATGGAGTTAATTCTGAATTGATATGCGTAAAACCAGTTGGAAGCAAGAAAAGCAGGGATCAAAGCAAGCATACGCCATTCTTTCCAGACCTTGAGCACGTTTCTTAGTTCCGTAGTCCAGTGAGTGGCTTTCGCAATAGCTACTCGTGAGCCATCTGCACGGACAACATTACCTGGATTTGCCAATGTAAGAGAGAAAACAGCGCCAATCAACATGACAATGACAAAGGCAGTGTATGTGCCAGTGGAGACACCACCAGTATTGTTTTCCAAGTTCATACCTAGTGCGATCAATGAACCCAGAATACCACCGCAGTTGAACAAAGCCCAAAAGATGGCAATAAACTTTCCCTTGTCCTTTTCTTCAGGATAAGACATCATGATGGCACCTTGACTACTCCAAAAGAGCGCGGCACAGCAGCCGAGAATGGCGCCTGCTGCAACCACGAAACCAGACACTTGCTTACGATCATATACCCAAAACGCAGCTGAATAGATGGCGTATCCAACAGATCCAACCTAATCATCAAAAGAAATGAGTGCTTTGCTTATCAACTTGCTACGCATGTACTTACGGTCAATGTGTATTTGACACCCAATGTATTTGTCACTGAACCAGCAAAAAATCCCACAATGGCAAAACAGCCATACAGAGCACCGTTAGCAGCATCTGTCAATGCCACATTGCTACTCATAGAGCCACCTGCACCAAGACCTGATAATGCATTGAACATACCAGGGCAACACAGACACACAAGGCCTAAGAGTACGATCTGCACAATAGGAGTATTGTATCTTTGAAGATATTTAGATATAAACATGTTGAATGGAAAGGAAAAAAAAAAGCTATTCTTTTAGTTTGGGCCGATTTATATGTTGGAGAGTATTTTTAGCTTCGAATCAGTTTTGCATAGACGCTGTGAAACTTGTTGGTTAGCAAATCCTTGGGTTAAATATCCGAAAGATAGGATCAACAAGCCTTGTATGTTTGATGAGATACACACAACCTATATAGGCCCTGAAAATTATACTTTTGTGTCGAGACTGGATGTGCATACACATGTTTCCAAGTTACCATAGCGACGACATACCGTGGCCCTGACCATATATGCACAGACATCCTTTTGATCTATTTGAAGCCCATCCGCGGAGACCTGAGTTTTTGACAGGTGAACACCAACAACCCGTTTACATGTTTTCTCGTGCGATTCACAATTTACTTATCAAATGCATGTTGATATCGCTAAACATACATTTGTTGAGCTGGTTTTTTCTCAGGAAAAAATAACCCTTCTTTTTCCTCTTCAAAGCAAATGGAATGCAATGGCTCTTTGAATGCAGGGTCCCCTCCTTTCAATGATGTGCTCTAACTCTGTGGTTTTCTCATTTAGGCCATTGAAGTTTTTTTAAACAAGTTCAACGTCTATAAATAGAGCAATTCCTCGGCTTTGATATGACAAATACTCGTATCAATTCTACCTTTTATATGAAATCTGCTCAATACTCTGACAGCAATTGATTTTTTTTTTATAAACGGAGATATTGTTTCATGCTCATCCCACGGAATCAATTATGATATACGTATTAACAAGTCGATCCTACACTGCGGCAACCAGCTTCATGCTATGGATATTCACCTAGTCTATTAGCGCAACAGTCAAAAGTATCACGGATCACAGTACCAAAGACAATTTAAACTTATAACTATACACTTTATTACAATTTACAAATGCCCGTGATCCATTCTGGTCAAAATATTGAACAAGTCAGATTCCTCCAACACAGGCCCACTGTCAGCGCATTTAGCGAGCTCTTTGACAGCTTGACAGAGCTGATCTGTAGTGAAATTACTGAATTTGTCGTGTTGATTCAAAATGAACCAGATCTCGGGGCAATTTAACAAACGAACCTGATTTTGTTGATTTTGGTGGGCAGATGTATTACTACTACTGCTGGCTGCTGGTTTTGTGGAAGGCATTGTTGATGTAGGTGTTGTTGTAGGTGCCGGAGAGGATGCATTATCCGCTCGAACACTGGTATCCGCATCCTTCTCCGTTGTAGCATGTGTCTCTTCAGTAGATCCATCTTGTTTCTTGCCCTTGATGCGTTGTTGTTCTTCAAAAGACATGGGGCCAGTGACGATTGGTACAGGGTAACTGCTGATGGACAAGTTGAGCTTCCCCATTTGATCAAACAAGGGTTCAGATAGTAATCGATCAAACGCATCGTTGCAGACTTCGTTATATAGTTTCTCACAGAATAATTGGCCCTCAGTGTCAATATGGCAATCAAACATGTCAATCTCCAACTGCTGCATCTTTCTGCGTTGCTGCTGTGTATTGACTGTTGAACTGGTCTTGTCGCTCATGATACTGCTAGCATCGTCGTGATACCCATTGGTCAAGGAAGATGGGGTAGTAGCTGATGTCAATGGCACAGTGGCGTTGGAAAGGGACCCACTGCTACTGACACTTGTCACACTGGCAGCTTTCTTGGCTGAGTTGTTACTTTGTGAATTTCCAGGCGATAACATAACCAAATCACTCTTTTTCAGCGACGATTCTGTATTACTGCTGCTGTTATTGGGTCGATGATTTCCGCCGGGTGGATACAATTGAACCAATTCTACGGGCTCTGATCTATTGTGCTTTGAGGAAGAGGAGGAAGAACTACTGGCACCTCCATTGGGTCTCAATGAAGCGGGTGTGCTGATTGAGAAGGTATATTCCAATGGTTGGTTGTTGGTAGGTGGAGGTGGAGGAGTCGATTTGTTTTGTTTGGAGGACACTTTTTTGGATATTGACTTTGCTGATGGAGTAGGGGATGTGCTTTGTATAGCAGCTGACACAACAGGTGACATTGGATATTGCTGCATGGGACTGGAGGCCAGCATCATCATTTGGTTCACGGACGATGAGGTTGGATGGAGAATAGAGGACATGGGAGTTGGCGAATTTGACAGGTACGCAGGAAGTAATAATGGCTGCTGATTGGGTGTTTGTGGTAAGAGAGGAGCAATGTTGGCATAAGGGGAATTTGAGTTGTTCGAATTGGAGGTGGTGCGAGGTGGAGGTTGATGTACAGATGGCGGCGCTTGTGATTGGTATGACTGCATGGGGATACCTTTGAGGGCATAATTCTCGGATTCCAATCGATATATGATGGCTCTTAGTTGCTGATTCTCTCGCACTAGCTGAGCAGTGGCCACTAAATGAGCATCTTGTACTTGCTTAATCTTAATTTCTAACTCTTTAACATATCGCTCTTTTCTTTCTCTAAAAGCTCTTTGAGCAGCGCGGTTTTGTGCTTTTCGTTTCACCTTGGGATCTTGGTCAGGCTAATTTAAGCATGTTAGCCAAATATAACGGCCAAGTTGCGGATCATGAGAACTTACATCAGATAGCGATTCTTCATCAGCCATTGGTTTCCTGCCAGGTCTTTTGTTTAAGGCATCAACATCATCGCTCTCTATGTGCATGACTCAGTAAGATTGGAGTGATGGTAGTCTCTCGACTCTTACCTTGGCTGTCGTCTTCTTCATCTTGGTTGCTTGATTTGGGAATTGTGTATTCTTCTTCTTGCAGCGTGACATACGTCTCACCATCGTTATCCCCTATATAAAATGCCATTAGCACTGGCTCGCATCATGAATATCTCAGGTCCTACTGGCCGCTTTGACAATATTTCCTGTCAATTCCTTCTTTTCGGCAACAGTGAATGAATCGTCCCATTTGCGTTTATCATGAAAGAAAGGGTTGATCTTGAGGTTTAATATGGCATTTGTAGTTGCATTGGATGGCGCATTATTGGGTGAGCTGGTCAATTGAATAGCCCCTTTGGATGTCAATTTGATAGGCTGAGGTGTTGGTGGTGATTTTGGCGAAGTTGATTGATCTATGGCCTTTTCGACCTCTATCGATATATCTGGTGAGGATCTGCAATCGCTCTCGTTCTGATCAGAGTCATCCTGATGATATATGACTATGGCATCACTGGATTTTTTCATGACGTTAGTATAGTTTTTTTTTGTGAAACTTCAAGCAGAGGGAGAGAGTATATCAAGGAGAAAGAAAAAGAAGTAAAGAAGAAAAGGTAAAAGAAAAAGAGAATTAAGTAGTAGATGAAGAGTGAGGCGGAACCAGAAGAAAGCCGTCATGTGTGGGTTTGGTTGCACTTCCCATTCATCTATACCATCTTCTTCTCCAACCAAAACAAAAGCAATAAATTTAAACATGCTTTTGTTCGGTTGCTGGTCTGAGGTTAGCACCGAGTGATTTGTGATATCAATCTATTGGATTCTTCAGCTAACTAGATCTTTCGAGGGCTGCTAAACGCTGCAAAGTCGGTTCAAGATGATGGCGAAACTGATCTGACAATTCTACGTCAAACAATAAGCATTTGAATCATTATGCCTTATATACTTTTGTTAACATATACCGTTGACTACTTTCTATACTAACAAAAGCAGTGGGCAAAAATGTGGCTCAAGATCCATTGCTAACCTAACCCCACCATTCAGGTGCACAAGCTGCTCAAATAGGATGAGCGGATGGCCAAAGTATTTGTAATGAATAGTGCTGGATTGGGTATTCTTTTACCTTGTGTCCTTTCTAAATTTGGGCCTGGGTAATTTTCTTGCACATTTGACATCTTTTGCCAGTGTGGATTACTTGTACTCGATCTCTCGGGATTGGACAAGTGTATCTACATTTTCATTTTTTTTATTCAGGGTGTTACTTGAGAAAAATGGAATATTCTCCCACAAGATCAAAAACAACCTATTCTATACAAAATCCCCAGTTTTGGGATCCCACCGCTACGAAGACTTTAAGCGAGATCCTTTCTTCCTATCTCTGTCCATGAAATTGAATCTCATCTATGATTTTCAAATGGAATCAAATAGATAAGCAAAGTTGACTAAAAAGCTTATTAGATGATCAGCAAAACTGATGCATGTATATCGCTTCCATCATCTACTGAAGTATTTCCACCTCTACTGTCTTACCTTTGCAAACCAAACAGGAGCCTTTATTCGGTATCAACCTTGCTTGTATGACTCGTTGATTTGTTCCGTTTTTCTGCTGAATTTGAACACTACGCAAATATACAAGCTATAATCCATCCGTTTCTACAAGGTTTCCCTCGTTGGGTCTAAATCAACGTGGACCCATAGGCCTACAACGCATTTGGAGTTCTTGTTTGCTTCTCCTTGGCGTTCTTTGGTGAGATTGCTTGTCTAATGTCAAGTTGAGATCGTTGCAAATGACAGATGAGGGACACCAATTACGGAATGATCTTGGACTTTGCACAAACGTTCAGTTTAAAGTTTATGAAATCGTGTACTATTTGTCCAGAACCTTGTATTTCGTGACGAATCAGCAAATTATGTAACTACAAACGTTTAGCCGCCATTTCATCTTTGATAGTGCCTCAAGTATTAAACACCTTTATCTCTAAAGAAATACAATGAAGAGAGCTTATTCTGAAGCATACTCTATGATGTTTCCAAAATGTGGCTCACACTCATTTGAAAATGATCCAGAACTTCAAAAATACATAACGATTACATGGTCGCAAACATGTTGAACCATATTTTGACGTTTTTGTATCACTACGTTGTCATTTCCATCATCGCTTATTACAGGGGAACAGAGAAGCATATATGCCTGGGTCACCCACCTTCTTTATAAAAGTAGTATTCCTTGCAGCCCATTTGAAATGCTATACGTCTCTACTGCTGCTTTTACAATTGATCGGCTAGACTTTTTTTTTTTTGGCTTTCTGTAGAGATCGCTGATCATTAGCGCCACTTTTGGCTACCACCACACCCAATAAATGCATTGAGATCCTTGATTCTAAAAGTAGGCGTACCTGAATCAAATGCAAATACCTACCATGGCATCATTGAATACTTAAAACTTGATATATCAATGGTTAATCAGATTGTAATGGATAATCAGGAGTAAACACGCTTTAGATGTCTAGATTTCAATACTATTTTGGTCCGCTATGGTTCTTCTACTAACTAGAGGACCATTGAAACAGTGATTGCAGCAAAGACATTGTTATTTAACCGTGAAAAGCCTCACGGTAGTAATTTTGGCTATTGTGTACATTCGCCAAAAATCATCCTGATCTTATAAACATCATATAGACGAGCATCACTTCTAAGCTGAGAAGTGCAACAAGAAGTATGGTAGTCTAACTATTATACAGACAGCGTTTATTCTGCAGCATATTTTTTGTTGATGGCATTGAAATTATAATCTAGATCATTAGCAATTGCAGTTTGGAAGGCTGCAATCATAGGTGTCACTGTTATAAAGAAAAGGGAAATTGCTGTTAGCCATGAGTGAAGCCTTCGAGCTGTCGAAATCGTACCTGACACGCAGTTATTCATGAGAGCCCATTTGTCTGTACCAGGTAAGCCATCGCGATCCTTGTTGATAGCAGTGAAGTCAGGCGAAAACCTGAAGCTAGTTCCCTTTTTGTTATCTTGCGCTTTCTTGAACAGCGAGCCATATGTAGCTCTATGAAAATCGGTTATATGAATAGGGCAGCGATAATCCTTCATGGGAATGTTGACATTAAACATCCCATTCTCTGGCCAAGGGGTATCTTCTTGAGAAGAATTGTATAAATGTTGAATAATATCACTCGCTGTTTCGCAGCAAATATTGATGCATTCGGGCCTCTGATTGCAAAAGCAAAAGGAAACAGAAATTGCCTTCTTCTTGTTCAGTACAGCTTCCCTAGAAAGAATGCGGTGTAAACATCTGCCTTCTTGTGCATGACAACAAATGCATGCTTACATGGCTGCACCTACTGTTCCTGATGCAAGTGTGAAAATTCTAGGATGCAATCTTGATTAAGTAAATAGTCAGGTATTACTAAATGCTTTGATACTCTACGTTGAGATGTTTCTGCCAAAGTTGGGACCACCAATCACCAGATCGAACTCTTCATCTCTAAATAGATGGTTCAATGCAATGTTGACACAGGTTGCTGGTGTTCCGCTTAGCTATTTGATACATGAAATGTTGAGTAATCTTGAGCAATTCACAGCATTCATGCCCTGAATTACCAAATAGAAATCATTGTCGTTTTGTTTCTCCTCAGTGATTTGCTTTGTCAGTCTATTAAAGTAACGAAGCTGAATCTCTTGTTTGATCATGAAGGATTTGGCAATCCAAGACTTTTGGCTGTCAGGCAAGCAAACCCTGTGTTATGCGCATGTTAACATCGTGCTTTGATCTCCTGCTTGATAGGATTTCATAAAGCACTTACTTTACGTCCCAGCCTAAATTCTCTAAATGCTCGATAAACGGTAGGATAAATGGAGATTCATCTAAACTTGGTGGCCCTAGATAGATATCAGATCAAGTTTATGCAGCCATTTCTCAGATCGAGAGCTGTAAAATACCATCATCATTGGAAATGAGAACCTTCATGATACTATAAAAAACTTTTCTGAGAGAGAGAAAAAGGGATAAACCTGTCAAAACTGATAAGATCTCTCTTCCATATCTGTATTTGTAAAAATGAAACACAAACTTCGGGACAACATTTTATTCATCGTAGGACGATAAAGTAATAGTAAAGAGATGAAATTCTAAACGAAATTAATTTAAAATGGAAAGTAGATAGCAGTAGATTTGATAGTATAAAGGGAATAAGGCATTATTAACAAGCACATCCACTTGCTTCGGTTTCTGCTGTGTTGAGGTTGATCTTTTGCACTACAATTTTACAGCTATTTAGCGCAGGAAGATTAACGGAGAAGTGTCACTTACTGGAATCCTTTTGTTCATTCTGGCTGTTACCATCAATACCAGGCAAAGACTGAGCAATCTTTCTAAACAGAGTCTTGACCTAGACAGCATCTATTAGCATTGTTTTCATTTTTGATGCATGATCGTTGCTGGTTTATTTACATTGTGGCCTGCTTTGGCACTTGTTTCAATAAACATAACATTTAGTTCCTTGGATCTCTTCTCGGCATCCTCAACCGTAACCTCTCTGTTGAAAACTATGATTAAAGCCTATCAATGCTATACATTTGCGCCGTATTTACCTCTTGTCGCTCAAATCAGACTTGTTTCCGACGAGCACAATAATAACATCATCGCCTCTTTCAGCTCTAACATCATCAATCCACTTGGATGTATTCATAAAGGATTGGCGATCTATACAAAAGTTAAGATCTACCTAGCTATACATTAACGATGGAGCAGCTTACTCGAAATGTCATAGACAATAACAGCGACAGATGAATCACGAATATAACTAGGGATCAAGCTACGGAAACGTTCCTAAATGCAAACATCAATATACTTCTTTAGCCTACAAATTTGAGAGTGCTTTACTTGTCCTGCTGTATCCCCTATGGTATCCACTATTTTAGTACATTGCAAAGCATATTCTTGGGCACAAACTTACATAATTGCAAACGCACAGTTTTGTCTTCTAAATACATTGTTTTCGATAAGAAATCGATACCGATAGTAGCCTTGGTACAAGTCAGCTTACAGATAATGAAATACCAACATTTTTATTCAACTTACTTGGTATGTATTGTCAAACGTATCATACATGAAACGAGTGATGAGGGATGTCTTTCCGACTAGGATGTATAAATCAACATTTTGCCCGCGAGCTTCAAGTATTTTCACCTTACCACTCTGTTCTCCAAGGAAGACCAACTTGTATTTTCTCAAAGGACTACTGAACTCTGCGCTTGCCATACTTTTTTGTTATTCTTTCGAGATGAGAGAAAGAAAAGAAAATGTAAAAGAGTGCAGTATGCACACAAACAAATTTGGGTCTCAAAACATTCATCATGTGGAGTGTCACTTATTCGCTGTGACTGAGGCATGAAAGGATGGTTACCATGACATGACACTTGAGGTAAAGGTAAAACGACAGTGAGAAAGGGGGAATCCATTTATTCTTTCAATTTTTACAAATGCATATACTACTTCTTGCTGGCAAAGGCTTCAGTTGCCCATTTTGCCATATCAACATCGACATCTTCGTATTTCTTAACAAAAGGATGCTCTAACAAATCAGCGTATGTTGGTCTCTTCATTGGATCCTTTTGGAGACATGAATTGACGAAATCACGGGCTTCTTCTGAAAAAGTATCAGCTGGTAAACTGGGTGGTTCATCGTCAATGATTGCTTTTAGTTGTGCAAACATATTATCGTATTTATAAGGATAATGCCCGATAGCGATCTCTACAAGCGAGATGCCAAGAGACCAAACATCGGATGATACTGAGTATGTGTTTGCTGCTCTAATTCTTTCAGGCTATTACAAAAAAAAAAAAAAACTCGAATTGAATATCTTGTACTATATGGACTCGATGTTTACTTACTGCCATATAACTCTGGCATCCAATGTTTGTTTTTGCTAACGATTTCTCGAGTTGACCTGATACACCAAAATCACACAACTTGACTTGGCCCTTTAAATTTGCAAGCACATTTGTTGGTTTAACATCTGCCAGTCAGTTTTCTGTTAATACACAATACGCACACTTGAAAGGTCGAGCCATTTTACCTCTATGAATGATGGAAAGCTCATCCTTCAAGAATTTTAGGCCTTTGACCATCTACGCTGCCATTGTCAGTCATTTCCTCGTCTATCACTGTGAGTCATGATTTTACCGAAATGGTGATCTTTGCCAAGACGTCTTCAGGTACGCCTTCACCATATAATTTATCAAGAGAGCCAGCATCCATATATTCCATACAGTAGTAAACGCAGGATTCAATAAAGAATGCACCATAAAATTCTACAATGTATTCGCCTGAACTCTTGTGCAAAATGTCTAATTCCATCAAAATTTGATGCAGCTTTGTTTCATCCAATTCTAAGCGGATTTCCTATGCCAACACACATGTGAATACGCTACTCGAAAAGCTGCAACAGACGGTAGAGACAAACCTTCATTGCCATTGTCACATTGGTTACTCGATGCTTGACTTTTTGTACAGTACCATACTGTCCTTTTCCGAGTTCCTCTTGCAATATAAGATCGTCCATTTTGATCGTGAAACTGTTGCCATTACTGAAATCAACACCGTCTGCGTGAATAATGGCTTTACCAGAGAAATTCAGTTTACCAGAGGGATCACTAATACAGCATATTAGAAACATATCCAGCAGATGCATTCAGTTACACTTTACACGTATTTCGAGAAATTGGCAAATGGTGTCTGTTCTGGCTTTGGAGATAAGCCCAACTGAGACAGATTCAAACCTGGTCTTCCCATTCTTCCACCACCAGGTCTGTTGCGCATGCCACCTGGAGATGGACTTGGGCCCTGACCAGGAAGAGGACTTCTACCAGCAGGACTATTAGAGCCTGATAAAGGAGGTAGAGCGCCAGGTCTTCCGCTCATGGGAGGCAAGACTGAGCGACCTCCTGGTGGCATTCTAAGTGGCATAGGTCGTGGTGGCATCACTCGAGTGGGTTTGTTTTCTTCATTGTCTTTATTCAATGACAAGTTTGAAAATGATTTGTCGAGATCCATTACGGATTAAAGTAAGAGAAAGTAAGAAGAAAAAGAGGGAGAGGAGAAAGGAGAAAGGAGGTAAAAAAAAAAAAAAAAAAAAAAAAAAAAAAAGAAAAAGAAAAAGAAAGCAGAGCATTTATTCCAAGCAGCCAGCAAAGTTAACCAGAAAGCACCAGCGACGATTCTTGTGCGCATCTTAAAGTGACGTACATCATTGCCCAATGATTGTATCAATGTTACCATGAAAAAAAAGCTTAACTATAACGAGACAACGTAAGACTGACGTTATACTGCTTTACTCAGTAGGGTATCTTGACAATGCTGTCATTTTGCGATCTATCAATTATGACAAGACCAACGCCCACCAGAGTGTAAATGCACTGAATGGCTTCTTGCTCCGAATGTCCTCGTTCTTTAGCCAGATCTTGTACAAATTGAGTCAAATCCGCCAAGGCCATGGATTCATTGTGCCTTTCCAGTTCCAGTAAGATGGATGCCATCACCTTTGATTCTTGATTTGGTTGGAAAAGACTCGGGACTGCAGGTGCACCTTTTGGAAAAAGGGCCCTGAGTTGATCGGGATGTGGTGTAGATTGATTCTGATGTTCACCGTTCTGCTGAACAAAATTTAAGGCTCTATAATAGACATGGGGAAATACGCCAGTTCTGGACGCACTCGACTCTATTGTTGACACTAATGGCTGCAATTCCTCATAAAGAGATCTAGATAATTGAGGAACATTCCTCAAATTTGGTGAAGCTGTTCCTTGGTGGTCTGAGTGCAGTAGTCTAGCGGTTTTCTGTAACAACGGTAAACTGTCTTGTGTTGCTCGTCTGATGATTGATTTGCTCATTGGCTTAATTGCTCGTTTGATTATCGATGTGGACTCGCTAGGGCTATCTTGCTCCAGCACTAAAGCCTCCCACTCCTGACGATACTTTGACATTTGTTCTTGCAAAAACGACTTGTGATGTTCTGTTGAGAGGAGGATCATTTGACTTAGGGTTTGCTCGATTTCCTGTTGCTCTTTTATCTCTGCAGTTCGGCCTTCTATCATATTTCGACGTGCACTCAATTCCAGCGGTAGGGCCTCAATTTTCAAAGCCTTTTCATTCTTTACTTGATCGAAGTCTAACGCTGATTGTTCGTTTGAGCTATATTCATTTACGCCAACATTATCCATATCAATATCGCCATCATCAGTATGCATTGAATCGAGCCGCTTTATTAGCTCTTGTTCTTCGGCTACCATCTAGAATCATTCGTGTTGGATGCACTTGTCAAGCAACTTTACTTTGAAATTGTTACCTTCTTTAGGACTTTACGATGCGACTCGATGCTTGATAGCTTTTCCTCAAGGGAACGAGCATTCCTTTCAGCTTTTGCTTTTGTTTCAAGAGAGACACTAGACATAACATTGAATCAATACTTGCAGAGTTTGATCAGTTGGGAATGACTACCTGGGCAAATCCAATTTTGCTTTTAGCTGCAGCAATTTGTGTAAATCTCTGCTTTTGGCTGATTTACTGCTAATAGCTTCATCCGAGCTCTGTCGCAATCTATTGAGTCGTGTTGGTCATGGTGAAAACTCATCCGTTTTGGTTTACATTGTTTACTCTTCTATCGTTGAAGTGCCAGCACATAGGCCTTGGAGCAGTAATTCATGAGGTGTAGGCTCTCTTAAAAGGATTCGTTTACGTGTCTTTACATCTGCAAGAATAGAAGGCGAAGTCTTGTTTAATTGCATTGATATGCTTCTCCTTGATTCAACAGTGAGTGCGTCTAATGTATTTAAAAAAGACATGTTGGGAATATAGGAACTGAAAAAAAAAACCCCCCCATTGTTGTGTGGTTCTCAAGTTCAAATGTTAGATTAGAGCCACATTTACGGTGACTGAAAATCGAAACGCGAACGATTGACAGCTCAACAAATCAAGTACACACTGGGCATTAGACCCTATAATGGCAGAGTAAAGATCTAGAGCATTATCTACGGATGAACCCTATAAAATAAACAAGACGATCATCTTTCAATGTGTAATAAGTGGAGACACAAAGATAACCTGGCTACTAAAATAGCTCATGTGCTTGCTATTAGCCTAATTTTTCTTCATCTGGGGTTTTAGCCATCCTATACGGGTAGCAGCCATAACGAATAGACAAACGCTCTATTTATTGAATAGAATGAGTTGTCTGGTAACTACCTTTGCATGCTACAGTCATCAGTTTAACTGCTGGGCATCTCTATCCATTGCTTTTAGTAGGCCTCAGGGCTTGCATAATTGATTCAAGCAATCATTGATATGACGAGCATAAATAGACGAATTTTTTATCTTCTTTTCCCCATTCATTCATTTACATTTGAATTAACATCAGGCATGTCTTTACACTAGCCGATCTATCTCGCTACGCTCGATGTCGGCATCATCCTATGGGCTCTCGCCAAAGACATTTTAAATTAGATATAATAAAAATTTGGTATATCAAGTAGATTTTAAACAATTTATTATTAGTTAGTAAAAGAAAAAAGAAGGTTATACTAGAGCCACCAGGAGGAGAGGAGGTGTCTCCCTCAGCATCCTTTTTGCTTTCACTGATATCAAACGAAGCCTATTATTGGGACGACATGAAAGAAAATTCAAATTTTATTCAGCATTTGTACATCACAATTGCCATTTTCTGATAATAGAACTGTCATATCATTCACTACTGCTGATGCTCTTAATAAGATGACAACATAAAGCTGGCTATAAGTAAATACAGGAATTGTGTAAGTTCTACAATGACCTTTCTGAGGTATTTTCATTGCAAAAGACACCTTCACGAAGCAAAACTCCCCAAAAAAAGTATTTGCGCTAAGAAACTGTCCTTTCAATTTCATGATCCCCATTTAATCAGCATCGCAATCATCATTGTCATCATCAGAAAGGCATTTAGGTCAGCCAGCAGCAATGCCGCCGCCAAAATTGATTCAAACTCATTTAATCTTTTCTGTTCAAGATTGGACAGATGTTGTCTTTTTTCGACCTCTTTAATTCTTTTTGTGATATTCGACTATATAAACTGTAATGATCACCCTACGCTTCCTAATACATTCTTGAAGTACTTTTCAAGGCGCTTCCAATAATGTTAATTGTAACAAGTGATTTAATTGAAATTATTGAGCAATTTAATGAAGTTTGAAATGAGGTTTTTAGCGAAAATAGCCATATTTTGCATACGAAAACCTCTTAAAAGTGGTTTCAGAAGTTGCTTTGGATCGAGAGAAACATTTTGATTTGATATATACCATAGCAAAAGTCTTCATTTTCAAGGTGAAAAATATGATCGTTTGATTTTCGATGAAAACCATGAGGTACCCCTCATGGCTTTTGGTCGATTTTTGGTCATGTTTTTTTAGTCCCCAAAAAGTTGAGCAAAGGTGTCAGGAAATTACTACTATTCAAGTACAATTGTTTGACGCTATTCTGACAGTCTAAAACGGCCTTGAACGCAAGAAAATGCGGTCAGATTTTGCTGTATCAAGGACACTAAGGACTAGAAAGGGAAAATACTAATACGCTGCTTGCCCGTATATGAAGTAGCTACGTGTATATGGATGTAGAGCATCACATAAGAATCAGATCCACAGATAACATGAAGGGTTTTCATGTGTAAATGGAGGGCCAAAATGAAAGTAGCAATATTTTGATAAGATACGCAAGGGCAATCGGTAGCGCGAATTGCCACTGCGCAGGTTGGTTCTCACCGAAGCGAAGCGAAGGTAGAGAGCTATCCAAAGCATAAACACTCATCGCTAGTAGTAATTAACAGTTGGTTTATAGCATTTTAAACAGAAAAGCCTTATAAACTAGTCGCACAAAATGTTACAATACAACTTTATTGGATCTAATCGCATGTATAATAAACTTAATCCAAAAGCAAATAGTCTGAATAACTAAAGTCTCCATAATAAGAACTGTCTTGCTCTTCATCTCTGACTGATTCCCTTTGGACCTTGACATCTGAAAATACCTCAGTATTGTCACTTAGAGTACTTCGTACGACGAGTGTCGGTGCAGCAGTGATTGTCAATGTAAGCATGGCAAGTGTAAAACCAGTGATTGATATAGGTTTCATGGTGTAGCCTTATATATTGCAGATATTAAAAGATGTGTTGAGGAAATGCTGATCTTTTTGATGGTCATATTTATATCAATCCAAATGTCAGTTTAGCAGCGCCATCATCTTGTTTGTTGTGATGGAGAGAGGTCATCATACACTCATGCAAAATAATAACTTCTGCTGTTACATTGCATAGTACATACACAGAAGAGAACAAGGGCTATATTACAGCGATGCACTACAGATTTGATGTGTACATCAATTGATTTAGGGACTCTAAACATGACCGACGTGCTGCATGAACGATTTTATTGATTTATCGTAATCATGTTGTGTCTCACATACATGCTGATCTATATATTTATGCCTGCTTATAATAGCCTTCGCTCAATATAAAATTTAGGAATATAGAGGTAGTAGGTGTGCATCAAAATTCTTTGCTCTCTCAGTCTTGCAAATTTATCACATGTAGTTTGGCTACTTTTAATACCAAAACGGAAAAGGCGTTATTTGACTTGAGAGATTACAAATAGAATTCATAACAAGCCTTACCTCTTGATTTCCTTCAAGCATCGATGCATTGTATATCAACAGAATAATTTGTTGGGCTAGATCAATGCTTTATATGAAGGAGGCCCGCTGAATTACACAAACGAGGGAATGTGAATGTGAATGTGAATCTGCATTGACCGCGATCAGATTAGATTGAAAGCAGTAGAATTGAAAATACCGTCAAAATGTTGGTAGCACTATCTATGACTAAAGTATTAGCCAAATATTGTGATTAGAGTAAAAAGCCAGAATTAGGGTATATCTAGAAGTATATGATACAACGGTTCATGCAGGTACGAATTTAATAGGAAGATACCGACGTGTATGTCATGCATCAATAAAATTCTCAGAGCTCATAGCCTTAAAAATACGTATACAGCTGTACATTATTAAGAGCAGATAGAATGATTCATACGCCCATTCACTTCTGAAGACTCGCTACTCACGGAACTGCTTAATGATAAAGCTTTGATCGAGCCTCACAGTACAAAAATACATAAAAAAAATATGCTTTGAGTGTTAATTCAAAGAGACTCTATGCAACTTTGCGCGCAACGTTTTGAATCAGGTAGCTTGATAACTCGAAATCATTGACTGGGGTGGGCAATTTCTCAAATGGCATATGAATTTGCCTTTGGAGAAGCATTTTTCAGTGTTGAGGCTTTACATACAGAATAGTTCCTATCCAGCGCCAAAGGAAGTAGTCAAGCTGAACGATATTAGCGTCAATTCGCAATTCCCTTCTCATTAGCTTCACAAACCTCAGTAATCTCCATAAGGAAGGCATTTTGGCAGTGATTGTAATTTTTATTAAATGACCGCTCTACATTCTATCTCGATTCGTTGATTTTGATTAATTTGCGACTTGATCGATCTATTTTGAGGGATTCGATTATATAAAATGTGATGATCTTCTAATCCTTCCTTAAGCTTTCTAGAAGTATTTTTCAAGGCGCTTCCAATGGTACTAACTATTAAAGGTGTCTAGAATAAGCTTATTGAGCAATCTCTGAAAATACGAAATGCAGTTTTTGGCCAAAATGTCGAGATTTTGTATACAAAGGTTTCATAAACAAAGTTTCAGTGGTTGCTTTGGATCGAGAGAAACATTTTGATTAGATATATGCCTTAGTCAAAGTCTTCATTTTCAAGGCGGAAAACGCGATCGTTTGATTTTCGTAAAAAACCATGAGGGGTACCTCATGCTTTTTGGTCGATTCTTGGAGGTGGTTTTTTTGGGTCCTTAAAAAGTTGAGCAAACGTCTCTGTAAGGAAATACTGTCTGAAAGCAAGGACTTGGCGCTATTTTTGCGGTCTAAAACGGCCTCTAGGACGAGAAATCACCATTCAAATACACATAGATTTCGCTCTGTTTTGTATACTATTCAGTAGTAAGAGACAATTCAAGTATGTTGTGTGCCGTATATGGACTGTTCTTGTTGATACAGATGTGGAGCATCCTATAAGAGCCATATCCAAGGTCATAAATCGGTTTCACTTTATGGAGAAGAGCGAAAAAATTGAAATTCTACTATTTGATAGTAAGATGCATGAGATGTCATCATTTGATACCATCAAAAGTAGTTCTCTCCCGAGGGTCCGTTTGAGTGCAAAGCAACGTAGATATAGAACCAAACCTTCACTCAACTTTCAAAGGTAAATGTCATTTTTACACAAAATGCGGAAGATTTCGTCATTGTGGTTCGGATTTATATTTGTTTGATGACTCGAAGCTTCAAAGCGTGGTCAAAAGCAAAGGATAAAACTTCTATCCTGCTTAGAGTTGAATAGCACATATGTGCGAGATCGCGTGCGCTTTGACATGGAGTAACACCATGAAAAAGCGACGTAATTGGAGCAAATCTTGCGCTAAGAGAGATGGAGTAATTTTGAATGATACCATCGAGCCAAATGCGCATACTGAAGTTCCTTTTTATCCAAAGGCCTTTTTCAACGCTCATTTGTTGCATCTGATACGCTCCTCATGTCGATAATACGTAGCATAAATGATGCGAATCTTGAAACAAGATGAATACAAGTATTGCTTTTTCAGCTAATGATTTTGTTGCTACGCATTCTGTTATCTTTAATTGGCAAAAAACGTCGCATGTATAGCAATATGTAGGTATTCAGAACCAAGAAGGCGTGGCTTTATACAGTATATGGGCCAGAATCATTCAAGTGAAGTATATTACAAAACTTGCTCAACATTGCGTCTGTGCAAGAACCTAATGAAATCCGTCATGATCGGGTGCTCAGAGACTACATATACAAGAGACACAACAAATATTTCATAAACTACTGCATGCATTGATCGTTCCCAACTCAAAAACGATTATTTATTATCTTCAATGACATGATGGAAATCCCGCATAAATTATATACACCAAATCGGTGAACACAAGAACCTTACACATGGAGAAACATTTGTTGCAATTGGCTTATTGTTTCGCAAAAGATCACTTCATTTCAATATCCGGAATAGCTTGGCATTGACGTTATATAAACATAAGGCAGCTTTGCTTTCTGGACATTTCCATTTTTTTTTCTCTCTTATTTTTTTTTTTATCTTGCAATTATAACAGAATATGGAAAAACCAACTAAAGCTGAATACGTTGCTGTGCCTACCAGCGATGTTGAACAAGAAGTAGGCTTGCCTCCTTATCAAGAGCAAGAGCAACAAGAGTCAATGACTGCGGACAAGACAAAGCGTAAGGATTCGATGATTACATGTCCATGATGCCGTGGTAAACTCATTGCATGTGCATATAGGCCGTAGACGCCTCAGATTTCTGCTGATTGGCGGTGCCATTACACTCTTGGGTTTGACTCATATTTGTACTTCTGGTTCTTACGAAGGGTTCTCTGTAAGTAGTGTATTGTCAATAATGGCATTCGTATTCATGATGTATTGATTTCTTTTTTTTTCTCTCTCTCTCTTTCTCTTGGCAATTATAAAAGGAAATGAATGCAATGGTAATTAAATTGAAAATGCAACAGTTATCGTATCACTGTTAATTAACATGTATGCTATCTAGGACCTTCGTCCCCAAGACGCTCCCGAGCCTTGTGCTTTGAGACATTTGGAGCAGTACAAGGAATTGAAGCATCACATGGAGTTTGTCGAAAATGCTTTTGGCGAGCCTCCTCATGGTGCTTGGGATGCTTATCCTCCTCCTCCTCCCTTTGCTGTAGATGAACCCAAACCCCACCATGGCCATCACAAGCATCACAAAAATCATAAAGGAGAGAAGCACCATCATAAGCATCACCATGACAACGATGAAGCTCCCTCTGCTCCTGATGGCGATGAAAAGCCCCACCACCGCCATCACCACCACAAGCATAAAGGTGACAAGATGGATGACGCCGTTCAAAAGTACGACGGAGATCACCACAAGCATCATTATGAGCCTTTCTGTAAGGCTGAAGACCTCATCTCCAAGTCCTCAGTATTTGAATTCTCCCCTGAAGATTTCAAGCGTGCTGGTATTTTGTCTGGCGGCTTCTTTGACAGAGGTAGCCATATCGTCCTTTCCAAGTCGAGCGATGCCTCTCTCAAGAACGTGAGAGTCAATGTTACTGTCTCTGCTGGACGCAAAGATCTTGGTCAAGAAGTCAAGGTATCTGCCTTTGATCATGATGGCGAGTACTCTGTTCAAGTTGAGCATGGCTATTTCCATCATCCTCGTCACCATCGCGCTCTCAAGGACGTTGAAAAGAGTGACCATCACCGTGGTGAACATGGCCCCAAGAAGGAAAATTGTCTCATTTACAATATCAATGTCGAATTCCCTGCTGACCTTGATTACTTTGACCAACTCAATGTTAAGGCCAAGGGTGGTTTCCTCAAGAACGGCAAAGGCATCGAAGGCGTTGAATTCGGTTCTATCAGAGCTGCTATCGGCCGTGGTGCCGTTATCTTTGATGTAATTATTCGCTCATGCTACAAACATGTTTCATTTTACTCACATTTATGCATATGGTAGGGTTTGAGAGCAAAGAACTTGTTGCTTGGTGTCTTTAGAGGTGTTGTCATGGGTACCTATCAACCTAGCGAGACTTTCTCTGCTGGTACTGTCCATGGTGCCTCCAAGGTCAAGATTGAACCCACCAGCGACAATATCAACATTACTGCCTCATCCACTTTTGGCCCTGCCTCTGTTGATATTGTAAGTTTGAGTTTGCTAGTCGGAAGAAAGAAAGTGCTAACCTAATTTTATAATGTAGCCCGCTGACAGCTTCAAGGGTCGATTTGCCTTGTTCAACATTTTTGGTGAGCCTTCCACTATCGAGGCTCCCAACCCAGAGGATATTCATGTTCAAAAGTTCAAGCCCACCATCAAGTCTGGCTACTACAAAGAAGACAATGAAGAGTCCCGTGTCGTTGTTTCCGCCAAACTCAAGGGCGGTGAAAGACTTACCTTTTACTAAGTCATTCTACTAAAATCAGTTTCACTATAAAAATCTTGGATGAAAATGTACTGCATTTTCGTTAGCCATTCTCTTATTTAAACCCTCTCGCCAATATATGTGTATACTTTATTATTATAAAAAATCATCAATATCATCAATTTCAAACATGCCACCTAATTTAATCTTGTCGCCATCATTGAAAGCAGGCATACCCATATAGGGACATGTGGAACATCTGAAAGCATCGCCCAGTGAGCAACTACCACAGCCAGAACTCTCTTTGGGAGTGGGATCGACTTCAATCACTTCCTCAATGTCATCCATCATATCTAAAGCAACCACATTGCCTGCTTCTTCCTCATCGCCTTCCTCTCTTCCACAGGTGCATCCTTTGCATGCTTTGCGCTTTCCATCAGCGAGATCACAGTTATCAGGGCCTACATGCATCGCCAACACATGTGTCAATCGATGGATTACTGATGCAAAAATGAGCATACACTTACGAGTCAAAGACGCCTTGTTGGGCCGGATTTTGTCCTTTTCATCAAGAAGCTCTTCTTCGTCTTCCAATTCCATGTCGATGCCTTCATCATCGTTGTTTGTGTTAATGAGCCAAACTTTTTTCTTTTCAGCTTTGGATGATGTTGATTGTGTGGAAGATTTCTTTTTGAAATTGAGCGCCATCTTTTGACCTACATTGTAGCCCGGCTTTTTTGCAAGGATCTGTATCATTCCAAATTTGCCAGACAGGCGAGTTACCATACCTCTATTGAGTTCGTCTTGTGGCACGCCCCACAGCTGGATTATTGCACTCAAATCTTGATCTGTCACTGGCAAGATCGCTTTGACAGAAACATGGACGAACCCAGCCAGCTTTAGCAAGGAAACTAACTCCTCTTGTTTGCGGGATATAGGGCACACAGTGTTGCTGAGGTCCTGCAGTAAGATGGGCTCTTGAAGAAGTAGCTGGCCATCATTTTTGAGTGTTGCAAGATAGCGAGACAGGATCATGGGTGTGTGGATTGAAACCGTAGGTAAGAACAGATTAGAGTAGATGCGATCAACACTGTTGTTGCGCAGTGGCGCTGTTGGTAATGCCATGTTACTTTTAGAGAGAATTCACTGATTATTCATCCTTACCCTGAGCAATTCTTTCAATGACCTCAAATAGCACGCTGCCACTGGAGCCTACTTTTTGTGCAGTATCGTGCTTGATCCGCATGAAAGCTGCTTCATTGATGGTAACTGGAGCTGTAAAAAGAATGGATTCCTTTTCAAGTGCGTCCATTCTCATTTTATATTGAAGCTTGAAGAAGAGAAACAAGCTCTTCTTTGATCAAGAATCGATTTATATATCAACATCTCGGAGAAGATCAAGGCATCTCCCCGATTTCAAACATGATTTAAGAACATGCATTGAAGCTGCGCAACAAATCAATAGGCATCAACTTATTACCCTGACTAATGAATCAGCCTTCAAATCAGGGTACAGCATGCCATGGAATACCATATGCTGTCTTGGGCGGACACTCATATAAGATCTACAAATATACATTAAGGAGCAATGCCCTTTATTTGACGTGCTAAACTCAATGTTTACAACTGTGGCGGGTGCTGCGGAGGAGTGGCACTCAACCCAAACAAACTGCCAGAAATCCTTCTGCTGGAGGAAATGCTATTTCTCTGTAAGCTGCTGCTGGCAGACGAACTGGCAGATGGCGATCGGCTCCCTGAAATAGATTGTGGTGAGACAAAACTATGGGATGAATGCATAAAGGTTAACTCGAACGGATCCAGAGTAGAAGGCGTAGTGGCTACTGGTGTCGTGGTAGATCTTTGAGACGAATTGGAAGCGGACCGACGTCCCTATAACAGAAATACGTTATACTAGTCTAGCAGTGCACCTGAAGCCAATCTTACCTGTTTTTCACTATTGGACGAAGCTTGCATTGCTCGAAAGACTCGCGGAAGTCGACTATCCAACACGGGTCAACATATAAAACATTTAAAACGACTGTATGCTTTTACCCATCGTCTATGTCTTCAAGTGGAAGTTTGTTTTCTCTTCTGAATTGAATTAGTTCAGTTTTGTACTTGTGGCACTGCTGATGCTTTTGGTAATCTACTCATTATAACAGTAAGTTACGCTGACTGCATAGTATGCGAATACTTGCATTCTTTCTCCATTTCCATGGCTCGGGCTCTTAGATTGGTCAGTTCATATCGAAGCACTTCCACTAGTCCTGGAGGTTCCTGCAGCATAAAATCGGCAATTTGTCTCGAAGGCGGTATAGCAGCAGCAGCAGCCGTTGCGGAAACTACAGGGTTTGCTGGTATGGAGGACGAGGAACATGCGGAAGAACCATGACGAGAAGGAATAGGTGAAATTTGTTGGTGCTGTTGACGAAGTAATTCCAGCTGCTTCTGCAGTCTATTCACCATATACTCTTGTTCTTGTTCCAATGAGTTCTCCAGGTCAATCTTTTCCTTTTGAAGCTTGTGTCTCGAGGTAAGTATTTGACGTGGAAACTGATACAAGCGCATGTATATACCTGCACTAATTTCTTTTGCAACATGTTGGTCAACCACTCTTCTTCCTGCTCAACCTGGATCAAAAGCTCTCCTTTTTCCTTTTTCAGCCCTGTAATGTGCTTGAGCAGTTTGTTGGATATAGACTCTTCCTCTTGCTCGGCGAGAATGGACATGTCTACTGCAGCCTTTTTGAGCGACTGATTCTCATGGCGCAAAATGTTTGCGTGTCCTTGCTCCATCTCTATATCAAATTCCAGTTTCTTTATGTGAAGCGATTGCTGATGATACTGATCGTACAGCTTTCTGATTTCTTGCCGAAGCTGTTGTATGTTATCCATGGCAGCAATGTGCTGCATATAATCATCTCTAGTGGAGGTGTCTGATTCAATGTATTTCCGAATGTATCCCTCCTTATATGTTGCTAGAGGTCAGTCTTCCTTTTCATACTACAAGCAATGGCTGTGTTACCATAAATGTCAGTTTTTCAGAGCTGGGATGGCGTGTAGATACAGTACACGTGGTTGTGCTTGATGTTGCAACTTGGTCTTCTTTTGCTGTCTGCAACAAGCTCATTTCAGGAGTGAAGAAGCGAGACAACAGCGAGGAAATTCCGATGAATCTAAATCAATAATGGGTTGAAATAAAACCAACCTAAAGCAGAATCTAGGCGGTCAAGGGACAGGAGAGGTACACGCACAGAAAAGATGCTTACCAGCAGTATCCAGGGGAATGTGAGTATTCACAAAGAAAAAGAGGTCAATATGGATTGTATGGCATGAATGCTGTATGAATATAATATAGGCGAACACCCACACGTCACTTGCACTAGAGCAGCATACAACAACATGCAAACAAAATGTTAGACATGTAAACAAACTGTTTCTAGTACACGATGTGTGTTTGTGTACTACCAATGCGTTTAAAAAATCGTTTTTTCTTAGTGTATCCAGGGGTGATAAAAGACTCCTAAACGGTAAATTTAGATACAGTGCATACCATGATATAAATCACTTTGAAAGAGATAGATAGATATATATATATATGTATCAGTAAAAGAAAAGCACTGCACCTTTCTCTTTCTTTCTCACTCTCCTACTCAACATACACACACACACACATGAATTCCTCCTCTGACAATTGTGCAAGCTGTACTCGAAGAGTATATGTCATTGAAAAGGTGGAAGCAAACAACCACATCTACCACAAACAGTGCTTCAAGGTATAATATAGACATGCACACACTAACATAAAGAAAACGTGAGTTTAATCCTATGAATAGTGCAAAGAAAACGGCTGTCGTTTGACAATTGCCAATTTTCACTATCATGATGGCGAGCTATACTGTCCAAAGCACGTTCCAAAGCTTCAGGCTGTTGTTTTGACGCCAAGTATGTCTCCCATGGTGGTCTAAACAACAAGGCACTAATCATCCACACCAACTACATAGCAAAGAAAAGAGTACAGCCAGCAGACTTCAATATGGGTCGTCTCTAAATGATGAAATAAAGTTTATTATGCATGTTTGATGGAATAATACTGTGTATGCGTCTATAAATAAGTATGTGTGCTATGCTTTGTGTATATGATGACAAGAGAGATATATGTGCCTACTCTACAGGCTTTGTTCTGATACTGCATCTCGATCCATCTCCTTGGTGTCAGAAATCTCGAGGGGTTTGTAAATCAAGTACAAAACAAAAGAAAAGTACATGATACAGAGCACCATGGCATACAGGGGCCATTGCAGATCATCCAAGTAGTCGATAACAAGATAGACATTGAAACCGATCACAATAAATGAAATGGCCCAACATACAACATTGGTAATCGTTGAGTTTTTGAATACCTTGGTCATCACTCGCTGCGATGCTGTCAGTTTCAGGATGGGTATCACAGCTGTAGGAAGGCACAAACTATGTATGTATACACAGATCAATACAAACACTCTCTTCACATTAAAAAAAAAAAAAAGGAAGTTACCTCTGAAGCACATTCAAGAACTCGCCCATTGTATCAAATCGATCTACAGCTAATACAGCGACCAGCATACTGGGCACAAGTGCAACTGCGCGAGTTAATGCAACACGATGCCATTGCTTCTTAAAGATGGCTCCTAAAAACCCTTCCACAACCTATATACGCATATATCAATTATATACTTATTCTTCTTGCTTCTCTCTCTCCTGTATATACACTTACATATTGGCCTGCTAATGTACCCGTCATTGTGGAGCACTGACCAGCCGCTAAGAGACCCAATGCCCAAAAATACTTGGCATTTCTACCCAGCGTGTTTGAGAGCACTTCAGACGCATCATACAAGCCAGGCAACTGTGTGATGGGCTGACCAGGCTTATAGAATACTTGAGCAAAGACAACGACAACAGCCAAGTTGATCAAATAGGACACAAGCAACGATACTGTAGATTCAATGGCAAAGTAAAAGTTGGCTTCTCGCTTTTTGTTCTCTGTAGGCGTCGTGCCGAGATAACGAGACATCACAAGAGCACTTACAGGTAATGTCATGAGTTTTTTTATACACAGCAAGCCGCCTCGTTGTATGCCTTACCTGTGCAAGAACATGTTGTGTGGCATAATCACAGCACCCACCATACCCACTGCTTGCGTTGTTGCTTCAGCAGGGATCTCAGGCACCAAAATACCTTGCAGGATCAGATCAATACTGGGCTGTGAAGCAAACATTTCCAGCCAAAAGCATACAGTCATTACGCCAATGAGGGTCATAAAGAACACTTCAATCTTGCGCACACCATACTGCTGTAGCCACATGAAGAGAAATGTGTCTGTCGCTGTGATCATGACGCCTACCCATAATTCCAGCGAAAACAAGATTTTAAGTGCAATCGCTGTGCCGATGATTTCTTGAATATCTGATCCGATGATGGCACATTGTGTAAACAGCCAAATAGCTACGGATGCTGGTCTGCTGTAGTTTTGTCGAATGAGTTGAGCAAGATGGCTCTGTGTCACCACGCCCAATCTCAGTGATAAAATTTGAATGGCTAAACCTATTGCTATGTGTTGGAGGACTTGATTCTTTGTGCAGAGTTCATTGAGAGTTACCTGCAACATGAGACCAGAACAATAGCCATAGCAACTTGTACCCAGCAACAGAGCCAGCTTGGAGATCAGATTCAAGATTTCCGGGATCCAAATATGCAATGGCCCTAATTGAAGTCAACGGTTAACACACGAAAGACACATACACATTCTTAACGACATTTACATGAGCCATCCTATCGCACACATGATTAATCAAGTGCACACGCATAACATATCACCTCTCACTTACCAGGGCCTGTGTATTGGAGCAATTTATTGAATGAAAATGCAGTAAACTCTTCTTCTGGGCCTGTGTTCACTTGGCCTTTGACGTCTATCTCTACATTCCAGTCGTAATTGTCTCTGGATTGATAGTTGCTTTGTACATTTTCAAGCAGCCTAGAAGCCTCTGATGAGTTTTCTCCATTTAACTGCATTCTGTAGCAATGGATGTTTTACAAGAGAAAGAGAGAAAGAGACTAATTAAATGTAGAGATATGTAAAATTTGAGCTCCTCTCTCCATGTTTCTATTTTATGTCGTCATGGAGGCACCTCTTCTTGGTCCCTGAATATAGTAAGGCCCTCTCTCTCTCTCTCTCTCTCTCTCCCTTTTTAACCTCTGCGTTACCCTCGTGTCAGAGCCAATGATGGCTATACAGAAACTTAAGAGCCCCAAACAGATATAGCTATACACTTGCACAATGAACACGATCAGTGGCTCGTGCACCCATCTACTCAGTCCTTGGTTCTGCCTGATCCATCTCATCTCTTGTAACATGAGGCAGAAATCCCTTATCTGATCCCTTACATTTGATCGGCAATAAGTGTGCTGGCACTGTTAACTATGCAACAGTTATCTACTATAGCAGAGAGGAGTATGGATCACTTGCGTGAACATATGTGTTGATGCCCATTGGACACATTGCGCGCAGTTTTGTGCTAAATACAACAATCAGATGTGTTTGGGTTCAGTGACTCGAGTTTTCTCTCTCAAATGTCCGTTGCTCATCGGTTTTGCATAAGAACGCTTTTGCTCTCTTTGTAAAACGCAAAAGATGGATACAGATGCACCCACGTTGAACCCTGTAGAGTATTTGAATACACTGCCAGTCAGAAAAAGAGACTCATGCTGTCTATTAGGATACCGTGTCAAAAGTGTTCAAATCCTCTTTCAAGAACCAAAACTCTAGGCGTATGATATCAAGTTCTTAATGAGGTGCTCTCGTACTAACCGTGTGCATAGTCAACAAGGAAGCTCTCCATCTTTCATGCGAGTTTCTACGTTTATTCACAGTGGGTAGGTTTGCTGGTGGAAATAGAGTATGCTCGTCACACTCACTCATCATGGTATGATGTAGAGGCTCTTCATAGGGCATCTGATGAACAAGACAGAATCGAGAGCTCCATATCAGATGAAACTGGCACAACACCCAGAAAAACATTGCAGGTTGAACATCTGGAAAGAATACTGCCACAGCTTTTATTGGATTTTTAACGATTCATTCGTAATAAACAACTATCTACTACCAATATACGAGGAGCGACTACTGCTAGCGGGTGGCACACCTACACTGCGACGACTAGACGCCCTTCGCAATGATCCACCGCCATTCCCTGCGCCGAATTTCATGTTTGGTGGAGGGGCCAAAGGAGCTAGAGGCGGCGGTACCATATCACCATACAAATTCATCATGGGAGGCTGTGGTGGCGGTAACCCTCCCATCATACCAGGCGGTGGAGGCATCGGTGGAGGTCCGCTCAAAGACATACGATGCATCATCATTTGGAATTCTTCATCATCAGCTTCATCTAATTGCCGGAACATGCCATCACGCTCATTATCGGCAGCATTGGCCTTGTGTGATTTACTGGATTTTGTGCTACGATGCATGGATGACCTTCTTGAATGCGGCAGCGATTCTGGGTATGGGGAGAGATCGTTCATCATCCAAGCTTGTGGAGGTGGGGGAGGGGGTGGCGGTGGGCCTTGTTGACGGCCATACATGGGGATACCTGGAGGAGGAGGAGGAGGAGGAGGCGGTGGACCAGAGAGGAAGGTACCTGGTGGCGGTGGCGGCGGTGGAGGAGGCCCTGGGTGCATTGATGGAGGTGGGCCATATCTTCCAGCACTCGACCGTTGATTTGAATAAAAGCCATTCATTGCAGCAGCCATCGCTTCATCTTCCATAGCAGCTGCTGCCACTGCCGCTGCCGCTGCTGCCGAAGTGCCATCTGGATGTCGAAAGTCTAGATCATCTTCATCTTCCTCTTCATCTGAAAATGCTCGATTGTACGGTGAGTCGTCATAGAATTGTCTCATATACATCATTCGGTCGTAGCCACCACCTCGAGCAGCTGTGTCGAGCATGTAAGGCGGCATGGGTGGAGGCGGAGGAGGTGGAGGCACTATACAGTACGGGCCATTGTCCATCAATTCATAGGGAGCATGATAGAACTTCCTCTCAGAGGAGCGATGATGACGATGTTGCTGCTGATGAGGTGAATAGTCATCAAATGAGCTTCTTCTTTCTTTGTTATTGTTATTGTTACTCTCGGAGTGGTGGTAAATATCAGGTGATTGGGGTGCGTAATGTTCTGCTGTGGGTGTACCACCACCATTGTGAGGAGTAACATCTTCATCATGAGCAAGACCGTTGTTGTGTTGTTGATGTCCTTTATTAGTGTTAGATCTGCGTTTGTAATAAAGGTGTCTTTTACCGCTACCATATGGCTTTGTTACATCACTGGATAAAGGATACTCGTCAGGCGAATTCCCACTTTTGAGCTCTTCCAAGTAGTTTGCTCGTGCAGTGACATGTCGAAGACGACGTTGCAAGTCCAGTTTCTCCATATGTAGTGCTCGATTCTCTTCAATGATAGCATAAATATCTTGTATCGACAGTTGATCTAAACGCATGGGTGGTCCAGGAGGAGGTGGAGGAGGTGGAAGATGGTATCGTATCGAAGGCGCATAGTTGTCCTGAAAGTAAGGGCCGCCCTTGTTTCCATTACCACGACGACCGTAATAGGGTTGTTGTTGTTGTTGTTGTTGTTGCTTTGATGGGAAGGGGTGTTGATGGTGAGGTGGCGGATGATCGTAAAGGTCTGGCTGATAGTCATTGTAGTTGGCTTTGGATCTTTTGTTTTCTGGCTGCTTGCCATGGTTGGTGGTGCTGTTCACGCGATTGTTGGCTTCATTGGTAGCAGCAGGTGGATCTTGCTCATTGAATGAGAAACGTCGAATCATAGACTCCACGTTGGAAGCAGGGCCTTTAATGTCTGATGAGGAAACGCCCCGTCTGTGTCTCGAAGTGGATGCTGATGCTGTTGGAGTAGCTGTGCCTGGATTTGCTTGTTTTTGTGATTGTTTCAATGGATCATTATCCATCCAAGAATTGGACGGAGCCGATTTCGAAAGCGCCTCATTGTTGCTGACATTGGCAAACTCGCCCACCTTTTGATCCTTCTCGCTTCTACCATTGCCATTCTTTGGCTGCTGATGTATATCATAGTCATAGTAACCTCGCTTATCTTCTTCTTCTGCCATTATTCTTTGCTGCTGCTGTTGTTGTTGAGCACTAATGGCATTGTCTTTTGACATTCAAAATGTTGCCAGTTTATAAAAGTAAAGGTGAAAGAGAGAGAATAAGATAAAGATGGAAAGGAAGCTATTAATAAAAGAGGCTATTTGTTTACATTGTACACTCTTTTTAACCAAGATCGGATCATCCGTCCTCATCTCCCTCACATTACTGCAGTCTTTTGTGATCACAGAAACACAAATTGAATCATATATCTATAGACACTTTTATACACATGTCCGTTTATAGAGATTCCATAGCTGGCCACCGAACGCGACATGTTGCGGTCCGGATGCACTTTGAAACCCACATCCTCAGGGTGGTATTCTCACTCAGCGAAAGCGTACAAGCAACTCATCAAAATGGAAACCATAGTACCTCCTCTTTCAGCTCCCATAAGCACCCATTTTGAACAATGAAGTAATGTATCATCCATCGCATCGAGACGCTACAACAGAGACCATCCATCACTGCGACATTAGATTTGATTGACATGATTGAATGGATACGCTGTGTGGATGGATCGAGTTGGAAAATTTTAATAGATGGATCCCGTCGCTAACATGGATATTTTTTTTCCTATGAATAGGCTTGAGATTTGCTCCTTCTCTGGTCACAAGATTTATCCTGCCAAGGGTAAGACCTACGTCCGTGTCGACTCTAGGTAAATTTGCAATGCAATTCATGATGGTGAATTTTGTATACTAACATTGCGTTCTATAGAGTAAGAAATCAACACAGATACATGACATGTGGTGAGTGTGTACTAACCATTTTACATCATTAGACTTTCCGTTTCATCAACGGTAAGGCTGCCTCTTACTTCCTCCAACGTTTGAACCCTCGTAAGATCAGATGGACCGTCATCTACCGTCGTTTGAACAAGAAGGGTATGACTGAGGAAGTTCAAAAGAAGCGTTCTCGTCGTACCGTCAAGCACGAACGTGCTGTTGTTGGTGCCTCTTGGGATGCTATCCGTGCCAAGCGTAACCAAAAGCCTGATGCTCGTGCTGCCGCTCGTCAAGCTGCCATCTCCAAGTCCAAGGACGCCAAGAAGGCTGCTGCTGCTGCCAAGAAGGCTGCTAACCCTGCTGTAAGTATATGGTATGTCACTAAAAAGGAGGATGTGTAATTGACACAGTGTTTTCTCTAGGGCTCTCAAGCCAAGGTTAGCAAGCAACAAGCCAAGGGTTTCGCCCCCAAGGCCGCTGCCACCTCTCGCTAAATTGCTTTACAACCAACAATTTTAATATGAAATAAAGATGTAAATTCATTGTTTATTTATCATTATATGTTGACAGTTTTCAGAAGGGGAGAGATTGGAGCATGATGAATAGCGGTGGTGGGACGCTTTGTTACTGAATCTATGACAGACTGCATGAAGAGTTTTGCCTTAAGAATATAGGCTTGTAAGAAATCAAATGCCTGGATCAGATTTACACATGAATCACAAAAGCATAGGCTGTGCTGCTTGAAAAATTATGCTCAATGTTCTATATTTACTCATTGCAAAAATATGTTCATTGGCATTAGTTTTTGACGCTTTATTCAATTAGATATTTCGCACAGCATGCCCCCCCCCCCAAACACATTTATCGGCCTAAACGAAGGAATGATGAGTCAATACCTGTTCTCCCAAAAGCACATAACGAGCATCTTACCCATCCAGCCACCGTCAACAACAAGCAGTTCTCCGTTAACGTAATTACTAGCCTGACTGGCCAAGAATACTAGAGGACCTTTCAGATCTTGAGGCGTTCCATAACGCTGTGCTGGAATACGAGCCAAAAGATCGCGATTGCGAGTTTCATCGTTTCTCAGTGCACTTGTCATGTCAGTAGCAATGTAACCTGCATTGTAACCATTAGAGATTTTCAACCGCTGACACTACATATTGCATTGGTACCTGGTGCAATGGCATTGACATTGACATTGTGTTGTGCCCATTCATTTGCCAGTGCTTTGGTCAATGTAGCAACGCCGCCTTTGGCTGCTGCATAGGCAACAATATGGATGCCGCCTTGATAACTCATTAAACTAGCAGTGTTGATGATCTTACCAGACTTTTGTGCCACCATATGCTTGCCCGCAGCTTGGGCCAAGGTAAATACAGACTTCAGGTCGCATTGAATAACAGAATCCCAATCGTCTTCCAAAAAGTCGACAGCACTGTAGTCATTTAACGTCGGTCTCTACCTAGATACACATGCAGTAGCTTACTTACGGGTTTCGCTTGGTGATGCCTGCATTATTTACCAAAATGTCCAATCTACCATCGAATTTCTCGAGGACTAAGGGAATACACTTTTTAACGCTGGCTTGGTCATTGACATCCAAAGGAACGATATGGCATTGACGGCCCAAAGCAACAATCTCGTTATATACACTGAAGTCTTGTGTATTTCGCTGTAACAAACAGACATCTAATCAACTAATGATGGGTACGTTATCTCGCGTGTATTCCTGGTGATCTCCTTCACATACCGGCGCCAGCTTCTGCTAATGCTATAGCCATATCACGGCCGATACCTCGCGTACAGCCGGAAATAGCTGCTACCTTGCTAGAAAGAGAAAACAAACTGCTACTCATTATAAATACAATGCACAAAAGAAACAATGCTCGCGAAATCATTTTCTCAGCACTTCACTTGTGTAGATGGCAGGAACTAAAGTTACCAGCGGGTAATTATAATTCTCCTCGAGAAACCATTGGCAGAAAAGCACAATGCGTGTGAACGATCATTGTGTGATTTAATTGATGAAAAAGATGCTATTAGAAAGAGAGGCAATCTAGCATACTACTCTTTTCGTCAGGGCCAATCTCTAGTAAATTTCGGTTGATTCCTCTACACCATACACAGCTTTTTAGTGGTTCTGATATGAGAAAGCAACGAGATAAGGCACACTTATCTTCACAATGGACGAGTAATGCTCGAATGAAATATTAATAGATAAGTGAGCGTAGTGTTGTGTCAAAGAGATTCAAATTCTCAGACCATTCTCGGTGTTGGCTGATGCCCGCAAGAGAGGGATCTGACACATAGACTTCTAGAGTAATTTTAATGATTGAGTTGGTACAGTGAGATAATAACCTACCTCTGTATTACAATTTACATGCCTATCATGATTAAATCGCAATACTGGCTCGCCAGAAAAGTTGCATTGATGTTTAATAAGAGCATCTCCTCTCCTGTAGCGAAAACAAGATGTTTAGACATGGTTGCATGTACCATCTTTCTCGAGGCCTTGAATACTTTCAATCTCGTTGGACGCCACCGTGATTTTAAAGATGCAAGACGTACTTGATAGCCGTGAATAGTCACCTTGGCCAAGGTATTGCGTTACATTGCCATCTGTTTGTTTGTGGGAGAATAGCGACTCTCGTCTAAGATGTTCCTGAAGACGCCTCTCCAAAGCTTCCTTCAAAAGACGGTCAATGGAGTAGGAAAAGTACAGGTTGTTGATGATTTTTAAGCTTCCTTTGACGATCAAAGCAGATACATGATATAAACCAAAGAAGGATGAAAAGAAAGCGTTAGTGATAGTTGTTGCATTGTTGAAAATTGCTTGCGCCAATCCCACTTCCAAGAGCAAACGTTGAGATAGTTGCAGGGCATTACGGCACTGCCCGTCTATCAAAACCAGAGGGCAAGTGTCTACTAGCTCTTCACTCGAAAATGTATCTCTAGTTTCAAACTAAAGTATTCGTCAATTTGATTAGTTTAAATGTTTCTATTACTTGCTCTGCATAAACCATAGCAACAGGACTATAATCAAGTGGCAGGTGCAATTTTTTATAATATTATATGTGAAGACAAATGTAGGGAAAGATTTAAAAGAAGGATAAATTGTAGACTGGCCTGAATAAGATCCTCATCGATCGTCTTATGGATGTCGAATTGGATGCTATTAAGCACAGCAGGGCGAGCGAAGGAAATTTAATCGAATTTAAGACGACAGTGAACCTTCCAAATGTCAGACATCGTAATGATGACTATATGATGGGAGGAGACATGCATTTTCATCTTTAGAAAAGGTCAGCCAGCAGCGCCAAAATATTTTACATTCAGTAAATTATTTCTGCTCAAGATTGGCCAAGTTTTGTCTTTTTTTTCGACTTCTTTAATCTTTTTTGTGCGATTCGACTATGTAAATTGTGATGATCATTCGATGCTTCCTAATACACGACATTTAAAGGACTTTAAATAAAACCTGGAGCTCGTCTCCCCTACAAAAAAAAAAAAAAAATGCTTCCTAATACAGTGTCGTGCCTAAATTTAGGTTTAAGCCAAATTTGAAGAAAGCGACTAAAAGGCGCCAGCGTATACTCGAAGGTTCTGGAAACTGATAGCAAACATTGATCTGATTATCAGTTGCTATATCAAGTACTATATCTACTCGAAAGTTCCATTGATTAAGTAATTATCGATAGTAGAAATAGTATAAATATAAGTTGTAAATGCAATCAATAAACGGTATCTTCAAACATAATCTCAATCTATTAGTTACACTCTAAGTTATTTGTTAACTCCTACCATTGGATCTATCTATCAAGACGACAACAGTCCCTGGTGGTAGGGCGAAGTGGTAGAACTCCCGTATGCCAACGGGAGGATCCCGGTTCAAATCCTGGTGAACGCAAGTTGTTTGATTTTTTTTGACGTAGTACTGATGTCCTCGTTTGGGGTTCTGTGCTCTTATCCATGATCTATATTTTGACGATTTCCGCAAGACTGTACTGGATCTAGGAGTCGCACCTTATTAGTAGTAGATTTCTTTCCCAACTTAGTTCAAAAATATCTTATTCCCCTTCATTGCAGACATTGGGTCCACCAACAGTCTTTTCTATCCCTCAGTATGACATTTAAAGGGCTTTAAATAAAAACTGGAGCTCGTCTCCCCTACAAAAAAAATGCTTCCTAATACATTCTTGGAGTACTTTTCAAGGCGCTTCCAATGGTGCTAAGTGTAATAGATGTCTTGACTGAAACTATGGAGCAATTTGATAAAAATGAAATGAGGTTTTTGGCAAAAATGTCGAAATTTTGCATATGATGGCTTCACAAAAGCAGTTTCAGGGATTGCTTTGGATCGACAGAAGCATTTTGATGTAATATATACCATAGTAACGAGCCGTTTGAACGGAGGTTGATTTCCACCGAAGCGAAGCGTAGGTCAGGAAACCACCCGAAGTGCTGAAAGGCTCGTATACCATAGTAAAAGTCTTTATTTTCCAGGTGAAAAACGCGATCTTTTGATTTTCGATGGAAACCATGAGGTGCCCCTCATGGTTTTTTTTTGTTAAGCACGAAGAATAAAAGGATTATTATTTGTAGCTTATAAAAAATGTACGATATTATAAAAACAAGAAAAGACTTATTTGAATAAGATTAGACACAAAAAACTAAAGATTTATTGATGAAGACAAGAGTCATTCTATTTATACTAAGTTCTGAATGCCAAAGTAGCAATTTATCTTGTACAACGCTTATCACATCTGGTGAACCTCAGCGTTTAGATAGCTGAGATGCGCTTCAATTATCATTGCTTGTCCATGTTGTTGCACAACACAGACATATCTACCCGTCAAGAATACCTTAATCTTTATAGACAGTTGTAGCCCTTCTAGCACAACAATGTTGTTTCTATTGTAGTTCCTGAGACATCCGTGCACACACAATAATTGACTGGACTGGTAAACATAAATGTGATTTGATACGATATACATCATCTATGTTGCTACACTGTAAACATGGCTTGAGGAAAAAGTAAATGTAGCCTAAGATGCATGCTTATATGCAACATTGCGGTTGTTTGGCAAAGGTTTTAAGCCATAATAGTGTTGTGCATCTCACCACGAAGGGCAGACAGCCTTTCCACGCCTTGGATTGATACTAGAGATTTCATAATATACAGTACAGAACATCTGGTTAATCAGACAGAAGCGTAACTTACTCTTCTGGTAACGCAACCCATTACGCTGTCGTTTTAGGTCGAATTCTGTTCAAATCTAGCCATTTTCAAGTACGAATAATTCATGCCACAAAGCGTTTTGAGCGCTTGGAATAGCACCACACGCCTCCTCTCGGCCACGCTTTACTTCCTGATGCTTTATCTCATTTTTTTTGGGTCGTTGCAAATTCACGAAAATCCTCATTTTTCCATGAGTATTAGCAAGGGAAAATTCTTGAAAATCAAATGATTGCGTTTTTCATGTCAAAAGTGAGGACTTTTCCTATGATATATATTAGATCAAATTGATCGTAAAGATGAAATGCAACATTGTAAACTCTTTCTATGATATTTTCATATGCTAAATTTTGACATATTCACAGAAAACCTGTTTTCATATTTTTGGAAATTGCTCATTATTTCTGATCCGAAAGCTGAAAGAAATTAGCACCATTCGATGCGGCTTCTTTAGTTCTCTAGAGATGTATTAGAAAGTTGGGTGTGACAACGATAGTTTTCGTAGTCAAATTTAGCAAAAATGTTTAAAGGATGTGAGATCAAGTTAAGTGTGAACACGAAAATACCTACTACACAAATTCAAATTAAATTGCCGCACTTACTGCTGCTACGGCAAAAGACTGAGACCAAATTTACTGGCCGTGACGTTGGGTAGGGCGCCCTCTCATTTTTCTGTACCCCATTTTTCCCCTTTTTGCAAAACGCGTTTAGTATCAAACCATGGTGGCTTTGGAAACCGTTTCATTGATAATAACACTCCAGCTTCTGATAATGCTGTATTGTACTGTGAGAAAGACTTGGTGCCGTTTCTTTGAAGTGGAATATATTAGGTACCGTTCGATAACGAGCACTGGAAGACATAGAATTAACACCAATTGAATTTGTTTATTATGTTTTGATGATTTTTTTGCCTGTTTGACGTGAGTGCTGCTGCCATTCCTTTTCTGCTGTCTCTGCTGTCTGCTTCTTTGGTCTTTGCCTGGTCTCTGGTGTCGTTCGTTCTTTAGTTTTTCTATTGTGCTGGTGTTGTTGCTGCCGCTGCTAATATGGCCTTTCCTGGTCTACTGTGTTTGGTGCATGCTCATTCTTTGGCCTATATCCGGTGATTGTGTATCCTCTGGTCTATTTACGGTGGTGGTAGGTGGTAAGTATCTTCTTTCTTCTGGTCGCAATGATATAAAACTTCTTTGAACGTTTGTATTATTGCTTCCTTTTTTATGATAATGCATTCATGATGTTCGCTTCGTTGCGTTTTTTTTTCTTCTTTTGTTGGTTGTGTTGCTTTACATCCGACTATTACCATGCATGTTGCTCACGTATGCGTTTTTGTTGCAACAACAACGAGCTGTTCTGAACGTCTCTGCTGTTGTATTTTTTATACTTTTCTTTTACTCACTTTGTGTGAGTCTTCCTTTTTTTGCCTACATACTATTATACTTCTACAGTACAGTAGTATGTTCTTTTCTTATTTCTTTTATTACTATTATGTTTCTATGAAGCATACTTTTTTTTACGTTGTGTGGATGTGCCTATCCCTGAAGCTCAACAAGACTTTATCCGAGGCTAGGAGGTAGATAGGCTGCCTCCACTTGGTTATCACTACTTACTTTAGTGATGATTGAGAGTCTCAACGCCAGAATCTAAAGCTAGGTGGTGTAAGTAAGGCATGCTCTAGCACCTGGGGGAAGTTTGATGACAGCAGCGGCTATAATGCTATTATAACGGCGCTTAAAATTTTGCCTCACATCCAAACAGGGGGAAACCCTCGCAAATTTTTTTTTAGGTCAGCGGAGTTTTCAAGTGATTTGATTGGCTCAGAGGTTCAGGGGCCGAATGGCTATAGCTAGTTAATTTTCCATTGATCTGTTATTTAACATTGATCTGTCATTTAACATTGTTTTGTCTTTTATAATAATAAAAGCTTAATCAAATGGAAACAACTTAAGTTCTTTATTATTTAAAACTGCAAAATAAGGCGCTATCAATTGATCTAGCATGCATTAAACAATGGCATGTGAGTGATTATCCTTTAAACTTGATATTATGTGGGTGGAGGAAAGCCATATACAAGTACAATACTACTTTAAGGATCAAGAAGACTTAATACCAGATACCCCCCCCAAACATGCGGTGTTTATCAGTATTTTCCAACACGTCTCAATGTAATGGGTGGCTATCTTTTACCTCATATCAAAGACTTCGTATGTACAAAAGTATCTTTTATCTTGAAATTTACGCCATCTGTGGAATACATCCACTATGATCTGCATCCCAACAGTTCATCCAGTTACCAAATTTAGATATAATCTGTATGTACACTGGATTAGATGTACGATATCGATTTATACTATAAGAAGATATGGACATCAGATACGCTAGTACTATAAGATTCATACTATATAAGATATAGGCTATAGATGGCACCACGGACATGGATGGCGCTATATACTTATACTTGTATTCCGACATTGACTACGGATGTTTGCCATATCTGGATAGGTACCAAGATTAATGCAATATGAGCTTGTTGCTTCAGATGTGCACTCCATGATCCACACTATAAGACACAGGCTTATATCAGTAATACCAGCTACTACAGATACACTATGTACTACAGACTTGTACTCTACGGTATATGAGATGTGCTATAGACATACATACGATATGCTATAGAAGACATGCAATATTATATTCAGATACATGTTAAAGATGTACACTCAGCAATATACACTGAGATGTGTAAGATCGATAAATTTGGGAGATTCATGGACAATCATTCAAAATAGTAAAAAATTCAATCTCCGTTTAACCTTTGCATGTGTACACCACACAAGTATGCATTTGATCAAGCATTTTATAAATCGGAAAGTACGAAAAGGGCCATATTAACTTGCTGGTTTCAAGTTATCAATAGATACTTGACATGGTGGAAAATCTTTCTTTTAAGACTAGACAGTTGTAGCTTGCTTTGTTCGATTATAATAAGATTTCCAAATCAAAATACGCATATTACTCTGCTTAAAAACAGCATCTTTAATGTTGCAATGAAATCAGATTTAATAAATTAAAAAAAAATAAAGTAATCGTAAAATACAATTGAAATCAACTGTGGTTTATTTGTGTGTAAAATATACGAAGATTGTGGAATGGAGTAAATAAAAGAAGAGTATTTACAGATTTGCAACCAGCTTGTAGAATTCGTGATGATAGAGAGCAATAGGTGCGGCTATTACGATATCTGGCAAATGTTGTTGATGCTTGATTTAAAGTGGTAATCAATGCAAGAGCACTGGCCATAAAGATCGATTTGAGTAACCTTGATGGGCTTGGATGAGCAATCGTCATAGCATAATTTAATGTAAACTTGATAGTTTAAGGTATGATGTCTGTTTTTGAAGTGTAGAACCCTTTATCTGGGGCATTATGCAACTATGGCATCAGGGCATAGTTGTCATATTTGGATATGATTGTTATTGGTTTGATTTTATTTGGATAAAGATAACTTCTCTTATTACGACCATCATGGGTGTGATTGAATACACTGTGGTTAAGTGTGATTCATTCACACGATATACAACATAAGGCTGGATTTATACTTTAGTATGTTTAAATGATAGTTTAATGCACATTTAAGAGCATTTATTAAGATAATGTTGTTGCAAAAGACACTGTTATGAGGCAAATCTCCCCAAAAAAAAAAGTATGTGGGCTAAGCAATTGTCCTTTCAATTCCACGATCCCCATTTAATAAGCATCGCAATCACCATTGTTATCAACAGAAAGGCATTTAGATCAGCCAGCAGCAAGCCGCCGCCAAAATTGATTCAAACTCAGTTTTTTTTTCTGTTCAAGATTGGACAGATTTCATCTTTTTTCGACTTTTTTAATCTATTTTGTGATATCCGACTATATAAACTGTGATGATCACCCTACGCTTCCTGATTCATCCTTGAAGTACTTTTCAAGGCGCTTCCAATGGTTTTAAATGTAATAGGTGTCTTTACTGAAACTATGGAGCAATTTGATAAAATATGAAAAGAGGTTTCTGGCCAAAATGTCGAAATTTTACATATCAAAGTCCCACAAAGATGATTTCAGAGGTTGCTTTGGATCGATAGAAACATTTCGATTCAAGATATACCATAGTAAAAGTCTCCATTTTCAAGGTGAAAACGCGATCGTTTGATTTTCGATGAAAACCATGAGGGGTACCTCATGCTTTTTGGTCGAATTTTGTTCATGTTTTTTTGATCCCCAAAAAATTGAGCAAAGACGTCAGAAAGTTACTGTTACTCAAGTACAGTTGTTTGATGTCATTCCGGTAGTTCAGAAAAGTCTACATGTCAAGATATGAAGGCTTGAAAGCTGTCTAATCTGGTTGTATTTTTGCTTTATGGCTTTTATTTACAAGGTATGAATCACATCCTTGGTAGCTAAAGGGCAGTTCTGCAACCTGTACAACTTTTAATTCTAATAGAAAGCATATTGATGGTGGTAAAAGCTAATTCAAGCAAATCTTGATGTGTTAAGTTGCTGACAAGCTTAATAATAATCAATATGAAAAGTCAAATTTACTGCTTGATTATTATGGTTTTACACGTTTGCTTCGTTATGCAAAAATCCTCTTAAGGTAAATATTACCAAATGCTGCCTTGAACCAGAAATCATTTAATCCACAGTCAAATAGTAGGCAAGAAAACACTTGAATTAGATGCGTTAGGTTCTTGGGAGAGGCGCTTTTAATCTCTGATCGGCTAGGGCGGCGCTTTTGTATTCATGTTTTATTATGTATGTAATGATTAAAGATCTTGTTGATAAAGAAGAAAGAAGTATCGTACATGCAACTGTTCTGTTTGAGTCTCAGTGAACGTTTTGTGAGTAAATCTCGTGTTACTAAGAAATTGACTCAGATGTTGTATGCAGAATGTATAAGAAGATAAGGCATGGACGTACATGGTGTACAAGTAAAGATACAAGCACATTTGAAATAACCACTTGATTGTGTATAGAATCTATCAATCGAAAAACAAAAAACCAGCAGTTCAGGTTCAAATTGAAAGCACAACGTACAACGAGTTCGATGATTCAGGAACGGCTACTTCACAAGCAATGTAAGCATCAACAACGACTGTGCCTTAATGATGCTACCCGGAGATGCGCTCAAGCTGAGATTTTCCAAAGCATTGAATGCCTCAAATGAAATGCAGTTCTCTCTGTCATAAATTTCGATAAACAAACGGAAGCGTTGCCTCATCGCTTCCCCAACTTGAACGGTCCAACTGTAGAGCATTGAAATGCTCTTTAAACGTCATCTGTCTACCAGTCTGTTTTTCAATCTACATTTGCTGTAGTTGACAGTAAAACTATATTTATGCTGTTTATTAAGAAATCAGCTGGGCCCTTTTTGTTGACAACTATAATGTTTACCACTTGTTTCAAAGGATCTACATTAATTGACGAATAAGCTTACTGGTAGTATACTCAATGCTCTAAATTAGTACATGCTGGTCATTCCTTTTTCGTCTTTTTGATTTCATATAAGGCCCTTTTCATAGTCGAGTACCTTGCATACAATCCGTAATTTAGGCACGATATCGAATAAGATCATCTATTGTACTGACAGGCATTCCAACTGGAGGTCATCTTGCTACTGAGGCTTGCTGGACAGGCTTATCTAAGAACGCGTATATATTTTTAGTGTAACTATACTCCACTTCGATTCTAATGGCGGGAATTCTAGCTGGTTGTGCTTTGATTATTAATTCCCCTGTGTATTTATAAATTCATCTTACTTTGATCAGTTTATTGGATCGTCGGTCTTGTAGAAACAATCTATATCCAGCTGATGATATTCTGTTTTCATTCAATCTTTTGTTGGTGCTTATTGCTTGTTACTCCTTTTAAGTTCTTGATTTCATGACATGAAACTTGATGTGATGGACATTGCTGCTGAATTAGCGAATGGGATCTACCCCGCAGAAAAAGGCGTATGCTCCTGATCATTGGATGTAGAATACGGGGCCGTTAAATTTACCGACAATGGAAAAGTTTATATCTCAAATCCATTGATCTGACACATTTTAAAAGAGAATTCTTTTCTGACATGTATGGGATCACCTGGATGTTGTTGGTCTACTGATATAATGTAACTGAGAGACGGCGTCTTCTGCTCGGTAGATGTGATCAACAGAGCGCTGGTAAATGTGCTACAGCGAGTGATTCAAGTGTGTAATCTGACGGTGAGTGTGTTTATCCGAATAGTGGAGGGAAAGGATCATAAAACACCCGCAAATGATACTCTATTCCACGTGGTACACAGCAAAAAATATTTCAACAACAGTAGCTTAAGTTTCTTTTCTTAAATTGTGTAATTTAGTAGTTTGCCCTCTCTTTCGTTCGTTCTTTCTCTCTTCTTTTTATCTTTTCCCCTGATATCTTTCATATTGGATCAAGCCGAAAAAGTACAATGAAATTTACTTCTCGGGCCAATAATTTTCTCAAGAGGAACAGGAAACATCAGCATGCAGAGAATGAGGACGACGACAACGATGATCAAGGACAGCAGCAACACAATGATTTACGGCGTATGGAATCCACTTCATCTTATATGCAACAGCGACGAAACATCTATGTCAACATGAAACTACCCTCATCCGAGTACGATGATCAAGGACATCAAATACATCATAATTATGCCAGCAATCGAGTGCGCACTGCTAAGTACACTCCACTATCATTTGTGCCAAAGAATCTGTTTGAGCAGTTTAGAAATGTGGCAAATTTGTTCTTTTTGTTCGTGGTTATTTTGCAGTGTATCCCACTGTTTGGCGTGACAGAGCCTGCTGTGTCTGCCATGCCGCTTATTGTTATTCTCATCATCACAGCTCTCAAGGACGGTGTGGAAGATTGGAAAAGAAATCAGAGCGATGACAAAGTCAATAATTCACATGTACTCAAACTATCGAATTGGCGCAACGTCAATGTGCCTGAAATCCATAGAGGAACATGGTACTTTTTGCATGTTGTAGCTGGGTTCTTTGCTGTGCTATCAGGTACAGAGAACAAATATGCACGCACCTATCGCCAAGCAATGGTTCCATCAGAGTCTTCGTCATCTGCGTCATTACCCATCAGTGATCAACCCAATGTGAAATCATCAGAGGATCGTCTACCATTGACCGAAGCAGAACACAATGAATACCCAGCATCACAACCTCCACCTCCACCACAACCACCACAACCACCTGCCAAGACGCTCATGACAACTGTTAGAAAACGATCAGATACCATTCGATCAGGTGTCTCTGGTATTTTCAGCAGATCCAATAATAACAACACAGCCACGAATCTACAAGTAGAGAAACGGCCTTATCGTCCGGGTTCTATTCCCCACTCAGTGCTCTACCGTGTATCCACCAGAGATTCCAGTGCAGCAGGAACAACAGCAGCCGCAGCAGCAGCAGCAGCAGCAGCATCCTCCTCTCGTATCAATGAAGAAGACGAATCCTTGGGCAGACGGTCTTCATCCTTACAACCTTTACCCAGTCATAATGCCAATCAATCCTACAACTGTGCTGACGGTTTTCCTGGCGATCCTCCTTCAGCAACATGCCAGGTGAAATGGGACCATGTCAAATGGAAAGAGCTTAATGTCGGTGATTATGTCTTACTGGAGAACGACAAAGATATTCCAGCCGATGTAGTCATCCTATCCACCTCAGAGACAGATAATGTGTGTTATGTAGAGACTCAAAATTTAGACGGTGAAACCAACTTGAAGCAACGTCAAGGATTACCAGGCACATCAGGCATGCGTACAGAGCATGACTGTGAGCGTGCTCGATTCTACATTGAAAGCGAGCCTCCTCACGTCAATATTTACCAATACAATGCAGTTTTGCGTTGGCAAATCGATGCAAATGAAACTGACACGGTTCGATCTGGTGTATCGCATGAGAAGGCAGACGCCGTTACTTACAACAATATCTTGCTCAGAGGCTGTGTCTTGCGAAACACCAAATGGGCCATTGGCATTGTTGTGTATACCGGTAACGATACCAAGATTATGCTAAATACAGGTCGTACACCCTCAAAACGAAGCAAAATTGCCAAGGCTACCAACCCACATGTAACGTATTTCTTGGAACTCTTAGAGACATCTCCTCCTCATTGTTATTTATAGGTCATTGCCAATTTCTGTCTTTTGGCTGTTATTTGTATTGTCAGTTCCATCATGGACAGTGTCCAGTTTCATGGCAGCGGTTCCTCGCGTCATTTTGACTATGGCATCGAAGGCTCTAATGCGTCTTACTCTGGTTTCATCACATTCTGGTAAGGCTCGCCTTTTGGCGTCTTGTGTGTAGCGATAACTCATCCATCCTGATTAGGGTTACACTCATTTTGTACCAAAATATTGTGCCCATCTCATTGTATATTTCGGTCGAGATTGTGAAAACATTGGCAGTAAGTAACATGCAGTGCATGATGCGGCATGACATAATACTCAATAACATCCATTAGGCTTATTTTATTTTTGCAGATCTCGACATGTACCACGCCGAGACTGACACGGCCTGTATCGCGAAAACCTGGAATATCTCGGACGATTTGGGCCAAATTGAATACATCTTTTCAGATAAAACTGGTACGCTCACACAGAATGTCATGGAATACAGAAAATGTACCATCAACGGTATCGCCTATGGTGTCGCAACAACAGAAGCTACCATGGGCGCATTGAAGAGACAGCAAAGCCAGCACAATTTCAGACAGTCCATGATTGATACCGAAGAGGAGGACAACAATCAAGTGCACATGAACGATCTCAGTCAAAACATTGGACCCGACACTACTGAAATGGAGGAACTCAAAAGGACCATGCTTGAGAAGCAAGCTGAGCTGTTCAAAAACCCTCACATTGGCCCCAACCCCACCTTTATCGATCCCAAACTATTTGATGATCTCAAAGACGAATCCTCCAAACAGGCGACAGCGATCACTCACTTTTACCAGACGTTGGCGCTCTGCCATACAGTCATTGCTGAGAGGCCTGACCAAGACAACCAAGACTACATTGAATACAAGGCACAATCACCCGACGAAGCTGCTCTAGTCGCTACTGCCAGAGACATGGGCTTTGCCTTCTTGCGTCGAGATGGCAACAAGCTGTATATTCGAGTCAAGGGCGAGGAGAAATCATTCACACTGTTGAACGTATTGGAGTTCAATTCCACGAGAAAGAGAATGAGTGTGATTATTAAGCCATCTGACAGTGACCGTATTGTGTTGCTCTGCAAAGGTGCTGATTCAGTCATCTACGAACGTCTGTGCACTGAGTTTGGCAATCAACATGAGCTGGAAAAGGAGCAGGCTGATCTCAGAGACTCTACAAGTGCTGATTTAGAGCAGTTTGCTAATGAAGGTAAAGCATGTTAATTTAGTGCATTAACCTTAACCTTAACCTCAACTTGTTGCGCTAGGTCTTCGTACACTGTGTCTTTCATACCGCTTTATTTCTAATGAAGAATACAAGCCTTGGAACAAGAAATTTCAGGAGGCCGCTTCTAGTATACATAACCGTGAGGAGCGTGTGGATGCTGTCTGCGAAGAAATTGAACAGAATATGCTCTTAATGGGTGGCACAGCCATCGAAGATAGATTGCAGGAAGGTGTTCCAGAGACAATTGCTGAATTGGCTAAATCCGGTATCAAGCTCTGGGTGCTCACTGGTGACAAGACGGAGACGGCTATCAACATTGGTTTTGCCTGTAATTTACTGACAACCGATATGGAATTGCTTATCCTGAAAGCAGGAAATCGCATTGACACCAACCAGCTGCTGGATGACACACTCAGGAAGCTTGACAAGGAAGCCGACACCGAGCCAGAAGCTGCTTATGGTAATAGAAAGTACGCATTGGTCATCGATGGTACCACGCTGAAATACGGCCTTGAAAATGCCACGCGTGACAAGGTGCTTGCACTTGGTATGCGCTGTGCTAGTGTTATCTGTTGTCGTGTCAGTCCTAAACAAAAGGCTCAGGTTGTTAATCTAGTCAAGAAGGGCCTCAAGGTCATGACCTTGGCTATTGGTGATGGTGCTAACGATGTGTCCATGATTCAAGAAGCTAATGTCGGCATCGGTATCTCTGGTGTGGAAGGCCGTCAAGCTGTCATGGCTTCTGACTACGCTATTGCACAGTTCCGTTACCTGAGAAAGCTGTTGCTCGTTCACGGTCGTTGGTCTTATCTTCGTATTGCCGAGATGATCATGGGCTTCTTTTTCAAGAATATCGTATGGACCTTTGTGCTGTTTTGGTATCAAATCTTCTGTCAGTTCAACGGCTCCATGATGTTTGACTACGCGTTGATTACTCTGTATAACCTTGTCTTTACCTCGCTGCCCATCATCTTCCTCGGTATCTGGGACCAAGATTTGAATGCTAAACTATCGCTCAAATACCCGCAATTGTACCGCATGGGCCTCAGAAACGACAAGTTCAAGGCATGGCGATTCTGGTTGACCAGTTTTGACTCCATCTTCCAGTCTGTGGTATGCTTCTTTTTCCCCTACATGTTGCTCGTAGCTGGTGGACAGGATCCACACGGGTACGATGCCAATGGCCTCTATGAGATTGGCACAATTGTATCCAGTATTGCCGTTTGTGTCGCCAACTTTTTTGTCGTGTCCTCATTGTATAGCTATACTTGGCTTCATGCAGTGATTGTTAGCTTGTCCATCTTAGTGTACTATGCGTTTGTGGCAGTGTACTCTCAATTCAACACATTTATCTTTGCTGGCCATCTACGTCTGTTTGGCACTGGTTCCTACTGGCTCGTACTCATTTTGACGTGTGTTGCCTGCCTCATCCCGCGTATCACTGCCAAACACTTTCTACATCAATACTACCCTTATGATAACGATATAATTCGCGAAATAGAATTGGTTATCCACAAGGACAGAAACCGTCGAAACAATCAAGATCAAGACGATGATCTGTTTGATGTTGATGAAGAATTAGCCTCTCGCACCACACCTACTTCTTCCTATCAATATAGCAAAGATAAAGAAGCTCGCCCTCAAGAAACAACACAGCCCTAAGATTATCCCTTGTATTTTTCCGTTACCCTCTCTTTTCTAGAATACTAATTAATGTAAAGCATGCTAATAATTTACCAACTAACTAATAAATAAAGCCTTTGTATGTCCTATGATTTTAGGATTCATGGCACTGATCTTATCCGATATGTGTCGCTTGAAAATTTCTGACTAGAAGAATGGTATAAAGTGCTTGTGAGATGTCGTTTGGAAACGTACTCTCCTCTTTTCTTGCTTGTCTTTAAGCGTTGACATTTTCAGCAAGCAAACTGTATCAAGAAATTAAGACTCTAATCGCTGTTGGTTATTGTTTTGATTGAACCCACATACATATCTGTTTTATTTCTTGGAGCAATGACACGAACCGTCTAAATTAGATATTTCGAATGATGAACAGACATACTCCTCTGAACTAGTCGCTGGTTCTAATTCAAGCACTTATTCCAATCACACAAGCTTGAAATCACTTGAAGATATGTTCTTACTGGGTTGATTCAATGACGCTTACCTAACATGGAGTTTTCTTATAGTATCTAAACAAGTTGACAGCCTTCAACTTGATAGGAATGAGAAAGAAATAAGACTTTCCTTCTGTTTCTCCTTCTCCTCGTCCTCCTCATCCTCTGCCTCTACCATTGGCCGAGAAGAGTATGATGGCGGGTATGGTTGATTTGCTGTTGTGGGCGCATTTCTTGTCCAAGTAGCTACATTTGGTACAAACACTAGTTGGTATATATCAATGTCAATGTAAGAGAGAAATGGAAATGCTAATTTATGTATTTTTGTAGGGGTAATAAATATGCAAAGCAGCATAGACAACTGGAACATATAGACTTTACAACTAACAATCTTTACATAGGTGTCATGCAAGAATATTTTGAGCAAAGTATGTTTCTACATGCCGCTGTGAACCTCGGTTTTGTAGGTACACTAGCCATGGTGTGCATGAACGCCGTCAGTCCTCTTATACAGGTCCTTGTATCCATCTATGGTGTTCGCTACGTATTGATCACTGGTGCCATATTGATTGCGCTCGGCCTCGAAATAGCTGGACTCAGTACCCAAATCCGGCATTTGCATCTCACTCAAGGTATTGTGTTTAGTATCGGGTCTGCCTGCATCTACGTGTGCATCATGAGTTGCTCTCCTCAATGGTTTAGTAAGCGCAGAGGTCTGGCTATGAGTGTCATTGCTAGTGGATCTGGTATTGGTGGTCTTATCACCCATTTGTTATGACGTCCATCAATCCTAGCCTTGGTCCTGCTTGGACATATCGTATTCTCGGTCTCATCTGCTTAGCTTGCAATATTGTTGCCTGTCTCACTGTCAAGGCGAGAACACCCATCAATATCAAGAACCACAAGAAACTCTCTCACATTATTAATTTCTCCGTACTCAAAAACACAGATTTTGGCATCTTTCTGATTGCGTCCAATATTGGCTTGTTTGGTTATTTCATTCCCTATTTCTTTTTGCCCTCTTATGCCACCTTTCTAGGTCTTTCTGATGGGTAAGGTTCAGCTCTTGTGGCTGTTACTGCTGCCTGTAGTTTTGTGGGTCGCATCATTACTGACTTTCTCGCTGATCACATTGGTAAGATCAACACCAACACGCTGTTTACTTTGGTCACTTCTCTCAGCTGCTTGCTAATATAGACATTTACCTCGAGCTATGGCAGTCTAATGGCTTTCTCTTGTGTGTTTAGTTTCACCAGCGGCTCCTTCTTTGCCCTGTTTTCACCCATCACTGCCTGTCTGCTTGGTATGGAGCAGTTTCCATTAGGTTTATCCCTTTTGCTATTTTCCAACATTGTCCTTGTTTTTGGTCCCAACATTGCCAGTGCTATTGAGGCAGGCGTTGGTACTATGCCGTTCTTTAGTTACAAGATCTTTGCTGGTGTCTCTTACTTGGCTGCTGCTATCATTCTTGTCCTTTTAAAATTGAAGATTTATCGCAATTTGTTTGCTAGAGTCCAATAAATACTAGCCGAAAACATTTCAAATCGAAGATATTAAAAAGTTCTTTCAAATTCATGAACCCATTTAATCAGCATCACGATCATCATTGTCATCACCATTGTCAGAAAGAGTCAGCCAGCAGCAATGCTGCCGCCACCAAAACTAATTCAATCTCAGAACAACATCTCTGCTCAAGATTGGACATATTCTGTCCTTTTTCGACTTCTTTAATCTATTCTGTGACATTTGATTATATAAATTGTAATGATCATTAGATGCTTCCTAATACAGTCCCTGGTGGTAGGGCGAAGTGGTAGAACTCCCGTATGCCAACGGGAGGATCCCCGGTTCAAATCCTGGTGAACGCAAGTTGTCTGAATTTTTGACGTAGTACTGGTGTCCTCGTTTGGTGTTTTGTATTCTTATCCATTCTCTATTTTTGACGATTTCCGCAAGATTGCATTTGGCTCTAGGTTTCGCACCTTATTAGTAGTAGATTTCTTTCCCAACTTAGTTCAAAATTTCTTATTCCCCTTCATTGCAGACATTGGGTCCACCAACAGTCTTTTCTATCCCTCAGTATGACATTTAAAGGACTTTAAATAAAACCTGGAGCTCGACTCCCCTACAAAAAAAAAAATGCTTCCTAATACATTCTTGAAGTACTTTTCAAGGCGCTCCCAATGGTGCTGATTTTAATAAGTGTTTTGAATAAAATTACTGTGCAATTTGATAAAAGTGAAATGAGGATTTTGGTCAAAATGTCGAAATTTTGCATATGATAGTTTCACACAAGTACTTTCAAAGGGTGCTTTGGATCGACAGAAACATTTTGATGTAATATATGCCATTGTAAAAGTCTTCATTTTCAAGGTGAAAAACACGACCCTTTGATTTTCGATGAAAGCCATGAGGTACCCCTCATGCTTTTTGGTCGAATTTTGGCCATGTTTTTTTTTGGTCCTCAAAAAATTGAGCAAAGGTGTCAGGAAGTTACTACTACTCGAGTACAATTGTTTGGCGTCATTTTGGCGGCTCAGAGAGGTCTACATGTCAAGATATTAAAGCTTAAAAGCTGTCGAATTTGGTTATGTTTTTGCTCTATAATAATAACAATACCTTTTATTTACACGGCATGAATCATATCTTTGGTAGCTGAAACTTTCTGGAAGGGCAGTTCTGCAGCGTGTGCAATTTCTAATTCGAATAGGAGGCATATTGGTTTTGGTAAAGCTAATTTATGCAAATTTTGATGCGTTATTGTGCTGTTGGTAAACTTATTATTAATGGAAATGGAAAACCAATTTTGCTGCTTGAATACTATGGTTTTGCAGCTTCGCTTCGCTACGGTAAAAGCTTGATTAAGATCAATGTCATCAAAAGTTGGATTAGATGCTTAGTTGCCTGGTTTTGAACTTGTTTAATAGTATGCACACTGCTGATGAATTTTATTGATTTAATGATGGTATAGGGTGAGATCTTACTCTTCGATAAGTTGGTAGTGTCCATCTGCTGACAGCTCTAGCACCTCCATTTTCATCCAGAACTCCAAGCACTCAACAATCACTGCCTTATCGACTTTCACTTTGGTCACGATGTCATTTCTAGAGTAAGTTTGTTCTATGAGCACAGACTGTCAGTGTGCCTGTGAGATCATGTATCTTGATTCAACTTGTACCTTTTCCTTCAAACAGACTGAGGATAGTCGCAGCTTCAGGACTCACATCAACAGTAAGAGTTCTCGACTGAAACTCCAAATTCAATCGAATAGATCCTTTGGTTGGCAAGAACTTTAGCTTTCTTGATTTCTTTATCTTTCTGAATTCCTGGTCATACTCCTCAAGGGACCTAACGAAAATGTATTTATGTCTCTGCTTTCCGCTTGGAAGCCTATGCACTTACTCTTGCTGACCAGGCCATAGTTTGATACTTGCGTTACTGGCATCTTCCATATCATAATCATCGTCGAGATCGTCTTCCTCGTCTTCGTCATTGCCGCCCGGCCAGTATTTTCTAGAAACAATAATGGCATGAACGTTGGGGTTGACGCCATTGTTCAAATGAACTGATGTATCTAATCTTCGACTGTCGGCAACATCCTGTAGCATAATATCACACCGAAGAAAAGTGTCGGGAGGGAAATTTCGCTTCAACAGTTCCAATCTCAGAATTTCTTCGCTTGTGTCGTAGTTGCTGGTTGAAAGCAATGTATGTCCTAGCTGATCGCTGTAGCCTTTGATAAAGTCCTTCAGTGAACTGCACGCACTTATCAGCATGGCAATTGAGTCTTTGGATTTCTGCTGCAATCTCCTTAATTGAGCTGGTTTATCCTCCTTAACAACAACTGCATCGACAGGCGTTTCCTCGTTGTTGAGCTCGGATTTCTTAAAGACATAAATATCGTCGTCTTTTACCTGCAGATTGCTGTATTCGCGAGCATTGCGAATAAGATGAACAACACCAGCAGTAACATCTTTCCGGAATGTCCTATGTAACCAGAGACTTAGTAACTGGTGCAGAACAAAATCCCATCCACTTTACTTTAGATAATGCTCAATTAACTCGATGATGGACTCCATGATATCACAAGATGGATCTATGACGGAAACGCTTCTGATGCAGTCGATATGATATTGCAAAATATCCACAGCTGAAGCACCTGGATGAAGTAATCTACTCTGGATTCTGTCGAAAAGGAAGAGCGTCAAAACTCCTGTCCCATGTAAATACATGATACTTACTCTCGCATCAGGCTATCTCTCAAGTCTTCCAGCAATCCTCTTTTGGTGGCAATAATCTACAAATGTGTTGGTTGATTTTAAATACAGATTCCCGTAAAATTATACTTGCATGAAGATCTTTGATAATGCATTCAGTGTCCGGATAATTCAACACAATGTCAAAAATCTCGGGTATCTTGGCTTGGTAGATGACTTCATACAGGACATGCTCTGCCTTGATTTTTTCTCGCAGAAAGTTGTACCAATTCGTATCGATATTGTCTGTTTTGGGTATCAGGTGAGACAACCAAGGTAGAATCAGGACATGAAGCCACTTCAGCTGGATTTGCACAATGGAAACGTCAGCGCTCTCCTCCCAATCTATCGATTGCAGTCGTTTCTGCACTGCCTCTTTCAGAATTTCGGTCCAATTGGGCGTCAAATTCAAGTTGTTCAATTGCTCGCACACTGTGCTAAAAGTTTGAATATGCGCCTCCAGTGCTTCCTTGCTGTCATTTGATTTATCCTCGTCCTCGCTGCTTGTGCTCATCAGCCAGCTATTCATGTCAACCGCGTTGTCTTGATCATTGACATCTTCGCAGTTGAGAGCGTTGTCCAAGATATCGTCAGGCAAATTGAACACATCTACTAATTTAGGCAACAGTACATCCAGGAACACTTGCACCTTGGTTTCTAATTCTTCACCACTAAACTTCATAATGTGGGGTGAAAAGAGGTAAGCGAACGAGCTGCTTGGTTGATTTGCTTTGAATAAGGCTTCAATCCGATGCATGGTCAAGGTGTAGAATGTGTTTCTGGCATCAGTAAAATAATATGTTATCTTGGATTTAATCAATGCTCTGCTTCCGTTTCTGACTTTTTCTTTCAACTCGACTGCTGCTAAAGCACATCCCCTATATACACCAGTGAGTATAAACAGCTGTCAAATCCATCTGTTTTTTTTTTCTTACTCTGGAAATGGGATGCTCAACGCTAATCCAGTGTGTTCATAGCACTGATAAATATCATTGACAGCCTTGGCAAACAGTTGAGCAATCTGCTTTTTATCGGTTCGTTTTTTCATGTAATCTGATTTCCATTGCTCCAATAATACGAATATAGATGTTTCAAGGTAGTCCAATGCAATGCCAATATACCAGTCGTGCACAACAGTGTAAGGCAGATCAGGGTCGTGTAAGTACTTTAATGGTGAATCACGGACTGTTCACAAGCGTGTCAGTTCAACGTATATTGAATTAGACCAATACTTACTTCTCAATAAACGAGGGTATTTGAGGCAGTAGTCTACTATCTTTTGCATATTTGGCAAGGGCTATACTTTTTGGGTCAATGTCCATTTCGACCGCTGCAATCCATTAATGACACACACGCACCTCTTTCTCATTGATGCCCTGTCTTTCGAAATAAGCCTTGAGCTTTCGAATAGCATCCAATGCTCTTGTCTGCTTTGGGGCATTATGATACAAAGTTAGCATAGTAAAGACAAAGAAAAATATAGAGGAAAGAAAAAAGGTTGCTCCTTTTGATTGTTGAGCTGTGATTTAAATAGCCCAACCACCACATTGTCTTGTCCCAGGCATCAGGTTTGGGCGATGGTAGAGACTCTCGAAGTATCAACTCGTGTGAGGTATTAAATTGCAGTTATCCTGCTGATATATGCAGATATTTCACTTCTTGGCATTCCAAAATTAGTGAGAAAGCCCTAAAGCGATTGGTGGCTGTGGATCTGACCTTTCCAAGATGCTCCACGTCTACCTCAACGAGATCAATTCATATACGGGCATACAGCATACTTGCATTACTTCTTACCGCTCAAATATAAGCAAAACACGGCAAAATCTGGATAAATTCGAGCCATGATTTCTCGTGTTGGAAACCGTTTTAGACCGCCAGAATAACGCCAAATCATTGCTCTCGTCTAGCACTTACTTCCTGACACCTTTACTCAATTTTTTTGGGATCAAAATCTATCGTTAAAAATCGACCTCAAATCATGAAGGGGTACCTCACGGAAAATATCAAGAGATCAAACAATCGTGTTTTTGACCCCCAAAAATGAACACTTTTACTATGTCATATAATAAATCAAAATGTTTCTCTCGATCCAAAGCAACCCCTGACATTTTGTATATGAAACTTTTACATGTAAAATCTTGACAATTTCGCCAAAAACGTCATTTTGTGTTTTCCACCATTGCTCAATAAATTTGTTCAAGACATCTATTCAAAGCATTACCATTAGATGTGCCTTGAAAAGTACTCCAAAAAAGCATTAGGAAGTTGGGGATGATCATCGCAACTTTCATAATCGAATTTGGTAAAATAGATAAATCAAGTCGATTCTGTGCAAAATTTGTCCAATCTGAATCACCAAAATAACTGAGATAGAATTTGGTTTGGCTGGTGCCTTGAATGCCTTTCTAATGCATAACAGTGATGGCTGTGATGCCAATAAGAAAGGTATTACGATTTGTACAGGATGGCATGATATTCATAATATGAAGATTTACTGCTTTTATTGCTTTTGTTTTATGTATGTATTGTTACAGAGAATTATCTTGCTCTTCATCTTTTTTTGACACGTTGGAGACCTCTGGATGTTGTTCTTCATCGTCATCATCATCTTTGTCTGATTCTACTTGTTGTTGCTGCTCTTGCTCTTGCTCTTGCTGTTGTTCGCCCAAATTTTCCTTTGATTCCTTACTATGAATTGTCTCCAAAATGCTTGTTTGCCAATTATCATCTTCACCTTCGTCTTGATTGAACATCATGGGCAGGTTTGTGTCTATTGTAGGCAATCGTTCTATACCTCCACCAAAGAAATCCTGGCTTCGTCGCCATTGTCGAATTTCTTCTGTCTCATCAGACAAGACGGATCGATTGTCTTCATCGTCTGAAAGGCCTTCTGTCGCTCTGTCTCTTGAGTAATGGCGTGCTGGTGGTGACGCAGGTGTGGGAGGCGGGCTTGATGAAGGAGGCAGCATAAGACGTGGCGATGTTCCCAAGCTTGATCCAATGAGTGTAGACAAAGTAGAGCGATCAATTTCAAATGAGAGATTGGTGGGCGACCATCTTGATAAAGGAGACGACAAGTGTTGTTGAACCAAGGCTCTTGACCGTGCTTCTGCTTCTTTGATCTTTCTCTCTCGCTCAAATTCTGTCCACTTTTTCATCGTAATCTGCGAAGAATCGAACTCTCCTTCTTTATCACCGTGATTGTCTTTCCCTTCGCCTTCAACCTTTCTAGTTTCCCCCCAGGTAAAATCATCAAAATGCCAGTAAGCATAGGTAGGCAGCACAAAGTTCCAGATGGGCAAACTAAACAGATAAATAAACATCCAGCCTACATACACTAGTTTTCGACTCGTCATCACAATCAGCACAGCAGGAAGACCAAGAATGAGAGCAAGCAAGATCAACGAGAGGACAGCAGGCTGGCCAATACAAGCAAGGATGATAAGGTACATGGTGAAAGAAATGGCTGCAGGTAAAGCTAATGTACCCACCAGTTCCATAAAGACCACAAACTGCATAGAGAAACAGAACGTGCCACACAGATCTCTAACAAATACCAGCTCCATCAGGTTATGGATCGTCGAATTGATCCAGCGTCTTCTCTGAGATAGCAGCACCATGAAGGAGTCAGGGACAACTGTTTTGCATACAGCTTGCGGCACAAACAACATCTTTCTTCTAGGAAACGTCTTGAGCATCAGTGTTGACAAATAACGATCTTCACCCAGCAACAGCAAATTCTTCTTGTGTAGTGTGTCCACCACATTTTCAGAATAGTGCTCAATGATGTCAGGATTAGCGAGGATAGGAACCCAGTGGCCGTTGTTTCCTTTAGGCGCCTTGATTCTGTACATACAAAAGCAGCCTGGCAAGCACGTAACATTACCGAAAATCGACTCGAAGGCTTTGGACTGGTGATGAGAAATGTAGTATTCAAACACTAATACATATATATATGTGTGTGTGTGTGTGTGTGTCAGTATATAGGCTTGTAGCTGGACACATTTAAATTGTTACCTTGAATCATAGATACCCAGCTATCCGTTTTGTTGCCAATCTTTGTCTCGCCACAAAGGCCCATGACTTCAGAGTCATTGACCATGCAACTAATCAGACGAGATAGCGCATCTGGATAGACCTTGGTGTCTGCATCCACCATCAACACAATCTCGTACTTGTCAGGACTGACACCCGAAATACGCCAAATGTTGGTAAAGAATTCATACTCGAGCTCTGTCATGCGCTCATCAAACATGACCTTTTGAAGAAAAGACATGAGAATAACCTGAGAGTCTCTTTTACCACGATTACCGGGCTTGGCTTCTCTGTCTTGCTCCTCGGGTGTACCGCATTTGACAATCGTGATCATGGGCACTCTTTGCTGAGAATCACCGTCTACCGTTTTGTCATCGTACTTGTAGAAGCCAGCGTAGATCTTGGCCATGTTATGGCGTTTTGTACCATCTGCAATCGCGACGTAAGAACAAGCTTCCACGGTATCTGGCTCTACCAAAAAATCCTGCATCATGGAGATACAGATATCAGGCGTCGACATGGAGTTGCCGTGTCCTGTAATAATACCATCTGCGACAACCAGTATCAGTTTGTGCGAGTTAGGATAGTCTGTGGTAGCAATGGAATCCAGCGTTGTGCGAAGACCCTCTTCACCCTCAGAATAACATGTGACCAGACAGATGGTATGCGTCAATGCAAATCCAAAGGGCATGTATTCTGGCTTTGGTTGAGGCACTGCATGAGGTGACAACTCGTAGGGACATGAAGCGGTCAACTGAGACGACTGAGTCTGGCTGGAGCGAGATGTTTCTGATGATCTTCGCGAGAGAGGACTTGCTGTAACGCTTCTGCTATTTTCAGAAGTTGACACTGTAGGTCGAGGGGATAGAATGCCCGAGGGCGAGCTGATATGGTTTCCAAAGATTCTTGAGCTAAACAAAGGGGACATGTATTAGAGTCGATATGTACATGATGCATAACAAGCATAAAACATTTACCCTGTAGCCGATTGTTTCCATATTGCACTTCCAGGCCTTTCAATGGCATTAAAGTGCATGGACCCTGTGTCAGGCTGTGTGAATCGAGATTTCCTTGGAATGATGCTCTTCTTTTTGGTCATTTGAGGGCTATTATAGTACTGTTGCTGCTGTGGCGTATGAGGTCGAATTGCTTCTGCTGGCACATGGATACCCGTCGTCCAGTCCTCAATCTCGAGGTCCCGTCTCATGCGATCTTTGTAGGATGCTCTGCCCTCCTTTTTAAAGTTGCCTAGTTTCCATGACAAGAACCAGCCAAAAATAACAGCCAGACCAAACTTGACGAGGATGACACCCAAAATGACGATGAGCGAGGTGTAGAGTACGGCATCAGAGGCAATGCATCCGACGCTTTTGGTGTCAATTTCGCCGACCTTGATCGTGTCTAGCAAGCACTCTGCTTCTGCTTTCCAAGTAGTGCCTTTAGTGGTTTTGTGTGTTGCCACTGTATGTGTGATGTCTTGTCCGCCAAATGCACTGGCATTCTGCAGGATGGACTGAATAAGCCCTTCTGTTGGCACCGAGAAGACGGATTGAGGCAGTGATTGGAGTAGATTGAGGTTCAAGACGTAGCTGTCAAAACGTGTTAGCGTTGTTCCTATTCGAGGACATGAAAAGAAATTTAATTTACCTATTATAAACAGCTAGATGTGTAGTGGTATTTACATCATTCCAGTCATAGTACACTCTGCCGGCTTTATCGTAGTTTCCGTTTTCGTTCAGAACACCTTTGTCTCTCATGGTATCAAAGATGCTGCGGGTTGTTGGGCTCAAATGACAAGCAGAGTGATTTGTATAGAGCGATGGACTAGGGAACTGGTTGCGTTCAATCAAATGGCATGGAAAGTACGACGGCGTGTCTCCTTGTCCTACTTGAGCCCCTGATGATTTAGGTGTGATAATCGAGGCACAGTGCCGGTTGATGTTTTGGAACAAGAATGAAGCGTCTTTACCACCAGCATTGATGGGATCGTAAATCACGTTGGTTGCTTTATCCGTCACTCCAGCAATGGGAGGGTGCTCATTCCAGGAGGCAAGCAAGTACGCCCAACCATGGATCACAACATATCCGTTATTGACGGTCTCGACACGGAAACTGAGAGGTGGTCGAGGACATACCACTTGAGTGAAGCCAAATGTCAGGAAACCCACAAATGTCATGATGCCTAAAATGATGGTGACTAGGCCCATTTTCTCTCGAAATGCCATCTGCGCACTCTTATCTTTTTTGCCTGCAGATCATATAAAAAAAGTGAGGGTTCGGTGCATGACGAGTAAACAAACAGACAATTACCCATTGCTTTCAGCACAGGTGGAGGACAACAGCATGTTACAAAATAGCAAAACGTCTTCCACACATCAAATGTGCTCGATGAAATGTCGGCTGTGTATTCAATGCCTAGACTATCGCTACTACTGTGACCTTTCTCCTCTTCGTCTTCTCTTGCTAGTAGTCCTCGTCTTATTACTGATCTTCGTGCAGGATGTGATCGATCTACTGCTGAGCGATAATAATGGCTGGTTTCATTCTCAATGACCCTTCTTCGTGTATGGTACTGTGGGTGTTGTGGGTCAATACGGCTACGTTCAGGCCGTATTAAAGATGTGGTGCGCTTGGGCAGGCTTTGCGATGGGGCGGTGTCGTCATGTCGTCTGTCTTGGAAGCTGGTAGCGATGGATAAATTACTGAATGAAATCTCCATGTTGTATGATGATGATGATGCTGGTGGACAATGTAGATGGGATGTGATGTCGAATGCTCGAATAAGTTAGGTAATGCGACAATAATTTTGGCGGGTGAGTGAGTGGATCAGAAGAATGTGGAAGGACGGGACGGGGCTGATGCTTGTAGTATTACAGTAAAAGAGAAAGAGAATACAATATCAAAAGAAAAAGGTACAAAAGAAAGAGAAAGAAGGAAGAGAGAGAAAAAGGAGACCATGTTGAAAATTATACCATTGTTTGTTATATACTATTCAAAGGAGGGGGGGTTGATACGAAGAATTCAGGTTGTAGCGTAACATTTGCAAAAGCATTCGACACTATCAAACACTAGATATTAGGCAGCAGTAGCACACAGCAACATAGACAAACAAGGAGGAGGGGGAGACAATCAAGATGCGAGAGGAGTATGTGTGTATATACACAAAGAGAGGGGACTCATATCATACTCCTCTCTTTCTAGTGTGATTTTGTTATTTAAACAAACCATAGACTGTATCTACCAATAGGCTCTATTCCAAAGGAGCAGCAAGCTGTAGAAAAAAAAAAGCAAATGTCAGGGGCAAGTACATCTTGTTGTTTCCATACAGAGAGATAACTTGAATAAAACACACATACGGAAACACTGCGCGCATGCTAGGATAACTTTTCAATCCAACCCAACCATACTTAACATGTATTATTTGGTTCCTATACGAGCATTTCCTTCATGTTATAAACTCCCAACATGTAGCTTGATTCACAGAAAAAAAAAAGCAAGGCAATGTACGATGGATTCGCTGAATTCAAGGAAGCCCACGTGTCATGTCTGTATGTATTCATCCATCGTCTCTCTTTTTCACTGCTGTAAAGAGGCGTACATGTACCATTTACGGACAGTTCGAAATCAAATTAATGTATATTAATACAATATGATTTATAGGATTTATTGAATAAACTTTGATAGACAACATGCTGGGTATAACACTTTGAGGATCAAGTCAATTAAAGGAGCATTCAATTGTGAGTGTTGTACAAATCATAAATATACATGACATGGTTTGTATAGGGAGATCAAGAGGAGAGAACGTCAACCGTCTCTAGAGAAAGAGAAAGGTTAAAAAAGGTTCTCGAATAGATGACCGCTTATATTTATAGGCATCTGTTTAATTGAGTGCGTATCATCACAGAATATGCACAGTGTCTATCGTTACCTTGCTTCGAGCAAAGAAACCAATGGCGAATTTAATGGTTCAATATAGAATGATCAAACTACACTGTGGCAAGACACAGCAGAGCAGCTGGTGACTTACTCTATATGTAATTTGTGTAACTGCATCTAAGGAACACTCTGTCTTGATACACAGGACTGTAGATACAATGAGATGTAAAGTTTACGTCATGAACTTCTTGCCTCCTGAGCGACAACCAAGCAGGCTGATGATTTCCTGCAACATGTCAATCGCTTGTGTCGGTAATCCATTACTTTCTTCCCTCGCTTCAATTTCTTGGAAAGCACCAACGATGAATATACTAAACTCTGCAAAGAGGGACTGATTTGATGCATGAAAAAGCGCCAATTCAATGATGAACGGTATGCTGCCAAGGAATGAAGACATTTCTCATCCAGCATGAGTTCTTTATGGTTTGATATTTCCAAGCGAGAGGTACCTGAGGCACTGAACAAAAGGCTCTGCCAAGCATTGCTATGCGCCACGGTTTGTCAAGCTTGATTGCTTGTATGTGTATCACTAGAGGATATTTTGTACACAATTTAGAGGCTATTGATTGTTAGCATCGTTCCTGTCGCCTCTTGAATAGCTTCTATTAAGTCTTCTTGCTTCTTCTCATTCCTGTTCCTTTTTCCCTTTTTTCCTACTGATTTCTTCCTTAGACTTGCATACGAACATAGCACCAAGGCTTAATACGAGAAGTAACATGAGTTGGAAAGTAAACATCGCATTATACATGTACATTCATCCATGCAAGTGATTCATCTTGCCGTTTACATGATGTTAGGGTTTTCAAAAAGCAATGAGCCGTTTGCCTCATCAAATCATGTCAAAGAAAGGGGACGGTAAATGCAGTATGGTAGCAAGCATCAAGATTTCCTTGTTAACAGGGTTTTTATGCATGCCAGTGACTAGAGACGAAGGATTTATACAACTGGAAACTCGATTCAATGAGACGACCAAGATGGCAGATCGATTGAGAGCTGAAGCTCAAGCGTTTCGTGATAGTGTTTCGGGTAAGCTGAATTCGCCTAGAGTATTATCATTCGTACGCAAACAAGCTAATGCATGTGCTATAGCATTGTTAACGCATCAAGCAGAAATGGCGAGTTATTTATCAGTTATTTATAGCCAACATCTTGGTGTAGAGGTGGAAGAAGGCGGAGTTCAGCGTAGAGTACAACCTACACCAGCCGCAGCTTTGCAAGCTGCTAATGATGCCGAAGCTGCTATGGCTTATTGTCGCGATGAGATTTTGCCTCAGTTGGTAAGTGCACGCACGCTTGCAGACATTGGAGAGTCAAGGTCGTTTATATTAGCAAAAACTAGGATTCCGTTGATCAATATGTCATTCGTCCATCACTTGAATTACAAGAAGTCATCAAAACCATTCAAAAAACCATCGTCAAAAGAAACCACAAGCTCATTGATTACGATCGCCATCGTGTTGCACTCCAAAAGTTGAACGTTAAGACTGAGCGTACCATGAACGAAGAAAAGGCCATCTTTAAGGTTCAAAGTCAATTGGATACAGCAACTCAAGACTATGAATATTTAAACAATGCTCTGAAAGAGCAACTACCAGCATTCTTTCAAATGTTGATCCAGTTGGTTCAACCCATTTTTGAGCACATGTATAATCTGCAATGCAAGATTTACGGTATGATTTATGCCCGTTGTTATGAGCTAGTTACTGCAAATGAGCAGTACTTTGTCACTCATGCTATGGACCTGGAAGCTGGCTACAACTGGAGAAAGCAACAGCATGATGTTCAAGCAGAGATACAGAACATGGATCTTTTGAAATCAGGTGGAAAAGCATGGCTAACTGGTAAGGCATTCTGGAATCCTTCATTAGCGTTAATCTAATATGCATATCATAGTCTCTGGTGGCACTAATAAACTATCGTTGCAAGAAAGAGCTGCTCTGAAAAATAGCGAAGCATCTCCAGGCCAACAACATCAAATTGCGTATCATCAAGACTCATATCAGCAGCCATCACAGCCACCATCGACACCGCCATTACAGCAACAACAACAACAGTATCAGGTACCATATCAAGCATACCAGCCTCAACAGCAATACCAAGCGCCACAGCAACATCAGACATCGACTCCTGCTTATGGACAGCAACCATCTTTCTCTGCAGCTGGGCTTGTATCTCCAACAGCCGTCCCAACACCTCCTACCAGAGATGCAAGTAGAAGCTCTTACGTTGTAGCGCTTTATGATTATGATGCTCAGGCTGAGGGCGATTTATCATTTAAGAAGGATGACAAGATTGAATTGATTCAAAGAGCACCAGATGCCAATGACTGGTGGACGGGAAGACTCAGAGGGGCTGTTGGCGTATTTCCAGGTAGGTTTTAATGACTGATGGTATATGATCCAATGCTTACTGTTATTGTATTTATACTGCTATTGTATTTAGGCAATTACGTTACTGAATTGTAGTGGAATTACTTAATCATCATTTCAATCAGTTCAATAATAGTACATTGCCTTGGAGCTTGAACATTTTGATCGTTAGCTTCTTTTGGCGTGTCGACAAATAAACCGATGCCTTTTGCTGTTTGATAATATTCAAAAAACCCCCCCCCCGTAACATTGCCACCAACATTGATACAGATATCATTTAGATGGCAATTTTAGAAATGGTATAGCTTTGTAATGATAATGTCGGCTCATCACGCTTTTTTCGTTTAATGCAATATATAATGCGCTAGCCGGCCAATCTCGCTACGCTCGATGGCGGCATCGCCCTGTGGGCTCTCGCCAAAGACACTCTAAATCAGATATTATAACATTTTGGTATATCAAGTAGATCTTAAACAGCCAATTATTAGTTTGTAAAAGAAAGTTTATATCAGAGCTAGGAGGAGGAGAGAAGGTATCTCCCTCAGCATCCTCTTTGCTTTCACTGATATTAAACAAAGCCTATTGTTGGGATAATGTGAAAGAAAATTCAAATTTTAAGCAGCATTTGTACATCATAATTGCCATTTTCTGATAATAGAACTGTCATATCATTCACTACTGCTGATGCTCTTAATAAGATGACAACATAAAGCTGGCTATAAGTAAATACAGGACTTGTGTAAGTTCTACAGTGACTTTTCTGAGATATTGTCATTGCAAAAGACACCTTCATGAAGCAAAACTCCCCAAAAAAATTTTGCGCTAAGAGATTGTCCTTTCAATTCCGTGATCCCCATTTAATCAGCATCGCAATCATCATTGTCATCAACAGAAAGGCATTTAGGTCAGCCAGCAGCAATGCCGCCGCCAAAATTGATTCAAACTCAGTTAATCTTTTCTGTTCAAGATTGGACAGATTTCGTCTTTTTTCGACCTCTTTAATTCTTTTTGTGATATTCGACTATATAAACTGTAATGATCACCCTACGCTTCCTAATACATTCTTGCAGCACTTTTCGAAGCGCTTCCAATGATGTTAATTGTAATAAGTGTTTTGACTGAAATTATTGAGCAATTTGGTAAAATATTAAATGAGGCTTTTAGCGAAAATTGCCAGAGTTTGCATATGAAATCCTCTTAAAAGTGGTTTCAGAAGTTGCTTTAGATCGAGAGAAACATTTTAATTCAATATTTACCATAGTAAAAGTCTTCATTTTCAAAGTGAAAAATGCAATCGTTTGATTTTTCGGTGAAAACCATGAGGGCTACCTCATGGTTTTTGGTCGATTTTTGGCCATGTTTTTTTTAGTCCCCAAAAAGTTGAGCAAAGGTGTCAGGAAGTTACTGCTACTCGAGTACAATTGTTTGGCGTTATTCCGGTGGCTCAGAAAGGTCTACATGCCAAGATATGAAGGCTTGAAAGCTGTCAAATTTGGTTATGTTTTGCTTTAAGGCTTTTATTTACACGGCATAAATCACATCTTTGGTGGCTGAAGTCTTCTGAAAGGACGGTCCTGCAGCATTTGCAACTTCTAATTCGAACAGGAGGCATATTGATTTCGATAAAGCTGGTTCCTGCAAATTTTAATGCGATATGTTGCTGGTAATCTTATTTACAATGGAAATGAATACCCGAATTTGCTGCTGAATACTATGGTTTTGAGCCTTCGCTTCGCTGCGATTAGGCCCTCATACAGATCAATGTTACCAAGTATTGGATTAGACGCCTGATTATCATGGTTTCGCACCTTTGCTTCGCTACGGTAAAGCCATCATTAAAACCAATGCTATCAAGTGTTGAATTAGATGCATTATTAAGTTCTTGGAAATAATGAGGTCGCATTCTTCTTAGCTCTGAAACGAAAGCGGCAGGTGCTCTGGGTGGTCTCAATGCAGCTCTTTTTCATTTCTTTTGATTTATTTATCAAATTTTTCTATTTACTCGACAAATCACATTTTCGAAAATTGAAATCTTCAGGTAGAGCAACTCTACAGGTTACACAGTCTCTAAATTGAACAGGAGGCACGACAATTCGATTTGATTTTAACAAGAGATATTTCATAAACTTTATGCTTGATGTTCTTGATAGAGGGGCTAAGCCCCTCCCCTCCCCCCAAACTCCCTCTCCATTGCCGGCTTCGCTGGTGGTGTTATTCACCTTGAACGGCACACAATTCTGCAAAATTTTGAAAGGGTACGATTAGCTTGCCTATTTTTTTTCGAATGGTTTACAGTATATATAGTAAAGCTGGCGTTATACAAAACACTGCTTTATAGAGCTATTTATTATACTACTGCCAACAAACTCTATGGCATCTGCCCTGATTACTTATCAGTACAGCTTTCAAATCAAGATATGCATGTGTATCACCTTAAATATTGGACGGAGAAACAATGCAACATGATCTGGATTGAGTGAAGAAAATGCTTAATCTGCATGGAGATTGAATGAAGTACACCGAGTACAAACATGAATCAAGGCGGAATTTGGCAGCTAAATAGTTAAATATATTGCGGATTATATCACATAAAGCAACAGAGAAAATGTATAGGAAATGGATAAATCAAAAGGTAGGATTCCTTTATTGACACCTATATTCAGAAATAAATAATTCTAAATATAATTTGCACGATATATCATAACAATGCCGCGGGGTAGAGCAAATCTCTACACAATACCAATAGCAGAATGTCTGTCCATGTTGCGTATACAGTATACATGGATCAAATATATATCACTGCCAGCAAAACTGAACAAGGCGCTTTGTATGTCATAGATGTGGCTAAATGCAAGTGTGTGAAACATTTGTGAATCAAGACCATTTATCCTTTTAATCAGGAACTGTTGATGAGATGTTAGAAGCCAGCTTATACCAGTGTTGGTTCTCCCTAATCCTATTTGCAATTGTTAAATCAAACCGATAAAGCCGAGTTCATATCAAAGAATGAAAAAGAAATGAAGCAGCAGCATAGAAAGAAGGTTAATACATATCAGATGGGATAGGATGTTTATACAGTCATCTGTTTATGATATTACCCAGTGCTCCAATTACACAGACAATTACATTTTGTACCTCCAATAATCACACACACACACACACACACCACACCAGTGTTGATAAAAAAAAAGAATTTCCTCCCTCCTCCTCCCTCCCTCTCTCTCTCTCTCTCTCTCTCTCTCTGTGTATTATTTTTTCATTGCTATTCTTTCCTTTGCTTTTGTATATTATATATAAATAATAAAAGATGAAAAGACGGCTTTCACCCTATCTACTATGTCTATTACTGCTGCTACATTGTATAAAAGGGCAATTACTCCATCCCACCAAAACAACCACACCAAACCAACTGTTAGTAGCTCGAGACGACGACCATAAAAACAATGGAAAGTCATCCAGCGATAGACAAAATGGCGTTGATGAGAACAGGGACAAGAAGAATGGTTCTTCACCCCGAGTGACAACAGAAATCAGCATTATCTATACCACCATCATCTATACATCAGCATCCGCAACTTCATTATCAACACTGCCAGCAGCTACATCTTTGCCGCCACTACTCAATGTGTATAACGTGTCGAATACAGGCTCTGCCCATCAAGAACAAGATCCACAATCTGTATCTTCTGCCAATCCAAATGACCCGAATAGCAAAAAGGACGATCTTGCAGATAACCTGAGAGATGATCAGCAAGCATTAAAACGTATGATTATGATATTGTCGCTTGTAGGAGGATTGGGTGTGATTGCAGTGGTTGCAACAATAGTGATATTCACAAGAATGAGAGTCAAGAATAGAAAACAACGAGAAATTGATGAGGAAGGGAATGAAGGCTCGACATTTGAACTGAGTCATGATATGGATCGACAATCTTCCATCTCAAACACATCCGACAGTGGAGGAGGAGGGACAGCAGCAGCAGCAAATAGAGGACAAGAAGGTGCATTATTAGGCTCAACATCATCAATCGCATCAGCTTCATCTACGACTTCATCACAAGCTAACGGTAGAGCACTCACTGAACCTTCAGCGCCACCTGCACTCATGATGATAGAAGGCTTGCAAGAGCCCTTGCATAGGAGCCGACGCAATGTGATTTCCATGAGCTCACAGACAACTGCTCCTTCGCCGTCTGCACCCACAGCCAAAGAGTTGGATGCCATGGACGAGGACAGTAGTACAGTAGCAACGACATCTACACCCTACAACCATCACCTACTTCACCACGGCCATCATCACCACCAACAAGAACAAATCAACAACTGCTCCAGATGTACACCCATGATGATGGCACCTGAATTACCACCGCCGGCTTACACACCGAGTGCACCACCACACTATGCTTTACCAATTGAAGCTAATGTGATAGAACCCTCCACCACTTCCATGTCTGTATCTTCCAGTATGTCACCATTGCCATCTAGGAGACATTCATTGGGAGGTTAATTTATTCTTTTATTATGTTTTCCAATCAAGGAGATACAGGTATTCCTTGGTTGTTCTGTAAAATTACTTTCCCTACACACATATATATATATATATACCCCATTCTCCTACTCTTCTTTTCTTCCCACTTTCATACCTAATAAAAATAAATTTGCTTAAGACTAAAAAGCACTCCTTATACTCTACTCTCTATCGCCAGATGTTGTCATGTATAAGTTCCATCTCCTTATGTTGCTGCTAAACATCTCCTAACGCTGTGGTTGACATCTCCTTGATCTTGCTTTGTCCTGTATATATAAACCACCTAGATATCCTCGGTTTCAATCATTCTTTATTCACTCTATTCCATCCTTATCGTCATGCAAAAATACTACATCTTGCTGCTTGCTCTGATCTACTCCATCATCTCCGTCTGTCAAGCAGGCAGTTTCCACCGCAGATCTACTGAACATCTGTTTGAAAAAAGAGAAGAAAACTGTGATATCTCCTGCCCTAGCAATGCCTGCGCCGAGACATGCAATAATTCCAACATTGATCGCAACCAGGTATCTGATGTCCGAGTTGTATGTCAAGAAGGTGTCTGTTATTGCGGTTTTGAGGTTGCTGATGATGCCTAATGTGTTTGCCATCGTAGCAGTGACTGTATGAATAAAAAAAATGTCATTTAAATTTTTGTCCTGTCCAATATCTTTCTTGTTGTTTCCTACCTTTGTGTTTAAATGAGTAATCTACTACCAAAATCTCTCTTCTCGGCATCGACTCTCAAGCGAGAGCCTATGGAAGATACCGTAGGTAATTGACAAGAATGGCACTTGTTTAGCTTGCACAAACAGCTAACTCCCCGTCCAATGTTTTGATTGTTCAACAGACTCTTTTTTAACACAACAACCGACTACAAAGAGGCAAAAGCACAACAATGGCATCTTTCATAATACAAACCAAACTGCTAGCTCATCATCGCCTGAGGCTCGTTCTAGAGCAGCATCCAACAGCCGAGCACTGAACCGCAAGTCCAAGAGCCATCAAAGCGGTGGTAGTGATCTTGAAAACCACTCTAACAATGACGATGAAGATAGCAGCAGCAGCAGTAGTAGTAGTAGTAGTAGTAGTAGCGAAGACGATCAGGATGAAGACATTGAGATGAAAATGTTGAGGCAAGATCATGTCTCTGTGTCCCACATCAATCATACCATGCATCATCTCCTACTCAAGGTACATTTGCGCAGTAAAAAAAAGCCGTAACATGCATTGTCTCTGATCTTGCTGATCATATAGCTCGAAAGACAACAATCAAAGCAGAACCGTTACCTTGGCAAATTCAAGCAAATCAGCAAATCCATCAAAAAGACAAGCCGCTTGATAGGATACAATGCCAACTTGCTGGCCGAACAGTGCAACATAAATCAGGCCATCCCAGGAAAGAAAGCTGTGTCTGTCACTCCATCCCGCTCTCCTGCTCAACAAAGCCCTCAATTAGCCAAGCGATCCCTACCATTTTCAGCCAAAACAAAGCAAGCTGAAGCTGCTGGGAGTAGCAGCAGTGAGAGTAGTAACGAAGCCGACGATGCTATTCAAACGGTGAGTTCGGAGCCCCCACATTCAGTACAAGCTTCATCACCGCCACCGCCACCACCACCACAACAACAGCAGCTGCTGCCACCTGCCAGAGCACCTGCTACCACCCCCCGTACTTCGGCTTCCAGTTTTCCAAAGCCAAAACGTCATGTTGCTCGAGATTTCAAAGAAATTGCATTTGGACGTAGTCAAACCATGGATATTTACACTATTCGTAGAAAGCAGGGCGATGTTGTGTTTAACAAAAAGCCACGCTCATTATTGTACAACATTGCGGATGACAGCATGAGCAAAGGTATGAATGAACTGATGATCACCACCTCCTTGGATGGCGAACTCCAATTCTGGAATGCAGCTGAGCGAAGAAGAATCAAGACGATTGGCAAAGATCATATTTACGACTCATGGATCGACGATATCTGCTGGGCAACACCATCTACGCTGGCATTTTGTCCACCACAGAAATCAGATGAGCCTGTCAAGTTGGTGCATATTGGCAATGTGACAAAGACAAATGTAGAAGGTCGTATTCAAACCTTGGATGAATCGCCTCATGAGAATGGCATATCTGTCATTGGTTCATTAGAGACTGGCGATTACAATACGAGAAACATGGAAAAATGCAGTTTTGTCACAGGCGGTTATGATAAAAGCATCTACCTTTGGAGCTTGAAGAGGGAATCCCCAGACGATAACTTTACACCTACTGGCGTGTCTAGACTCAACATCAAGCACACATCTGCGATCTATTCGCTCTGCTACGACAAGTACAAGAATGTGCTCTTTTCTGGTGGCTCTGACGAAAGATTGGTGCTATTTGATATGCAAACCAACACGACGCTTCGAGAATTGAGGCTAGCGCAGCGTGTGAGTCAAATCATCCAAAGCAAAGCCAACCCCAACATTATGCTTATCACGTAAGTTTTGTCTGTCAATTGCTGGCTCCATTACTGACGTTTTCTTTGCTTTAGCTCTACACTTCGATCTGAACAATTCTACATTTATGATCAGCGAGTGCCTGGTTTTGATGGTATCAAGCTGAGATTTGGTCAGCATGAGTCAGAAACACTGTCGAGATTCATGAAGCCTGATATGCATGAAAATGGTTATGTGGTGTGTTGTGGACATCAGAGCTCGTCCAAGCTCAACTTTTGGGATCTGCGATACACTGATGTGCATAAATCAGTGTCTTTTAGCATGGACACACCCTCCACCACTCGCATACTGAGATCCATGTTCAAGCCTAATACCGAGACGATTGTGTCGCTTTCTTCCTCTCGCACCATGAGTTGGCTAGACTACAATGTCAAGCGAGATGAGATTGTAAAGACCTTGGTTTAGACAATAAAAAATGGCATGGCCTCGTAAAAAAAAAAAAAAAAAAAAAAAAAAAAAAAAAAAAAAAAAAAAGATTTAGATTACGTGTATTTATTACAGTTTAGCTGTCGATACAAGAGACTTGAAAAGAGAGAAAATATTACAAATGTAGAAAATAGTGGCAAGAAAAAGGGGATTGATCATTAATAATGTTTGTTGTATACTTTTTTTTTTTGGTTTTCGAAAGTGCAAGTGTCTGATCATGGCGATTGTCTTTTTTTTTACTCTTCTTCTTCTAACAAGACATCGTCCTGTTGTTGCTGTTGCTGCTGTTGCTGCAATACGACGCCTTGAAGACGACGCTCCTTTTCATTCTCAAGCTGACCATAGAGCAAATAAAGAGCTCTCTCATTAGACTCCATTGTGCCCTGAATGGTAAACATTCTCTCGCCAGAATCATCATGAGGTGTCTTGGCGATGGATATATGAGATCCAGATAATCGACGAATTTCAGAAATCTTTGATCCTCCCTTGCCGATAATACAGCCTACCATATCACTTGGAATTGAGATTTGTTGTGTACGAACATCAGCGTTTAATGGGGGCTGCTGTGAATGATGTGGTGGTGGTGGTTGATATGATGTACGACGAGAGGGTTGAGATAACGATGACGCTGATGTCGAAAAATCTGTTTGATTGAAATCAGAGCCGTTGCCAGTACGAGTAAATGAAGTGCGCCTGTCATTGACTGAAGTTACTTTGGTGGGATTATACAAAATTGTACCATAAGCTCTATCCTTGTCTTCAATGAGACAAGCACCAATCTCTGAGATGGCTTGTAAAATAGCTTCCACGGTGCCACGCACTTCAACAACGCGTTCCGTACTTTGAGGTAATAAGGTTTTGCTGGCTGTCATGCGAACACCCGAGTTGTCTTGAATGTGCTTGATCTTGGCTCCCTGTCTTCCAATGACTGTGCCCATCAAATTGTGTGAAATCAGCAAGCGCAACGTGGTGATGGTATTAGTAGCAGTAGCAGCATTGCCAGTGTTATCAGAGGCATCCTGAGATGTGTTGCCATCCATAGTATTGGCAGCGACTGGATTATCGATCATGGTGCGGGCAATCAATGAGTAAGCCTATTCACAGACATTTTAACGCTTCAGTCAGCCGAATACAGGTGAGAGAGGTAGCTTACCATGGCCACACCTTCCAAAGTACCACTGACAGTCAATACACGGTCATGGACACCTTGAACCACTTTGGAGACGCCAGCCTTCACACCAGTGGCATCTCTCAATCCAGCGACATTTTTACCTCCCTTTCCGATAATAACGCCTGCTTCTCTCGTAGACACCAAAGCACGAAGCGTGAGTTGATCCTCCTCGTGCTGCTGTTGTTGCTCAGATGCAACAGTGCTATCTTCTTGATGTTCAGACATTGGATCCCTGTTATGACAGTAAAGAAAAGTAAAAAGAGGGGAGAGAGTAAAAGGAAAAAGGGAAAAAAATATCAGAAACGAAGGATATTCAAATTTTTCGAGCAAAAAGGGCACTTAAGAGAAGGTAACACTGAAATAAGTGGAAATTACCACGAGAGAAAGGCAAGGGTCCAAAATAAACTTTTTTTTTATTCATCAAGCACAATTTGTACAAAAGACAAACGAAAATCCTTGCTCGTCTTGTCGCATTTTAGCTGCTGAATCCAGCTGTTTATGGCATTTGATGCAGCAGAGACACTTTTTATGCCATCGAGTGGCCAAAGGGCCCGGGGTATCGTCCATGATGGAGATGCTGCATTGGCATCGGGGACAGGTCTTTGATCCACCCAGCTTGAGCATCTTTTTTCGAGGCATCAGGGTGAAGGCATGGCAGGCATGGCAGAAGGGCTTGTCGTTGATCTCAAATACAGGATCCCCTAGGTTGATCTTGCAGCCGTTCGCATGGCATTTGAAGCAGTCAAAGTGGTACGCCTTGTTGTTGAACTTGAACGAGTCTTGCTTGATGGGCTGATCACAGCCATAGCAGTGTCTGTCACAATGTGAGTGATAGAACGTTTTGCCATCAGTAGCACATTCGCCATCCTTGAATGGTAAATGACATCTACTACACAGAAAACAAGATTTGTGAAACCATGCGTACTGTTGTGGCCCAATCGCAATCTTGATCTTCTTGCGTGTGGCATCTCCTAATGGCTCATGGCAATGGTGGCAAGGTCTTTGCGATAGTGAAGACTTTTTGGGTATAGGTGTGGATTGCGACGAAGCAGGTGGTATAAACATGGAGGTAAGTCGATGATTTCTGGGTATTTCTTTAGGCTCTTCTTCGTCTTCTTTTGTGTCTGTAGGAGAGGGCGTTCTTGACAAAGGCGGTGGTATCAGGGACAAGTCTTCAAGGCGAGTGCGAATTGACTTGTCGATCGAGGGACAGCTATTGCGGCCTCTTCTACCACGACCGGCTTGAGACATGAAGCAGGGTTCACAACAAGGACGGTTTTGCAAGTCAACTAGTGGATTGACGTCAAGCTGTTTTCTACATTGGAAACAAACAAAGCACTCTGTATGCCAGCATTGCTTGGCATATTCAATATAGCTTTGATTGTTGGAGACAGCCTTATGGCATGTGGGGCTAGATGACAAGATTAGATTCCTTGCGACGCAACCAAGACGTTGTTTGTACATACCAGGCGCCTTTGCTGAACAGTTTCAAATGACATTCCTTGCAATAAAAAAGGCTTTCTTCTTGTATGACTTGTTTGTAATCCAGCACACGGCTACAGCAGGTACATAGTTTACTAATTGGATCATAGAATGCAGACTGCGTAACAGGAATTCGTTTGGCAGTTGGTGATTTGGGTACAACTTCCTCGGGCGATAATATGGTGCCTGCGTATCTAATAGTGTAAAGGATGAGTGGCCATCTTTTGAGCACTCGTATTTCGATACTCACTGCGATTGCCATCGATCAATGACCGATACTCCCCCTTCCGAAACGAGGCTGCTAATGGTCGATTCTAAAGTGGCATTAGTTTCAAATCAATGGCGAACAAGTTGGATACTTTACGAACTGATCTTCCGCCGCATTTACTGCATTTCCCAGCAGTAATTTCGCCACAACGTTGACAGAATCCCATGCTATAATATTGTAATGAAAGAGAAGAGGAAAAAAAAAGAGAGAAATTAAGGGGTAACAACTCGCTGACATATGGCATTTATATAGCACACTAGAAACCCAAGAAAACATTCCCAAAATAGTAGAAAGCAAAACAACATTTACATTTTTATGGCAACTTGTATACAATTCCGTTTTATTCATCATCCTTCTTCAACTCTCCCTTCTTTGTAGGAACACCCGTCTCGACAAATTGTTCGTCCTCTGCCAAAGGCTCCTCAGGTTCCTCTTCAATCATTGTCTGTAAGAAGAATTCTGCAATCTTTTCGTGGTTTCTTTGTTGTGCTTCATAAATAGGCGAAATGTTCATTTCATTCTTGATCTACTTGGCAGGCGATAAATAAAAAGGCTGAGCATAACAGTCTGGTCCTTACCTTGCAATCACCTCCTGCTTTCACCAAGATCTCAACAACCTCCAAGTTGCCGTTCAAAGCAGCCCAATGGAGAGGTGTATTGCCTTGATCATTCTTGGTATTGATTAATTCGATGCGCTTCTTGTCATCCAATGTAGAGAGTTGGTCAACAATATATTTCACAATGTCTGTCCGTCACTGAGTCATCATGTATAGTGTTTTGTTGCATTGCAAAACTTACCAACATGATTATTAGCACTGGCCATGTGAAGAGCGGTTTTGCCAGTATCATCCTTTTCAACAAAATTCTCAGGTGATGCCTTGACCTCCTTCAAATCTTCAAGCTCGCCTGCACGAGCAAAGTATACGAGGTCGTCTAAAAGTTCTTGGTGGTCGGCCATGTTGATTATAATAAGATGGAAAAAGGGCTGATTTTGCTTGTGTGGAGATGACAGGTTCGCAAAAAAAATTGTTGAAAAAATGAGGCTTTGATTTGCAATGGTCTCCGACGCTTGATTTGATCTCGCTACGCATGATTGAGTAACTATTCTGTTGTTGACCTATTGTGTATTGCTCTATAATGTAGCTCCTTACCTTCATACGTTATTCATCGGGATAGATTGAAGAGCTTCTGTGGCAGGGTATGAATGTATGCCCTAGATGAAATGACATGATCAATAATCAATGTACACCTTGGTACTAAAGCTAAATTTAACAGAAGGTTCCGTATACAAGCTTTGATTATTGAGCTTGGTTTTAATGATTCAGACAAAAGCACTCTTTAGACACCTCAAGAAAAAGAGTATATACCATCTCATTCTAGCTGAATATGGCTTATGTGATTCAATTCTAAAAATTTGATAAGGTGGAAAATTCGTGGGCTAAACCTATTGAATCATTCCTTGTTATCCCTCGTAAGTTTTGAAATGCAATATCGAACTTGAAAAAAATAAGATAAGAGCGTGGACACATATAAGTGTATACGAAAGCTTCTGTGTGGAACTCAAACCCTTTTATAAAATTTCATCTGATACATGTAGTAAACCCATAAATGAGAATTCAAACATCTCACGTTAATCTAAAATGTGAGAAAAAGAATTGAGGCTACCAGGGGTCGAACCTGGAATCTCCTGATTCGTAGTCAGACGCCTTATCCATTGGGCCATAGCCCCTCGACATGTTTTGTCGTCTTGATAGATAGATCCAATGGTAGGAGTTAACAAATAACTTAGAGTGTAGCTAATAGATTGAGATTATGTTCGAAGATACTGTTTATTGATTGCATTTACAGCTTATATTTATACTATTTCTACGATCGATAATTACTTAATCAATAGAACTTTCCAATAGATATAATACTTGATATTACAACTGATAATCAGATCAATGTCTGCTGCTATCAGTTTCCAGTGATGTGTCATTTCTAAACCGGATCTCCAAATGCGTAGGAGCAATTAGTTAAAGCACAGATCACATCAGATCATAAACTTTGACATGAAACAGGATTCAGTTACGATCCGAATAATGGCATGTTCAGGATAATAGATTGGATCTATTATCCTATCACCCAAATCAACCCATCTAATACCTTATCCTTACATCAAATCCCTCAATTCGAATAGTATATAAACCCTCTTATTTCCAATGTAATAAACGATATTCTTTACCTGATTAATTTCATACTCTTTTTATAAATAATTTATTTCTGATAAATCATCCAGTACCTTCGAGTATGTGCTGGCGCCTTTTGGTCGCTTTCTTCAAAGTTGGCTTAAACCTAAATTTAGGAACGACAGTTTTTGCGAACTCTTAAAGTTTATTCAATTATTTTGTAAAGTAGAAAAAATTATAGAGTGTCACCAAATTATATTAAATTATGAAATGTAGGGGTGCAGTGAAATCGGGTTTAATGGATTTCACAGAAAAAAATAAAGCAAATGTGGAATTTGAGGCTTGATAGACTAAAATTCACGGAAAAAAAAGAATAAAAAAACAGTAATGTCAACTTGATAAAGGTATATTTTATTATCAAACTGACAGGTGTAAAGTAAACTGAAGTCTCTCTACTGGCCAGGTAGATGATCCTTCTTATATACTATAACAATGGATAAAAGTTCTATTAATTAGATTGACAAATAAGTCAACTCAGATCAACTAATATCTAATCATGCTAAAAGACAACTCCAGCAAGCTAATCATGATTTAGCTCTGTCTGGATGAATAATTAGACTCTCATCCGAAGTACCCTGATCTATCCTTTCTATAAGGATAATTAATATCGATCTAGTAGCATGTATCCGATAGGTACAGTCTTCTTAGTCTATATTAATAGTACATATCTGAGTGTATATCGCTAAGCATACATCTTTAGCATGTATCTGGATATATGGCATGTCTATAGCATATCGTATGCATGTCTATAGCATGTCTCATATATACAGTAGTCGCTCTATATAAGGCTACTTTTTTGGCGAGGTTTTTTTAGCCTTATTGCCCGCATAGCCTTAACTGACGCGCGTGACTTCTGTCAAAAAAGTCGTGCGCGTAGGATCTATTACTATAATAGTTGATCGAATAAATCAATTTGACGCCTCCCCAGTAACATTCATTTATCTGTTTATTTTACTTCTATTGAACGCAATATCCTATCATGTGCCTTAATCAAAGATCAAGAGATCGCCTCACAATCGAGCAAAAGTATCGCATTATTATGCACAACATGCACTTTCCTAATCTGACGCAAATGCAACTCGGTCAATGGGCTCAAAAGGAATTCAACCTTCATCACTCAGTCAAGCAAAAAACTGTATCGAACGTCTTGAATTCACAGGACAAGGTGATCAAAGCTTACGAAGGAGGAAATTTGAAGGGAAAAAGCAGCAGAGCCTTGACGATGCCACAATTGGACAATGACATTTTGGAGTACATTCAAGCCATGAATGCAAAATCTCTTCCTGTCAATCGTGGAACTATTGCAGCTTTTGCAAAAGTAGTCGCACACAGAAAGTACTGCATGCATGAATTGCCAAAGAATAAGCAAATCCATTTCTCAGATGGATGGCTAACCGATGTTTTCAAGAGAATTGGTGTCAAGTCAAGACATTTATATGGTGAAAAAAGCTCAGTCGACTTAACATCATCTAAGATTGTCGAAGAACTCAGAAAGATTGAAGAATTGTTGGAGCCATATGATCCCAAAGATATTCTCAACTTTGATGAAACTGGCTTATACTACGAGCAACAGCCAACTCGCACCATTTGTCAGGAACCTTTAGGTGGATCAAAGAAAAGCAAGAACAGATTCACAGTTGGACTAATCACCAACTATGATGGATCCTATAAAGGGCACCCCATTGTAATTGGGAAACGAAAGACACCAAAGGCAGCAAACAAAAAACCTGCTTTGTACAGAAGAACCACCAACATCGGGCAATCCCATTATGTGGAGTACCATTCATCTCCCAATGCATGGATGAACACCGACATCTTTAGGAAGTACGTCAAACGTTTGAATGTGTCTTTCGTTTACGCCGGAAGAAAAGTTGCTCTCTTGGTTGACAATGCTTCAGTGCATAAACTGAAAGAAGAATTCAGCAACATTAAGTTGATTTTCCTTCCAGCAAACACAACAAGCAAGTTGCAGCCTTTGGATGCCGGTAAATCAACAAATTTCATTGATATCCGTACTCATCTCTAATCACACACTCGATAGGAATCATTGCGAACTTCAAGGCTCAGTTCCGTTGGCACCAATACTACAGGGCAGTGAACAAGTATCTTGCTGGGGTAAGCCTTGATCTTACCGAGGAATACAGAATGGATGAGGTGGATGCTCTGTATTTTCTTGCTGATTCTTGGATCAAAGTTAAGCCTCAAACAATCCAAAATTGCTGGGATCATACGAAGATCCTTGATTTTAAGTTTGCTCAGAGACAGAGAGTCGACTCGGAGGATGTACTCCCATCTTTCGAGCTACCTTTAGACGATGATCTAGTCAGCCAGTTGAACGAAATCATCCCTGAACTTCCTGGAAACAGAAGTAATGATGGGGTTCAATTGGTAACTGAAGTAAACGACTTGGATCTAAATGCAGATGAGTCTGATGCAATCGTTTTTAATCCCGTGATTGTTGAATTTGAGGATGGCGATGATGTTACCCATCGATCACAAGAGCTTGAGGTAGAGGAAGAACCAGTAGAGATTTACGATGTTGATACGAAGGAGATAAGGGAGAAGTTGAAGCATGCGTATGAAACTATCTTGTACCATACCATCCCAATGGATAAAAAAGAAAAGTCTATGCTGAAAACTATCCGTAGGAATCTGAACGATATCAGATCGGAGGAAGTAGCAGAGAAAAATCAAACAGATTTACGTGATTATTTTGTTTAAATGTACTACCTTTCAATAAAAGCTTTCTATTTTTTATTATCTGATTGGCCTTAAATTCAATCTCAGCGATCACCACTATGAAATAAGGCTAAAATTTTTAGAATCTGTAGCCTTATATAAAATTAGGCTATTAAGGCTAAATAGCTGGTAAAAAAAAAAAATCTGAAAGATTTCAGCCTTATTCCCCGCATAGCCTTATATAGGACGGCCTTATATAGAGCGACTACTGTAGTACAAGTCTGTAGTACATAAAGTATCTGTAGCTAGTATCACGGATATAAGCATGTGTCTTATAGCGTGGATCATGAAGTGCACATCTGAAGCAACAAGCTCATATTGCATTAATCTTGGTGCCTATCCAGATATGGCAAACATCCGTAGTCAATGTCGGAATACAAGTATAAGTCTATAGCGCCATTCATGTCCGTGGTGCCATCTATAGCCTATATCTTATATAGTATGAATCTTATAGTACTAGCGTATCTGAAGTTCATATCATATGGTATAAATCCGTATCGTACATCTACTTCAATGCACACATAGTTTATATCTGCATCGGGTAACTGGATGAACTGTCGGAATGCAGATTAAAGTGGACGTATTCCACAGTAGCCTAAGATGCACGCTTGTATGCAGAATTGTGGTTGTTTGGCGAAGGTTTTGAGCCATAATATGCATCTCACCACGAAGGGCGGACAGCTTTTCCACGCCTTTGGTTGATACTAACGATATCATAATGTACAATACAGAGCATCTGAGTCATCAGACAAAAGAGTAATTTACTTACTCTTCTGGCAACGGGACCCACTACGTCGTCGCTTTAGGTCGAATTCTGTTCAAATCTAACCATTTTCAAGCACTAATAACTCATGTCATAAAGCGTTTTGAGCGCTTGGAATAGCACTACTCACCTCATCTTGGCTACGCTTTACTTCCTGATGCTTTATCTCAATTTTTTTGGGTCGTTGCAAATTCATGAAAATCCTCATTTCTCCATGAGCATTAGCAAGGAAAAATTCTTGAAAATCAAATGATTGCGTTTTTCATGTCAAAAGTGAAGACTTTTCCTATGATACATATTAGATCAAATTGATCGTAAAGATGAAATGCAACATTGTAAACTCTTTCTATGATATTTTCATATGCTAAATTTTGACATATTCACAGAAAACCTGTTTTCATATTTTTGGAAATTGCTCATTATTTTTGGTCCGAAAGCTGAAAGAAATTAGCACCATTCGATGCGGCTTCTTTAGTTCTCTAGAGATGTATTAGAAAGTTGGGTGTGACAACGATAGTTTTCATAGTCAAATTTAGCAAAAATGTTTAAAGGATGTGAGATCAAGTTAAGTGTGAACACGAAAATACCTACTACACAAATTCAAATTAAATTGCCGCACTTACTGCTGCTACGGCAAAAGACTGAGACCAAATTTACTGGCCGTGACGTCGGATAGGGCGCCCTCTCATTTTTCTGTACCCCATTTTCCCCTTTTTGCAAAACGCGTTTAGTATCAAACCATGGTGGCTTTGGAAATCGTTTCATTGATAATAACACTCTAGCTTCTGATAACGCTGTATTGTACTGTGAGAAAGACTTGGTGCTGTTTCTTTGAAGTGGAATATATTAGTTACCGTTCGATAACGAGCACTGGAAGACATAGAATTAACACTAATTGAATTTGTTTATTATGTTTTGATAATATTTTTGCCTGTTTGACGTGGGTGCTGCTGCCATTCCTTTTCTGCTGTCTCTGCTGTCTGCTTCTTTGGTCTTTGCCTGGTCTCTGGTGTCGTTCGTTCTTTGGTTTTTCTATTGTGCTGGTGTTGCTGCTGCCGCTGCTAATATGGCCTTTCCTGGTCTACTGTGTTTGGTGCATGCTCATTCTTTGGCCTATATCCGGTGATTGTGTATCCTCTGGTCTATTTACGGTGGTGGTAGGTGGTAAGTATCTTCTTTCTTCTGGTCGCAATGATATAAAACTTCTTTGAACGTTTGTATTATTGCTTCCTTTTTCATGATAATGCATTCATGATGTTCGCTTCGTTGCGTTTTTTTTTCTTCTTTTGTTGGTTGTGTTGCTTTACATCCGACTATTACCATGCATGTTGCTCACGTATGCGTTTTTGTTGCAACAACAACGAGCTGTTCTGAACGTCTCTGCTGTTGTGTTTTTTAATACTTTTCTTTTACTCACTTTGTGTGAGTCTTCCTTTTTTTGCCTACATACTATTATACTTCTACAGTACAGTAGTATGTTCTTTTCTTATTTCTTTTATTACTATTATGTTTCTATGAAGCATACTTTTTTTTACGTTGTGTGGATGTGCCTATCCCTGAAGCTCAACAAGACTTTATCCGAGGCTAGGAGGTAGATAGGCTGCCTCCACTTGGTTATCACTACTTACTTTAGTGATGATTGAGAGTCTCAACGCCAGAATCTAAAGCTAGGTGGTGTAAGTAAGGCATGCTCTAGCACCTGGGGGAAGTTTGATGACAGCAGCGGCTATAATGCTATTATAACGGCGCTTAAAATTTTTCCTCACATCCAAACAGAGGGAAACCCTCGCAATTTTTTTTTAGGTCAGCGGAGTTTTCAAGCGATTTGATTGGCTCAGAGGTTCAGGGGCCGAAGGGTTATAACTAGTTAATTTTCTATTGATTTGTCATTAATTTTGATTTCGTGTCTGTAATAAAAAGGTCATAATCTAATAAATACAGCTTCTTGTGACATTTAAGGCTTATTATTAAGTCTGAAATTCACGAAAAAAAGAATATATAAAAGGTATATTTATTATCTAACTGACAGATGTAAAATAAACTGAAGAATCTCCACTGGCCAGGTAAATGATATGGCAAACATCCGTCGTAGTCAATGCGAAAATACAAGTATTAAGTCCATAGCGCCATCCATGTCCATAGTGCCATCTATAGCCTACATCTTATATAGTATGGATCTTATAGTGCTGGCGTATCTAAAGTTCATATTTTTCTTATAGTATAAATCCGTATCGCACTATTAATCCAGTGCACACACAGCTTTAGTTGGGTTCGATTTTAGGAGCGATTACCTTTATTTTCAAATTTTCAAAGAGAGGTTGATTTATCATGCCAGATTCAATGGCATTGTCATATTGATGAACTAAATAACGGCAAGCTTTATTATCTGACAAACAAAATGGCATGTGAATTACGTTCAGCACCATTCGTCCAGGAATTTAAATAAAGCCTTTACAAGATTTGTATATGGGACTTCACTAATGTAGCATTTGGTATTGTCAGTGTATCAAAAATCCAATTTTTAGGCTAAAAAAAAGCCAGATTTGAGAACCACAAGGATACTATGTACATTTGACAGAACCATATGCATTACAGGAGCCAAACCTTGTTGTTACATTCAGATCTTACTCGATCTAAAGACACAACGTTGGATTCACAGGTGTTTGGTAAGCCAGGCAGATAAACATTGTTCTTTGGCTATTCTATAAAATCTTCTCAAACGATAGTTTATTGAACGCTGAATGTCTGCATTTTCTCACTGAGTACCTATTGCCAATTTATGAAGTGTTGGCTTTATTATTCGTGATAGATAGATGTAATATATATTTTTGACAATTGGAAGAAAAGAAACAGAAAAACTTGAGGTATGGCATATTAGTTGCGATTCAATAATGCCTGCTCACGTACTCTTCTCTCGTACTCCTTCTTATCACGTCTATATGGACACAAACCAGTTAAATGACCCATATTTTGTGAAGAATGAAAAAACTTACTTGAATAACATGTAGGCGTCTTGTTGAGCAGGACTTTCAGGATTAGGGTCGTTCAATAAATCTTGCACACCGAGAAGGATCTAGTCCATGTCATGCCTGAATGAGCACTTTTTCATCGAGAACATCATGCCGCCGTACCTGTTTAACCGTGATAGCTGGCTTCCAACCCTCATCTTCATTCAGAATGGACAGACAAACAGTTCCAGAAGGATAGACGTTGGGATGAAACAATGGTGGTGTGAATTTGCCTACGCAGACAAGATTAATTTCGCAGCTAATCCATTCAGTAGTCCATATTTACACTTTGGTGGTTTACTAGGATAATCTATATGAATCAAAATACGAATCAATTAGTATGATAATGCAACACTCTATATCAAAATGCATTTACCATCAGGAAAGGTCATAGTGAGCTTGTACGTTGCTTTTTCCCAAGGAGTCTGATAATTTGCTTTGTCAGTTTGCTTCATTAGCACTATACAGCCATAACTTACATTATCTTTTCCAGGAATACCACAAACCCAATTCATCAAGTCTAAAGAGTTGTCAGGGTTCTTTCCAGGTCTGGCCCAAAACCCCTATTGTTAAGTATTTAGCATGACAGCTGATACGAGTATCCTATAATCAATGAATACATACATGAGGATGATCTTTGCGCCATTGCTTACGCTCTTCCATCAAACGACTACGAGAAATTCCAGAGCTCATACCTAATTTGCGTGCTTGATAATTTTAAATTGTGTGCGTATGAAGCGAAAGAAAAAGAATCAATCAAAGAAAAATATTTTTATTGAATGGATATCGAGGTTTGAGTAAAACCAAACATAAACTGGTTCCTCAATCATGTTTACGCGCGTCACAAATGCAAATTGGCAGTGGTATCATCAAATCATTGCGAGTTGATCGTTCTTCTCCTGTCTAGTTTGACGATGGCTGATGAAACAAATTAATTCATGGTTCAGCTCATATAATTGCCCTTTACTTACTAAAGAATACGTCCAACTTGTGCCATCCCGGTCAAAAATACGCTGAAATTAACTGCTGCAACCATATAATTCTTGGGAATGATCACAAAGCCATATCTTGTCCAGATGAGACCAGTAACTCCCAAAGCTTGATTAATTACTAATTAATAGATGCCTTTATAATATTTATAGATGCCTACGTACACAGGTTTTGTGATAAGCTAAGTTGATCTGCTGGTTTCTGAAGATCACCCAAGCCAGCAATGACTAGCCCCTACAAATAATAAGCCAGCCAGATTGAGAAGCGTGATAAACACAATGCGTGCACAGATCAATACCCATTTCATGGTGGGGGCCCAAAAATGTATAGTTTTGGGCCCTGCTGGCGAATTCAGAAATCTCGAAAGCAGTGATTGAGTTGCTGCAGAAGACATTTTACGCACGATTGGAAAAGAAAGACAAAGAAAAGTGTGAGAAATAACTCTTTGTAAAGCCATTTGTTGGAGTGGGGAAATAATTTGAGGTTGGACCAACCTTAAATCTGTCTTCTTCTCTGTTTATTCTACATGTATACACTGCTATCGAGGGATTCAATATCCAGCTTTCTGATTGTAAGTCTCTGAGCATGGCGATGATGTTCGTTGTCTGGATAGATTGACTCCAGGCGACGAATCGATCGAGAAAACAGAGCTCGCTCTCTTCTTGATACGGAATTGCAGTTTGTGGCCATTGTTTTCTGTGCCAGTGTACACACCATCGCAGTAAACTTCTTTGTAATAGTCTAAATCTGCATCAATTTGTAATTTCAGTAAAACGTCAAAAGGCAGGCCCTGAACCGACATTACCTCTTGATTTATATTCTGGTAGAAATGCTCTTCGTTTTGTATATTTTTCATGCTTCCATATGTCAATGCTTGATTTGACTTTTTCTATGAGATTCATGTTTGCAGTCGCTAAACGATAAAAGGGATCTGCATGATGAAAAGCATTCCTTTTTATACTGGATGATGGATCACTCATGTATTCAGAGTCTGTGTTCACACCTGTCAAACAAGTTTTGCCTAATACAACTGGGCTTGGAAGATGCCTTTCAACTGCATCGTTCCAGGTAAAATGCTAAAGATACATTTATCGCACGTGTCATCTATTTACCCAAAATTATGATCTTGATTGGAAACAAGATAGACGTATGTACAAACAGTATAATCGTCCAAACGTATAGATGGAGCACATTTTTAAAGGCTAGCTAACAGTGCAGAGATAGGATAACTGTGCTTTCCAATTGTTCAAGCAAGATTGACGCTTGTCAGTTGCCCATGTGTTGGCCCTTTCTCTATATAATGTTCAGCTTTGATTTCCAGAGTTTCATACAGCTATTTATATCTGTTTCAATTTATTTATCTTGCAGTTGCAAAACACAACGATATTCATAATTTCAACGTACAATGCAAATAATGCTGTATTATTACATAGGCATTTGCAGAGCGTCGTGTTTAATTGTGCCTTTAATGCTGGCCATAGAGTGTTTCAGAGTATAAAACAAGATGCAATGTAGAATACGTGGACTCAAGTAATTATGCGATTTATAAAAGCACCTATCAACACAACAGCAACTATTGAACATCCAGAGGTCATTGCATGCCAAGCCAAAAAGAAATTTCCGGTGTTGATCAAGTAGCAACCACGTGTGGCGATACAAACATTACCAATAAGTGCAATATCCCTTTCTTCAGCCCGTCATTCAATTAACAGGGTAAACATCACAGCAAAACGGACTAATGGCTGCGCGCCAATAACATCTATTTATGTAACGCGGTGCTCGTATACAGGGGTAATAGTGCGCCTGGATAGTTATCAATTGTTACTCAAGGTACTAAATAATTGAGCAAACTAAACAGTTGCATGCACACGGATTCTCGGATTAAAGATAGTATAGTACGGAAGAGACTTTAATTGAAAAATAATAGACAGGATAGGACGAGCATAGATATATAAAAACAAGGTAATGGGATGAATGATTGCGCTGTACAAAAAAAAGGGGGATATTTAACATAAGAGAGAATGAGCGAAGGATTATGGAATGTCAATCTGTGATGATATACAATGGATTTCTAGCGATAATATGGGTAATTGTGTTGTTCATTTAAAGCTGGAGAAGCATGCAATGCAACCAAGGGCGCTGGAGGCGGTAATAGCAATGGAAACAGAGAGGATTTGTTCATGTGTTGATCTAAATTATTCATAATGGCTCTTAAAGGAGGCAGTCGAGTACCCCAGCTTTGTGTTCCAGTGGCATTTTGATGTAATTCAGTAATAGATGAGGGAGGAGTTGGTAGATCATTTAAAATGCCATGTTCTCTTGAATGGAAGGAAGATTTAGTATCCGAGCATGTATGATATCTTGCTAATGAAGGATCTTGTGGTAGTCGTCTTGCCATGGGAGGCGGCGAATCTGTGAAATGGCCAACGTTGGAAATCAGTTCAGGAGAGGAGCGTCCAGTATTTGAGTTCAGTATAGGCCACGAAGCACGCGGTAGGGATCGACTGTATGCATCTCGTTCGCTACATCTATATCCCCAAGACATGGAACGAGGAGTGGATGCGCTTGATGCTGCGTGAGGGATAGTATTATAAATGGTGCTTTCTGGACTGGGGAACGCTTGGGCATGATCTTCAGGATATTGATACTTGAATTTGCTAGTCAATCTTTTATACTCTACGTCTTCAGCTGAATTGCAAGTAGCAGCAGTGGTACTGGAAGGCGGCGGTGTTGGTGCAGTAGTAGAATCTCTGCTGTTGTGGTGATGAGGTGTTGTTGCTTGCCAACGACCAAAGAAGACATCAGACGTCGAAGCAGATGGCTCAGCATACGATGGAGAAGAGACCACCATCTTTGAATGTTTTGTATGATACCTCTTTGTTGGTTGAGAAGCGGATTCATTCGTTACAGATGAGGCAGATGATGAATCATTTCCATTTTCAAGTTTCCTCTTTCGTCTAAAAGTGTGATGAATTCACTAATTTTAGTAAAACTGGTTATTTTTATAAGAGTTCAAGACTTACGACTGAAGACGATGCTCTTTGCGAATTCTCATTTTGACACCTTGATCAGAGAATGTCCTTGACAAAAATGTTGCTTCTACTGGACCAGGAAATTGCTTTGGAATGAATACAGTAAATGTGTTTGAAAGCATTGTTCGTTTGTTTTCAACTTGTCCTTCGACAATTTCAAACAATGAGAATTTCAATTTAAATTTGCCTTCTTTCTTGACAGCAAGATCGCCAAATACAAAGAAGCCGCCATCTAGAAGAGATGTCAGCGTTGGTTTAGGTGTCAGTAATCATATCTTCATACCTGAATTATCAATATCTCGAAGTCGATAGAGTGAAGATACGGTCGAACCCGACATGTAGTCTTGCACTGGTAGTAATGGAGTTTCTGGATCATCTTCAGTAACCAGATTAGCAACAGTAAAGTAAAACGGACTCTGCAAGCATTTCCTATCGAGGTATATATCTGTTAGTCGACTCTAAATCAAATTAAATTATGCCTACCTACTTCAATTCTTCTTCTGAACAATTCTCCCAGTGTAGTTGTAAGATGGGTGGAGGTTCAATGGGTCGTCGGTCTTAACGAAAGCACAAATTAGTTGGGTCGCTAATGACGATTGAAAATTTTTATAATACCTCTCTCATTGATCAGGCTAACTTTGGCTCTCTCTGGCTGCTGTCTGATTTCCAGATCGTAATTTCTATTGTATAAAATGTGAATAAGATAAGCTTTTGCATCCATTGCCTGTGGACATTTACGTTTGGACAGGAAGTGTTGAGAGAGAGCTTTCTATAAAACGGTAGGTACATCCACCTGAGTTACTGCTGGATAAGGTCATGGTTGTTATTATTATTCATAAAAAAGGAAAAATTATAAGAAAAGAGCAAAATTGAGAAAAGAAGAGGAAAATGAGAAAGATATTGGAACCTCTCTTTATTTATAATCACTAAAAAAGAGGGGTTTTTTCAAGTGTGCAACGATTAGCTTTTTTTAGCGATTGGGAAACCTTGTTTTTTATGGTGTTTAAACATCAGCGAATGCATGAGCTAATTGCCGCTTTAGGTGAAATTATCTATTAGAGACTCAAATAATTTCACTCGATCTAGTAATTTGCCAAGACATTTATTCCGGGTTTTTCATTTGTTGTACATTTGCTCAACCATGTAATAAATCATCAACAGCAAAGGGTTACACATTTCACAATATCAATGAAAATAGCTAGAAAAGAGGGTTAGGGATGCTGAGCCTGCCACAGGTATAGCCAACATCTCCATGCCACACGCAACGCCAGATCATGTCACATCTCATCTCATTCATCTTAGCGTTACCATGGATACTAATACTTTCCAGGGTCTGGTATCTAAAAAAAAAAAAATACCAAATAAGGATTATAAAATAACCATTTAAAGAATTTTTAGCCATATCATTCTTCATCAAATGGTTTTCTGTAATGCCGTGCCTCAACTGCTCGATCTGCCAAGATAATATTTGGATTCAACGATTTTAAATTTAGAAGATTTAATATTAGAAATAATGTATCGCAAGCTCGGTTTCCTTATTGTGAACGAAAAACGACGCAAATACTCCTCATCGTGTCACAAACAGGACTAGAACAAAAAAAAATGTTTAGTTACTGAAAGAAAACCGAATGATTGATGGATGAATGTCTCACTTTTTGGTTGCTTTTATCCGTCAGAATTTTTCATTGATGATAAATGACGCACTGTCAAAGGAGCATAATAGGCCAAGCAGAGCTACTTTGTACATATTCACATCATTAATATATTTGTGTCCATTCCATGGCTTTTATTAGTAAAGCAATGATTAAGTTTCCATAATTAGAGAAATTAACCAAGTTTAGAGTATAAAATCTTTATTGTTATGGACTCAGTTATAGCATGTATCACTTCAGGCCTTACGTACTCCCGTTGGAATAATCATTTGAAGTTCCTTGTGAGAGTCAGACCGTGTTTATTACGGCAATGGTAGTATACAACTTTAATTTAGCGCTTCTTTGGTTTGTATATTTGAGGACGAGAAGCGCCAAACCAGATAATACTGGACGTAATCATCATGCTGTTTATCGCAATTACGTCTCAATCCCAGATATTACCACATTCGCTGTAATAAAGAACTGCATGTCCTTTGAGATAAGGCATACGATGCAATGATATCTCTATGCATTTACTGCAAAGCCTTGATGTGTTGCGTTTACTGATAGGAACGACCAAATCACCCACTTTCTCTCTCACGTTTAACTGCTTGAAAGAATCCCAGTAGCACTAACTCGCTGTCGCTTCATTCTAGCAGATTGCTTGATTTTTATACCAGTACTATATAAAATCAATGGAGCCTTTGAAGGAAATTCGCAGAGAATTTGTCTATTAGCCATATGTGTCTACGGTTACAGCTATATCAGCAAGATGTCATGGTTTCAGACTTTTCAATTACTTCTCGGTATGATTTATGACAAGTATCCTTACCTTTTCTCTCCCTCGTCTTCCTTCTCTGCTTCCTCTTCGTCCTCCCGCTTTCGTTTTGTTTTTTGGAACCGCTAATCAACATGTTCACCATGTCTCCCCATGAGAAAGGCGTTTTTGGTAGCTGAAAATTACTTCAAACTCCGTTCGACATTCTGTCTCGGTTCGTTGATTTCTGATCAATTTGCGACTTGATTAATCTATTTTGACAGATTTGACTATACGAAATGTTATGATCATGCGATTCTTCCTTAAGCTTTCTAGAAGTACGTTTCAAGACGCATCTAGTGATAATAATTATAAAAGATGTTTTGAATAAATCTGTTGAGCAATTTTTGAAAATATGAAAAGAGATTTTTGGCCAAAATGTCGAAATTTTACATTTCAAAATCCCACAAAGATGATTTTATTGGTTACGTTAGATCGATAGAGGCATTTTGATTTGATATATACCATAGTAAAAGTCTTCATTTTCAAGATGAAAAATGCGATCGTTTGATTTTTGATGAAAATCACGAGGGATACCTCATGGTTTGAGGTCGATTTTCGACGATCCCAAAAAATTTGAGCAGAAGTGTCAGAAAGCTAGTGCTTGATTAGAGCAATTGTATGGTGTCACTCAGATGTTCTAAAATGGCTTGTAACACGAGAAATCACGGCTTAAATACATCCAAATTTCGCTGTATTTTGCAAATATTATGATTGTAAGAGGCAATACAGCTCTGGCTTCTGCCCGTATCTTAACTGTTTCCAATGATATAGGTCTGGAGCATCCTAGAAGAGTCAAATATACATCTATATCAAGGTCTTTATAAAGTGTTCTCGCTAATTGCGGGATCAACTTCCGCATGCCCATAGTAAAAGCTGCGTAGTGGCTAGGATGATTGCGATAGTCGCTGCCACAGCCTAAAGTTTAAAATCACGTATTTAGCTCTCCAGTAACACTGCGGAAAGATCAATTAGGTCCCTTGAAAAGCTTCTTATTTCATTCAGGTTATCGTATTGATCCGAACATCTCAACTTCCAACCATAAGACGCAATTGCTATTCAAAATTTTCTTGGTGCACAAATGATCTATGCTAGCATTCGTGAGATAATTTTACAGAACTCATTTGCTATTATATCTTCTGCGACGCAACACAACACAGCACCAGTCCACTGTACCTCTAGCTTGCCTCAAACAAAAAAAAAAATATTACAGTAGCATTATTCAATGTAGACTCCGTTTTATATATTCTTCACTTGATCAACTAATGAAATGATGATCAAAAGTAATGCTGGCATTCCCAAATTCCTTGCTTGCTAGAAAAAAGTAGGAAGAAGCATTGACTCAACTAAAAGCTAGTACTATTCAAAAAAATTCATTTGTATCCGCCATTGAGCGTGGAGAAAGTGATAAAGGGTTTGTTCCAATTATAAGAAATTACTTGATGAATAGGGTCCAATCGCCAGCGATGCCCAAGTTAGTTTGAATCTGAAATGCTACAAATCAGGAACCATTGCATGTCAGCCCATTGGAACACCATCATTACAAATTTACTGCGCTACACTTACTCATTCTTGCAGGTACAAGCAAATTCTAGAAACGCTTCTTGTGAGGTGATTGGCTGGATGTGTGTACAAAATGCTGGAAATCGCCAGAACAGAACGTAATCACGGAGTTTTGACTAATGGACACTACCTAGCAAATACGCGAACCTTCCATGAAAAAGTAGTATAAATACATTGACATTTTTGGGATGTGTCAAAAAAAAATATCAATAAATCATTGAAAGTTTAATATATATATATATTTTATAAAGATGTTCTTTTTCCAACATCCCGTCTACCAACAACAACAACAACAACAACAACAACAGCGTGGCCATCAACTCTCTGTTGATGATTATGTTCAACTTCAATTGTTACTTCGTCAAGAACAGGCTCAGCGTGAACAAGCTGCGCTTTACAAGAAACAGCAACAAGAACAACGTCGTCTTGAAAAGGCTCTTTATAATCTCAAGATTATGACCGAATTACAGCGACGTCGTGAGCAAGAAGAACTTGCCATTCAAGCTTACTATGCCGCTAAGAAGAGAAGACAGCAGCAAGAAGAAGCATTGCTTCTTCATCGCCGTCAGCAAGAACAGGCTTATTTGGATGCCGTTTTGAAACAAAGACAAATTGAACAATACCATCTCCGTACCTTGACCTTAGAACAACAACTCCAAGAACAAGCTGTCAAGTCTGTTGAGTATACCAACCCTTGCCATCCCATGGCTGCTGCTGTCTTTCCTAACTTTGCCAATGCCAATTCCGAACAAGAAGAAGAAATTTCTGACTCTGAGTCTGAGGCTGATCAAGAACATGAGGTTGCTGAGCAAATGGAAGCTCTGGTTAGATTCATTTTTGGTCAACAAGAGGTCCCAAATGAGCAAGCTGAAGAAAGTCCTAGACAAGAAGAGCAAGAAGAGCAAGAAGAGCAAGAAGAGCAAGAAGAAGAGGAGGATGAGCCAACTGAACACACTGTTACTTTAGATGAATTTGTGGACTACATTTCAAGAAAGGCTCAAACGCTAGACGATGATGTTGAAGATGAAAATGGTGATGCCATGGAGCAAGATGACCAGGACTTGGCTGCCTCGGCTATCCAACACATTGATGACCACGAAACTGAAGACGAAGATGGAGACTCCTCCATGGAACAGGCTGAGGAAGTGCCTGCCCTCGTTGAATCTACTGAGTCCCTCCATCATCTGGTGAATGATATCTTGGCGAATACCACTTCAGAAGAATCCTTTTCGGTATTTCCCGAAGAAGACCCTGTCAAAATTGCCAAGTTTGAAGCCTTAAGTCGTATTGAGCAAGAATTAGATCAGATACGTCAACAACACGAAGATCATGTACTCCATGTGCCACTAGATTTCTCTCCTGATGGTCGCTCTGCATTGCCTGATACCATTCCTGCTTCCACTGCTGAAAATCGAGAATTTCTGGGCTACGAAGATCAGATAGTCAAGATCCTTTTGAAGCTTGACATGATTGAATCTGATGGCGATGAGCATATTCGAAATGAACGCAAGGCGTTGGTGAAACGTGCTGAGTCCATGTTGGACAAGCTAGATGAATACAAGCAAAAAGAATGGGAGCGTGTGAGCTGTAGTAGCCATAGTGATAGCGAAGAAATGGAAGAAGAATACGTAGCTGTACTGTAGATTTGATTTTATGTATCATAATTTATAACATGTATTAATAAATATGTAATATTATACCACGATTTTTAATGTGCCTATATTCTTCGGGTTGTATTTTAAGCCTGATTGCTTATCAGATATCCAGGCCGTCAAAGAGTAAGACAATCATTGACGTTTGTCAAACTAATAAGAAGGTAATTGCGAATTGAATAGCACAATAGATTAGAATGACTAATTTTTTGCTCTTGTTGTAAACTGCTATATCTTTTACATGAATTTCATTGTTGCGACTGCGTATCGAAATGCGAAATGCAAAATTATCACGTTGTGGGTGATATTTCGAGTGTGAGACCTATATATATAATTAGGGGGTGGCAAATGTACCAACAAAATAGCCTCTTCACTCGCCACACCTTTTCCTGCTTTCGATCCTGATATGTCAACTAAATCTAACAATGTATTTGGTCTCTAGTATAAGACAACTAGCCGACCGATCTCGCTACGCTCGATGACGGCGTCGCCCTACGGGCTCTCACTGAAGACATCTCAGATCAGAGATATCAAGTAGATTTTAAACAATCAATTAATAGTAAAAGAAAGGCTATAACATCAGAGTCGGAGGGGAGGTATCCATTCGCTGATGTTGCTCTTGAGATGGTGATATAAAGCTGGCCATGCATAAATAAAGGACTTGTGAAGATCTTCAGCGACCTTTTTGAGAGATTGCCGTTGCAAAAGACATCTTTATAGGAAAAAATTCAGAAAAAAGTATTCGGGCTAAGCAACTGCCCTTTCAGATTCATGGTTTCCATTTGGTCAGCATCACAATCATCATTATCATTATTACTGTCACCATCAAAAAGGCGTTTAGGTCAGCCAACAGCAGCGACACCCGCCAAAATTGGTTCAAGCTCAGTTTATTTTTTTCTGATCAAGATTAGACAGATTTTGTCTTTTTCGACCTCTTTACTCTATTTTGTAATATCCGACTATATAAATTGTGATGATCGCCTTTTGCTTCCTAATACATTCTTGAAGTACTTTTCAAGGCGCTTCCAATGGTGCTAGTTGCAATAAGTGTTTTGACTGAAATTATTGAGCAATTTAATAAAATTTGAAATGGGGTCTTTAGCGAAAATAGCCATATTTTGCATATGAAAGCCTTATAAAAGTGGTTTCAGAGGTTGCTTTGGATCGAGAGAAACATTTTGATTTGATATATACCATAGTAAAAGTCTTCATTTTCAAGGTGAAAAATGCGATCGTTTGATTTTTGATGAAAACCATGAGGGATACCTCATGGTTTTTAGTGAAATTTTGGCCATATTTTTTTGGTCCCTGTTGTATTCAAAGATACAGTATTAACAAATTAAGATAGATTTCAAAAAAGGAAGGCTATAAAAAGTAACCAGATACGAAAACTTCTAGATTTATTAACTGATTCAAACACATCCTATTTATAAGAGATCATTACTGATGAATCATCAATCTATCTTGTTGTTTCAACTGAGTCAATACATCGTATCATGTTTATCTAATATCAGTCAATTGAAGGATCTGATTCGTTCAATCAGCCATGATGATACGATCTGTAGCCATCATTATCCTTCACTATCAGAGACCATCATAATCGATTATATGATTCACTTCTGTGTCGAACCTAATGTCCTAATGTAGACAGTGAGAAACAATGTAAATCATGATCCGACTCTTGCTGAGTTACTGAATGTCCGCAACCGCTACAGACTCAACAGCCCCCAACCAGGATCAGGATATACCATTGTTACATACCATAATCTCTAATTACAGCACATCATAAATAACGATATTAGATAACATACAAATACAATATATATACAATATTCAATCAAAATGATATGGGCAGCATCCGTCATTAAAAAACCTTTAAAAACCTCTGAAAGGACAAAAATATACAATAAGGTAAAAAGACTAGATCAGACATCATACCATTCAGCCATTAAGACCGATTCTTAGCTGGTCTACCACGTTTCTTCTGAGGACGAGTAGCAGCCTTATTCTGATTTACTGTTGCAGGAGCAATCTTGCGCTTGCCAACAGCCTTTGCACCATTCCTTCTACCCCAATATAATTCAATACATTCAGTAGAGTTGAAATGTTCAATAGGTTCCCAAGTAGGTTCATCAAATCCTTTCCACTGCACCAAGTATTTACACTTGCCCGGTGAGCCTCTATGGTTGATAACCGCTTGAACCTCTTGATGTTCGCGAATGAAGTCCTCTTTAGAAGTTAGCGTAGCATTAGCCGCAGCATTATACACTAATTTATGCGTAGGTACATCATAACTCAGGAGATTACCTGTACGATCCATCAGAACGTACGAGCCTTTGCTAGTAATTCCGTTGATCAAATAGGGACCCTCATATCGAACATCCAACTTGTTGCTCTTATTCTCATTCACTACCATCACCTTACTCCCAACGGGATAAGGCTTCTCGATGATCTTGTGCTTCTTAGCAAAATTGGCATGATCCTTCTTCTGAGTCTCTAAAATACGTTTCGAGATAGCTGGAATAAGAACATTTTGAACGAAGCTATACTTCTCATCAATCTTCTTCTGATCCACTACATCGTAACTACGAGTCAAGTCTACCTTTGAATAATCCGTCAAACCATTAGGTTGGCGATTAAACAAAATCGTATAAGGACGAGACTTGTGCAATCTAGCATACTTGACATTCAGACAATAATTAACCCAAGGAATATAGTGTTCCCACTGATCACGTTTTCCTTTAAGCAACTTAACTGTTGTCGACTTTGCAAGTTTAATCCAACTCTCCGCAACACTGTTACCCAACGGGTTCCATGCTAACGAGAGACGTCTGTCAATACCACTGATCTCGACCATAGCTTCTACAACCTCATTGATGAATTCCTTTCCTCTATCAGATGTCAAGATCTTTGGCCAACCGAAAAGAGAGAAAACCTGAAGTAATTCACGAGCGATAGTAGTAGCATGCTTATCTGGAATGCAGCGAATGACCGTAAATCGACTATAAATATCCGTCATTACGAATATGAAGTTGCTACCGAATGAACTTGTGACACCCATATCACCAAGATCCATACACCAATGATCCAAAGGTTGATCAGCTTTGGCACTTCGGAAAGGATGATAACCTTCTCGAGCAATGTTGAACTTGTTACATTCAATACAATCCCCCAAGATACGTTCAATATCCTTACGAATGTTAGTCCAATGGAATCCTTCATGATGAATAGCAGTTTCAACATGGTTGATTCCGAAATGACCGACCAAATGTTGAGAAATAATCATATTATCTCGTTCAGTAGCAGGTGGGGTAACATAATCGCAAAACTTCATAGTACGTAAAATTAACTCTTGTTGTTGCTTTGACGAGGCAGCTGATGAGGTGCTAGCTTTCATCGAAGAATGCTTCACATCAACCAGGCCATCATCACCAATACTAGTATCCTTTCGTAAAGCACGAGTAATTCGAACAGGAATACGTTTCATTTGAACAGTTGGTGTGGTAGATTTCAACTTAGAACCCATCTTTCTCTTCTGCTTCAACCTTTCACCTCCATCAGCATAGTACCTGCCCCCCAGAAGATGGCGTGCGGAAGCATCGTCATCTTCATACAGCCGAGATAAAGCATCAGGAATGACATTCAAAACACCAGGTAAGTGAACAATGTCAAAAGTGTAAGAAAAGATGTTCTCCCACCACCCAAGCATCAACGCATTAGGAATCTCTTGCGTATTCAAATAGATCAAACTCTTGTGATCCGTGTGCAGGGTAAACCGTCTCATATACAGAAACCGATGAAACTTTTCTAATGAATAACAAATTCCCAAAAGCTCACGTTTCGTAGTACTGTAATTGCGTTCAGAAGGAGAGAGTTTACGCGATACCAAACCAATATACCGAATTTCATTCTGAATCACTTGGTACAACAAACCACCAATTGCAGTGAGACTAGCATCAGTAGCTAAATGAAATCGACATGAGAAATCAGGGGTGGACATAACCAACGCATTGGTAAGTGCATCCTTCAAATTTGCAATAGTTCTGTCATGTCTTGCCGTCCAGACCTTCGACAAATCTTTACACTGCTTCAACGAGTCGAGATCACCCGTTAAGCGAGAATACATCGGAATAGAAGATCGGAAATAGGACATCAGACCCAGAAACGAAGCAAGCTGTCTACCAGTCTTAATAGGAGGCCACTGCATGATATTGGTAAGTTTTCTTCCATCAGGGACTAACTTGCCATCAATTACACTCCATCCTAAAAGGTAAATGCTTCTCTGAGCAAAGACCACCTTCTCTGGATTCAAAACCAGATTAGCCTTTGTCAAACGACGAATCACTTCAGCAACAAGTTTAAAGTGATTTTCCAAGCTACCCGAGGTACTACAGATTATATCATCAACGTAGCAGAACACTGACTGGTCATCCTTGGTAGAATTGGGAGTAGCAGCATTGGACGTATTCAGATCTGACAACAGATTCTGCAATGTACGAACAACTACTGAACCAACATGACGAATACCGTACGCAGCCTTCCGAAAGGTGTACTGAGTATTGCTAAACGGCGAAGTAAACGAAACCTTATGAGCTTGCGAGGGATCCAATCCAAAACTGGTAAAACAAGCATGGATATCCAGACAAGTATGAATCGTTTTATTCCCAATATTCTGATGAATAGATGAAATCAACGGCAACTGTTGTTTGTCATCAACCTCCAAAATCGAATTCAACTTACGGACGTCTAACACCACACGAGGCTTAGACATGTCATAATTGCCATTCGAATCTTTCTTCTTCACCACCAACAACGGATGATTGAAGCGGGTATGACTCGCCGATCGTTCGATAACGCCTTCATCAAGCCACACTTGGATCTGTTTATTAACAGCATCCCTATAGGCCTCCGCAAGTGGATATTGAGCACGATAGGCAACACAGCCAGGCTTAGTATCCAGCTTGATAACAGAATCAGGCAAATTACACAGAGTATTTCTCATGTCAATTTGCGAATTCTCCAATAACAGTTCATTCAATAGCCTAACGTAAGGAGCACGTTCCTTATCACTACCAAATGGATGGTGATTAGGTTCAATCGAGTCGTCAACAGGATCTGGCTTTCTGGGCCCAGTCTGAAAATCATGCTGACTCACTAAACCACTAATACCAATACCAATCTTAGAGAGAACATCCATTCCCAATAACACATGTACATTTTCTTCCGAATAAAATGTAAAAACTTCAAATGAATGTGAACTAACAACTTTATTATAAGTAACATTCAAGACCACAGAACCAACACGAGGAACGGTAGTCGCTTCATGTGCCAACTGTACAATACTGTCAGCAGCAGCAGCTTCAAAACCAGAATGAGTACGACCTCCTAGATGATCGAAAAACTCGTCAGTAATGCAACTAAAAGTCGCACCAGTGTCTACGATGCCGAAACAAATGACATTTTGTACCACAATTGGAACACAAATGGCATTGGAACGCAATGTAGGAGGTGCACTAAATACAGCATCAAACTTACATTCTTGAGCAGACAAATTCTGCACCAAGTCAACATCAGACACAGAAACACTGTCCATACCATCAACAATCGAAGCCTGAGCTCGACCACACAGGTCCTCAGCATCGGTGATAGTATGACCATCTGATTCCGACATTTCCACATCAGAGTCAACCTCAGTATTCTCAGTCTCCTGAACAGGAGACAAACCAGGACTAACTTCATCCCGCACGGGAACAGAAGCAGCAACGACAGAAGCAGCAACCGAAGACGCAGCGGAACAGGCATTGATCTCCCTGCTCTTTTCCCGAAGTACGGCAGCACCAGCCTCAGACGCCAAAGCCTTGTTCACCATGGATTGTACTGTTGGACGCTTCGTCATCATGCGAACAGTCTTCGTAGGACCAGAAGAACCACCGTTGGCACACGAATGACCCTTTCCGTAGTGTCCATTGCATTCCTTGCACGATTGCTCCGCACGATGTTGAGCCATGGTCTTGCCAAACTTCGAAACCCAAGGATCCCATCTTGAGACATTTGAGATAAAATGGAGTAAACGGTTGTAGTATAAAATCAATAGTGATCCGGATTACACGGTTAAAAAAAATGTTGTATTCAAAGATACAGTATTAACAAATTAAGATAGATTTCAAAAAAGGAAGGCTATAAAAAGTAACCAGATACGAAAACTTCTAGATTTATTAACTGATTCAAACACATCCTATTTATAAGAGATCATTACTGATGAATCATCAATCTATCTTGTTGTTTCAACTGAGTCAATACATCGTATCATGTTTATCTAATATCAGTCAATTGAAGGATCTGATTCGTTCAATCAGCCATGATGATACGATCTGTAGCCATCATTATCCTTCACTATCAGAGACCATCATAATCGATTATATGATTCACTTCTGTGTCGAACCTAATGTCCTAATGTAGACAGTGAGAAACAATGTAAATCATGATCCGACTCTTGCTGAGTTACTGAATGTCCGCAACCGCTACAGACTCAACAGTCCCCAAAAAATTGAGTAAATGTGTCAGGAAGTTGCTGCTACTTGAGTACAATTATTTGGCGTAGTTCTGGCGGCTCAGAAAGATTTACATGTCAAGATATGAAGGCTTGAAAGCTGTCAAAATTTTTTACGTTTTTGCTTTATAGCTGTTATTTACACAGCGTGAATCACATCTTCGATAGATAGCTGACGGGTAGTTCTACAACCTGTGCAACTTATAATTTGAATAGAAGGCATATTTATTTTGTTAAGCTCAAAATCATTCTCTAGACTTCAAATATATACAACTATCCTTCAGTAATGTAAATCAATAGATTACACTACAACCCAAATTTAAAGCCTATATTAACGAATTCATACCTACTGGGAACCAAAGACTCGCACTGTCGTTATTCATCGTCCTGCATTTATATTACGTGCAGTACAAGAAGTTTGCAAGTTCATCGATACTTAGAGACGATTTGTTGGTACATTAGCCGTAGGTGCGTTAGCCACCCCCATATAATTAGAAGCTACTACTTGTTGATTCTGATTTAATAGCTTCTACGGCATTTATATAGTGCCATTTGTCTAAATTCTCTCCAATAAAGTGTACTGTCCCCCGCTACCTTTTGCTCTGGCAGTCTTTCAGTAAATCAAAGACATTCTCATCGAAAAAATATCCTGATCCAGGGAAAGTATGTCTAGAAAATCGATTATGAGAGATGCAGATCATATCGTATTAAATCTATGCTCTGCTGGAAAACTCGCAACTTGTTCTTTTTGGTAATTACAAACAGATTTACGGAACTACTAACCATCTGTGAATTATAGAATCATCAGAAATAACGATCGAAATTCTCTGGCTCAGAATCGAACCCTATCAAGATATCTACGAAGAACACCTGCAAGTTCATGGCATACATAGAAAATCTGATTTATCTGTGTTAATTTTCATGAAATGCCATTAGAGATACAATTTTCTTCTGCTTTGTTCATTAAGAGATGTTCCAAATACATAACGATGTATTGGCCCAAGAAATTTCAAGAAAAAAAGGGAGGTTTACCGAAGCACGATTACTGTAAAATGCTTTGTAATTCAACTCCCTCGGATGGATCCTCACTTGTTAAGAATATCTTGGTACAGAACCAATGCCATGAGAGGACATTCATTTCTGTGTTGTTTATCGACTTGTCAATAACGTAAAAATGTAATTTTGAAACCTTAGCTATTGATATCATGTAGACAGCAAACCTTGCTTATGTTTGCCATGACATCTAACTGTTGGGCATTGCTTAGCATAGGACTAATTACAAGAAAATAACCTTTATGATACAAAGCAAGGCTATCTGTATTCGAAACCTTAAATGGGATATACAAGCTATAAATACTCTCATCTCAAATCTAACAAAACTCAAATACCATACTTTTTCCTGATCGTAAATGTGCAAATACTTGATAATTACTGCAGCTCTTCTCAAAGCTGAGGTATATTGGGTTTGCTCTGCCATTTCCTGTTTATACCATTCTACCACTAGTAGCACAATTTCAACACAAATCAAAGCACCACCCGACAGCAGCATTGTAACTGGTCAAATCATCATAACAGCGGTTGATAACCAGCCAGATAGCGAAGAAGATGCAACTCAACTGAGCGAGCTGGAACAACATACAGCACACCGACGACTAAGTCTACCGTTGCTGACTGTGGATGATGGCGATGGCTGTTATGATGGCATTCGTTATAGACCTTCTGCTGCCGACGAGATGACGGGGACAACATGTCCTCCTGTTTGGTGGCAGAAGGCCAAGATTAAATTATCTCACTCAGGAAGCAATGGTCTTCAGAAAACTACCACACACTCTTCTTTGAATACTACAGCGCCCAACTCAGAAGAACAACGTGTTGATGAAGCTTGCCAACCCGTGTTTGATTATTTGCAATCTATTCACAGTAGACATAGTTCAGCTTCATCAGCCATCTCTCAACATAGCCTCAACAGCTCATATGAAAAGAAACACCATCATCGAGCCAGGAAGATGGTGACCAAAATCAAGACGCACATCATCAAGATATCTCGCCACCGTAGAGGTACATCTTTGTCTTTAGATGAGCTTAAGCTGTAGAATTAGCCCAGTAATATACACCCTTTCATCGAAATACAACAATAAAAAAAGAGACGATAGTAGTAGAACTGCACAAGGTATATTATACTAGCGTGTTCACTAGCCTAATTCATTTTGAATTGTTTTATACTTTTGCAAGAGATGTCGATATGCAAGGAATCAGATTCAACTTTTGATAAAAGGCCCTTCTAGTGATGACGGTAGTAGACTCTACTCCATCTCTGCTATACATTGCATACGTGGTTCCTGCATCTGTTGCTGATTTGAGGTATATTTTGCTAAGGGATCGGTATTGTCGAATGCTTTTGAAACGGAATAGATAAAGTGTGTAAAGGGAATGCTCAGTGTGATTGAGCGTCAAATGGAACCGTTGGATTGACGTTTGGTTAGGTAGAAGGAGAACTGGCAGTCTTTCATCATAAGGCGTTGAAGTCAGGACATGACAAGCGAGAATTTGATAAACGACAGACAGTGGAGCAGGCAATCCTCAAATTTCAGTGATTCCATAAAAATGTGCGGTGTGGGAAGTACCTGCAGAGGGTAATAGGACAAGTCGCATTGAATGAAGCCCATGTGCTTCAGAAAGGAACGACGGATCAATGTATAGTCCATTAGGTAATAGGCGCTGACGACTCCATTGACAAACTTGTTGCTCATTCCATTGATGACCAGCTGCTTGATGTATGAGTCAACTACTTCCACCAATGTGAGGTGAGGCATGATGGTGGGCCCTCTCAACGACTGGTTCTCTTGAGTGTGGCCTTTGTAGTATTGCAAATGAATTCTTATCTTCAAAGGCTCGCTGCTGTAAGAAATGAGGGGATTGTCCAGTCGATACTTGGTATGGACAACCAATTGACAAGACGCTTCTGGTGTTCCATCAAAATTAGTGACAACAAGAAACTTTGTAACCGCATCCAACGCATCGTTCGCTTAAATTCAATGAGGTGATGTACATGTCGCATTTTGCGTAAAGCGAGTAAGAAGTTCAACATGGCATCGTTCGATACTGTGATAGGATTGCACGTTGGCGTCAGTTCATAGTGTGAGGCAAGAGGCACCAGGTCCAGCGATGTTAGCTTTGGAAACCTATGCAATATATATCCAACGTATTTCGGCAAGATCGAGTACAGTTTGAGCTTAGCTGTGCGAACAGTCAAGTGAGGCTTTAGTTTTGTGTAGTCGATTGCGTTTTCCTCTTCTTCGGATTCTTCTCTTGTTTCAAATCCAAGCTGCCTTAATGGTGATACTTCGTGTAGCTTCAGATCTAGTTCCTTCAATGCCAGACAGCTGTCAATAAGCGAGTCTAGCTGTTTGAAATTAATGCCCTCTCCAAATACAAGGTCTCTAGTTTGACGAATTGATCTAGTTGGCTGTATAGTATCGTAAAGATGTGCTTTGAAGGACTCAAGGTGGACGTCTCCATCAGCTTCAATTGCTTTATTTGAGATTGCATTTGGATAGCACATTCAATGTATTCTTTTGTCGAATACCCCTCTGGTGCAGGCAGGTATTGTAAATGCTGTAGTTTATGCCGTGCAAGCAGCGATTTGATCAGTTTGTAACATTCAGCATCTCCCGTGGGATTGATTTTCTTTATATTAGCACAAATATCGAGTAGCTGTGTGATGTGCACAGATGCCGAGTAATGGAAGAGTCTTTTGATGTCAATTGATTCAACTATGAGCTTATAGTTGCGATTCTCTTGCCTCTTGATGGCCTGCAGGTAGTTCAACAATTGCTGGTCGGTGCCAAAATACAGGTGTCTGAATAAGCAATACCTTGCTTGTCGGTGCCAGTTTTTGCACACAAACAAGCACGGATACACATATTTACTAGAAGGAAGAAATCCAAGCACGAGCTGCAAAACCTCGCATGGTAAGTCTTTTCAGTCTGCCATGCATTTGCAAGTCTTATATGTATGTACAGTCATTCAACCTTTTGATTACAACAAGAAATGGCGGATGTGAAGAGTGTTGCTACTGGCAAACAGAGCAAAGAGTCGCTGCCAACGAAATGGAATCCAATGGGTGCAAATGTAGCCAATGGTCATACATAGTAACTATGCTCAATTGTTTGCTGAAATATTTGACATTACATTGATTTACTATCCAACATAGCGCTCAAAGCACATCAATGTGTAGCCTATAGTCTGTGATTCATCATTCAATATTGAAACTGAATGATCTTGCTCACATATTATATGCATCATCCAACATTGGATCCACAAGCCACAACATACTCTCCATCAAGAGCTTCTCCCCCCCCAGCCCTGCCGGTCACTATCACTAATTTTTTCAGCAATATTTTTTCCAAATGTTCAACTCTTTTCTTTTTCATCAAATCTATACAGAACCTGAATATAAAGATGCCTAGTGTCGATTGGAAAAACCTTCCTGAACGTGAAGAAGATATCAACTTTGACGATATTTACGAGAAACACCAAGTTTCCACCGAGAATGATTTCGACACCATTGTCGTTGTTGATGGCGCCCCTATTGTCGATGAAGCCAAGGAAGAAAAATTGATGACTGTATTGACCAAGCTCTTCACTAAGGGTGCTGGCGAGATCAAGGAGAACGGTATTTGGATGCCCATGACTCCCAATGAGGAGGGCAAAAAGACCAGTTCAGGGTATGTATATAATGATGGCATTGGAAAGGCTTGATGACTGATTGTGTGTTTTGCGCGTGGTTTTTTGTCTCTCTAGTTACCTTTTCATCGATTTCACATCACCTGAATCTGCTCACGCTGCTGTCAAGAACTTGGATGGCCACAAACTGAGTAAAACTGTTACTTTGTCAGTCAACAAGTTCACCGATGTCGAAAAGTACAGTGATATGAATGAGGAATATGTCGAACCTCAAATCGAACCCTACACAGCCAAGGAGCACTTGAAGAGCGCCTTGATGGATCCCCAAGCCCGTGATCAATTTGTCATGTATAGAGGCGATGATGTCTCCATCTTTTGGAACAGAAAGACTGAATCCCCTGAACATGTCTACTCTAGAACTGTAAGTGTAGCTTCATCACCATTATTGACATGTTTCATTGACGCACCTTCATTAGAACTGGACCGAAACCTACGTCCAATGGTCTCCCAAGGGTTCCTATCTTTCTACATTCCACACCCAAGGTATCGCTCTCTGGGGTGGCCCATCTTGGAACAAAATTGTTCGTTTCGTTCATCCCGGTGTCAAGTTGATTGATTTCTCTCCCAACGAACGTTACCTCGTCACTTGGTCCAACGAGCCCATCAGTTTAGATAGATTGCCTGAAAGCGGTCATCCTTTCAGTGAATACGATGAAGGTAATCAAGTGGTTATTTGGGATATCAAGACTGGTTCTTTGCTCCGTTCTTTCCCTCTTGTTCAAGCCGCTGGTGAGGAACAAAAGACTGTGCGCTGGCCCATGTTCAAGTGGTCTTCTACTGAGAAGCACTTTGCTCGTGTTGTTCCTGGTCAACAGCTGTCTGTCTATGAAGCTCCCTCCATGGGTTTGGTTGGTAAGAAGTCTATTAAGGCTCCTGGTATCGTCGACTTTGAATGGTCTCCTGCCAAGGGTAACGCTTCTGATCCCAAGATTTACCAAAAGGAAGAAGTGTTGGCTTACTGGACCCCTGAAATTGGTAACCAACCTGCTCGTGTTTCCATGATGACCATTCCCTCCAAGGAAGTCATTGCCACCAAGAACTTGTTCAACGTCTCTGAATGTAAGCTTTACTGGCAAAACCAAGGCCACTTTTTGGCTGTCAAGGTCGATCGTCATACCAAGACCAAGAAGTCCACCTATGCCAACATTGAAATCTTCCGTGTTAACCAAAAGAATATTCCTGTCGAGACCATTGAATTGAAGGATCCTATGCTTGCTTTCGCCTGGGAGCCTTATGGAGAACGTTTCGCTACTATCACCACCAGCGATCCTGCTTACGGTTCCACTCCTGCTCATGGTCAAGCACCTGTCACTGTCAAGACTGATGTCAAGTTCTTCTACCTCGATAAATCCAAGAAGGCCAATGCTGGTTTCAAGCTGATGAAATCTCTCGACAAGAAGACTGCCAACTACCTCTTCTGGTCTCCCAAGGGTCACAACATTGTGTTGGCTACTTTGCGTTCCTCTACCGTTTCTGATCTCGAGTTCTACGATCTTGATTTCGAGCCTCTCGCTAGTGATAAGAAGGACAAGAGCGATCCTGGATCTACTGTCCAACTTTTGTCCACACAAGAACACTACGGTGTCAGTGATGTTGAGTGGGATCCCACTGGTCGTTATGTCGTTACAGGCTCCAGCATGTGGCGCCAATCTGCCGATCATGGTTTCTGTATCTGGGACTTCAAGGGTCAACTCTTGTTCAAGCAAAACATTGAAAACTTCAAGCAATTGTTGTGGCGTCCTCGCCCTGAGAGCTTGTTGTCTTCTGAACAAAAGAAGAAGATCAAGAAGAATCTCCGTCAATTCTCCAAGCAATTCGATGAGGATGATCTTGCTTTGGGTGATGCCACTGCTGCTAAACTCCACGCTGAGCGTAGAAAGGCTGTTGAGGAATGGTACGCCTGGAGAAAGGCTACTGAACGTAAGCTTGATGAAGAGCGTAAGACTCTTGGTAAGGAGGTCCAACATGCTGATGAGGGCAAGTCTGAAGTCGTTGAGGAATGGGTTGAAGAAGTCATTGAAGAGAGCGAAGAGATCTTGGATTAATTATCTTGTTGCATACATTATTTACTTTAATAAAATCATTCAGTCTGTTTTTCTAGAAGCATAGCTGTAGGCTCGTGTTAGCGTACTATAAACAGGGCCTGTAAGCGCACGGACACCTTCATGTATTATTTTTCATTTCTTGATCCAAACAAGAATCAGATTTTTATCTACTGCAATTGTCAAGACAAATCAAAAAACACAAAAAGCATTAAACTGATGAATAGATCAAAATGATTTTATTATGCAAATTAGTTGAATTTAATCAGCACGAAGAGTTTCCAAAAACTTCTTGGAAGCGACAGTGTTGGGAGTCTTCTTCTTTTGGACCTTAGCAACCTTACCAGCAGCAGCCTTCTCAGCCTTGACGAGCTCAGCACGACGGAGAACTTGAGCGTAAGGGTTGAGGCGGTTCATGACACCTTGGTTCTTGAGAGGGTTCTTCTTTTGAGTGAAGGGACGCTTGTGGTGCTTGTTACCAGCAGGACGAACAACGGATTGGATTTCATCAGAGTTGATGAGGCGAGCAACATCAGGGTTGGTCATGATGTGAGCGGGCAAGACGTAGTCCTTCTTCAAGGTAGCAGGAGCTTCATAGGTACCGTAGAGCTCATCGAGGAGAGCAATAGCGGATTGAGTCCAGATGATGAAACGACCGAGATGTCCACCAGGAGCGAGTTGCAAGAGGTTAAGACGACGGACGTTAACGAGCTCGAGACCGGGCAAGTTACGGAAAGCCTTGACAAGACCGTTATCCTCGTTATAGATGACAAGAGGACCACGGCGTTGTCTGTGGCGACGGTTACGGAGCTTACCTTGGCCAGCACGGAGCTTGCGAGAGTTAGAGACCTTGACGACATCAGAGTATGCGTTAAGAGACTTCAACAAAGCAACAGCTTCCTTAGTCTTGGTCAACTTCTCAATAGAGTCAGCGACAACAAGAGGAACCTCCTCAATCTTTTCAACACGGTGACCACGAGCCATGACCAAAGAGGGAAGAGCAGAGGCAGCCAAAGCGGAAGCAGTAGCGAAACGCTTTTGGTTCAAGTTGGTCTTGATGTGCCACTTTCTCCAGGTCTTGGTAGGAGCAAACATACGACCACCACGACACATGTTACCAAAGGCAGCTTGGCCAGCACGGTGAGTACCAGAACCATTGACACGAGGAATACGGGCAACAGCACGACCAGTACCCCAAGATTCGGCAGAGGTTTGTTCACCAGCCTTGTCAGAGACAGCATAAGCTTGACGCTTGTTCTTGGCCATGTTGGTGTGAACAAAGTTGACGATATCAGGACGAATGGGGGCCTTGAAGACAGCAGGGAGAGGGACAGTGCTAGAGACGTTCTTACCGCACTCGGCGTAGACGTTGATGACAGGTCTGGCAGCGGACTAAGCATGTAAGAAGTTAGTATCATGTATACATGTCAAAATGCAACCATCAGCCATCGATCCATCTCAGTGTCAATTGCAAGATTCATATCCGTTCTCATATCATAAATGGGTGAATTTGGCAGGCAATGAGCGTCTATGATTGATGCTGTAGATGGATAGATGTTTGATGTTGCTGCTATGCTGGTACTTTACCATCTTTATGTATGGATGAAAATTAAAAGAAAGAGATTCAAAGAATCAAACAATAGCCAAACCGAGCTTTTTCTGATATAGGGTTTCACCGGATCCTCCAAATGGGTTGCGGTCTGAAATGGGCATGGTTAAATGAAATGCGGACCGGATCATTATGAATATAGTTTTTGCTTGGCTTTCTGTATTTAAGGTTTTGAAAGTGTAGCTTTCCCTTTTACTTTTTTGCCCATTCATTGAAATGATGAAACCAAGGTCTCCAGCAGAGCTTGGAAAACAAGCAGTGATTTCTGTTGACCCCAACATCCCTATTCGATTGTATTTTCGCTCTGCAGACTTGCTGTTGAAGCAGGCTCGAGTGTACAAGCTGGAGAATGATTTGGAACACGCCTATATGCTTTACATGAAATATACCAAGTAATGAGTAAGAGCAGTTTACAGTACCGATGTTCACACTGCATAACAAAGTCTAGGCATATCTGAACTCCCAAAACATCCAGCGTACAAGCATGTAGACAACAAAAAGAATCTCAAGATACTGAATAAGGTACACTATACTCCATGTATCATGAGATTGCTCGACTAAAGCCCACTCTACTAGAACTGCTTGGAGGCACTAGAGGCGTTAGAATCCATGAAACCAGCATTGGAGAAGGCTTACAACGACTATGCCAAGAAGGTGGACGATGCACGAAAAGCTGAGCAAGAGACATCCATCGCACAGCAGACAACTCGCTGGCAATCTCAGCAGCAAAGACGCCCAGTAGACACATCAGATGTAGCAAGTGATTGGAATCTACAAGACGCACTGAAAGATGTTGTGGGTGTGGTCTACAACGAAGGATCAAAGTAAGTCATGGAATTTGATTGAGATGTTGGGCAGAATAATGACATTTTCTGCATTACAAGACCCTCTATAGCTGGCTATCAGAAAGCAGATTATCCAAGTTTGTCTCTGCTTAACCAAAGTGATGGGTAAGAAGTGAATTCATAATATGAGTGCACAGTAAAGACTCACAGTGTTCTGGGAGTAGGTTTGCATACCATGCCCAACAACAACAGCAGAATAATGCACAACGCCATGTGCCTTCACAACCTCCTCATTTACCACCTAAACCACCAAATCAGCCAGTATTACCGCCCAAGATACCTATCAACAACAAGGGCCCTAAGCTTCCACCAAAAATCAAGCTTGAGGGCGAGGAGATACACAGAACAGGTCCCACCACGGATGGTAAGTAACAGCGTTGTCATGTTGATAGCATAATCACTCAATCAATGGGCGAATTTTAGCGTCAACGGAAAGAGGCGAACCACTGAGAAAGATGCTGTTACCCGAAGGAATCCATGCAAGATTCTTGTCCATTGCTCAACCAAACACAAACAGGAAGATAGAAACATGTGGCATATTGGCAGGCACGCTGGTAAGTTGGTGTCGAATGCTGTATACGGACAATCAATGACCCAGAGCAATGCTTTAGAAAAACAATATATTGAAGATTACGACTTTGATTATACCCAAACAGACTGGCACATCAGACACATGTACCACCGAGAACGAAGAGGATCTTTTCGATATCCAAGACAAGCATGATTTGCTTACTTTTGGATGGATACATGTAAGTCATGTAGAGAATAACTTTCAACCGTTAGGACTAACGCCCGCGCTATATAGACGCATCCAACGCAATCATGCTTTTTGAGTTCTGTTGATTTGCACACACATTGCTCGTATCAGCTCATGTTACCAGAAGCAATTGCTATCGTTTGTGCGCCATCGCAAAGACCAAAGTAGGATCGACATGACATGATAGGGAATAGATATACTGACTATCCTGATAATAGCTTTGGTATATTTCGTTTGACAGATCCACCGGGATTGGATGTGATCAGCAACTGCAAAAAGACACCTGCATTTCATCCTCACCCTGATCTACCAATATATACAGTGAGTAGGCTTGATATTCTGTTTGGTTTTGATATTGACCACTTTGTTAGGGCGCCGAAAATGGTGGCCATGTGAGAACAGCAGACTATGAATTCACAGTTTTGGATTTACGTGATAAGAAATAAAGTTGTTTTCTTGAGCATTCTATCTACGGGGCATTGATAAGTTATCACTGCTGCGAATTTACATAAATAGCACATCTTTATCGAATCACTTTATGCTTTTCGATTCCTCCATAATCATATGTCACAACAATGCCCTCGCTTCATTCTATCCCAATCTTTGATTTTCTCTGAATTCAACACAAATTCGGAAAAGGTAGCTCAAGATGTATTCAATGCCTGTAAGTCTACTGGGTTCTTTTACATGGTCAATCATGATATGCCTGCAAAAGACATTGGACAAGGCCTTTGAATTGGTAATGAAAGCGTCGTTAATGCGGCATGGCTATTACTCAATAGCTGTCTATGTAGAGCAAAGTCTTTTTTGATTTATCGAGAGAGGACAAGACTCGATACAAAATTGGCGCCAACAACCACGGGTGCTCTGAGCTTTTCGGCCAAAAGTAAAAAACGAACTTGATCTTCACACAAGTTTTTGAGTCTTATCTATTTTCTGACTAGATTGGATCCTGAAAACCAGCGGGAAGGAGATCACAAAGAGTAAGTAGCACAATGAAATCAAAAGAGTAACAGAAATTTACGATTGGGCAAAGAGGTTTTAATCTGAGAGCATTTGAAGGCGGGAAACCTTATGCGCCAATTCCTGCCGTATTTCAGGAACACGCGGAATTCCTTGAACGTTTATCCAAGGTAAAATGGATGAGTTTAGTTTCAGGATAATATCAATCTAACCAACAAGAAACAGTGCTGCCACGCTGTTGCTATGGAAATCTTAAAAGCATTTGCTATCGCATTACAGATTCCAGCAGACCAAGGAGGCAAAGATTTCTTTGTAAGCTCTCACAACTATGAAGGCTCTGAAAATGTGTTGGGTTTTCTCAAATATCCAAAAGGTGATGAATCCGAATACAAGGAGCCTGTTCGAGCAGGTGCTCATTCGGATTATGGACCTGTAACACTACTGTTTCAAAAAGATGTTCCTGGATTAGAGGCGCAAGCCAGTCGCACAGAATGGATAGCAGCCCCTCTGATCCCTGGTGCTATCACTGTGAATGTAGGAGATCAAATAGAGTTCTGGACAAATGGTCTTTTCAAAGTCTACCATGCACAGAGTAATGTCTCTACCAGAGCATAATCACCAAGATCGCTACTCGATGCCTTATTTTGTTCAAGCAAGTTCAGACACATCATTGGCTCCAATCCCATCTCCCTTTGTAGATCAAACTGTAAAGGATGATGTGATTTATACGGCTGGAGAGCATTTGCAGAAGAGATTAGCAGCATCTCATGGATTTGAAAAATAAATGATCTGCTAAAGGCGAGAAATTACTGCTTCAAGACTTTACTTGTGTATAACATTGCCTGTCCTTGATTTATTATATGGCTTTCTGCTTTGTGGTAAATGGGTTCTTCAAGGCAGAAATCAAATTCAGCAGCATTGCTTTGAGAACGAATGCAGCCAAGAAAATAAAAGAGATTGCCATCACAGCAGCAGCTGCATACAGATCAAGATTGTGTGCCTTGATGAATGACATTTGACGGCTAGCTTCATATCTATATGGTAGCTGCCCATACTTGTTGACAAACAGGACCTCTTCTACCAAATTAGCAGCACGAATACGACCATGACGAGAATGAATTTGAATCAATGCCTTGTATCGGTTTACGTTCTTTTGAAAAACACCATCAATATCTGCACCAACAAGTTGAATCTTTTCATTCATTTGCTCTTGATTGAATTCATGGTTCAGATAGACACCGAAGGCATTGTGCTCGACATTATGTGCATTAGGGAATTGGTCTCCAAAGAATGGGAATACAGCAAGCCGTTTACCAGCATACAGACCTTCGTAAAAAGATCCAGCACCGCCATAAGTTATAAACACTGATACAAAAGGGTGCATGACAACAGCTGTCTGAGGAGCCCACCGAATGAACCGGTGATGGGGATATAGTCCATCGAACATCTGATCCACATTGTAAGTTGTGCCAGATTGGGTGATTACCCTGTCAGGAAATCCTTCAGAACCTCGTCGAGCCGCCCACAAGAATCCATCATACACCCCCAATTCAAAGCTCTCCAATATACCTAGCAAGATCTTTTGCTTGTCGTCTTCTTAGAAAATAGCATGCTGTCCAAAGGCAATATAAACGACGCGTTTGTGAGCATCTAAAAAATTTTTGAGTTCAGGGGTAAGAGGATCGTATTTACGAGGCAAGATCGGGCCCACCATTTCGATCAGAGGACCCATAGGACGAGCAGCTTCAATACCATATAAGCTGTTGACTAATTTGAGGTTGTCTCGGTGGACAGAAGGAGACAGTTCCATGAAGCTTATGTTGCATCCTACTTTACGGCGGGTTTCGTCATTCTTCTGCACTGCAGGCATCATTTTTGTCATGGCTTTGACAGGCTTGACAAACATGCCAATGAATCTATCTGTAAATCCCATTTTAAGTGTTGTGGAATCACGCATTGTAAGGACGTTGTTATTGATATAAGGTGCAGAAGTGTCTATTCCAAGGTAAAAGTTAACTTCTGATGAATTAGATCATATAACATGATACACATACCGCTTGACATTGCAAATGCTTCTGTTACAATATACGGTGTGCCGGTGGCAATTGCAGCTTCGTAGCAGCCAGCAGTAGCACCAAAATCACACAGAGCTACATCAATTTTCAGACTTGACATGATGTTTTTCAAGGCAGGATAATCTGATAGCATGAAAGTAAATCAGTGCTCAAATTCATTAGTTTTATTCTTCATATAATGAAAGATACCTGTTTCGAAATTCCTGTTTGCAAATTCGAAAATACCACCAACTATCTCGTATAGATCAGCGTGCTCTCCAGCAGAAAGAGTTGATTCCAGCATCTCATTGTCATCTTTGAGTACGATGGTATTGAAGTGTGGGTATGGCTTTGCAAAGCTGGTATGTAGGTTCTGTCTTCCAATCTAGTCATTCAAGGCTCGATCGTGTACATTGTATACTTACAGTGGTAACAAACGTGACGTTATGACCTCTCTGACTTAGTTCATCCAGGATAGTGAGCACCCACTTGACATGAGATGCTCCGCCGAAATTGGAAGAGAAGAGTATATTCTTGGGTTCTCGAAATGTTTCAACCAACTCATCTTGAACAGACGATGCTTCGAATACTGGTTGATTCAGAAAGGAATCTGCTACTGCGATTAAGCTTGTAAACAGAGTAACCAAGGCACCAAGTAGCATAAATCTCATGTCTGTAATAATTCAAGAAGAAGAGAACTGACATCAGGTCCTTTATTTATATCCGTATTGATGTTCGGTGAAACATTAAGTGAAATCAAGATCGGATGTTGGGCTGTCAAAATAAAAGTGAGTCTCCTTCGCACAAGAACGCTTGTACTTGCAGGTATTATTGCCAAGCGATGCTTATTGTATCTAGCTCAAAAAAAACATGAGGATGCTCTTGCAAGCAAATTAGATCCCTAACCATTCAAAATATGAAACCAGCTGGCATAACGGTACACGCACGCTATGATCACCAAATGTTAATTGATGTTCTCTACATCCGGCCGGATACCCGAAACAGCTTGTACAGCGGCAAACCCCTTTCAGTGTTTTCACTCAATGGCAGCAATTGCAAGTCTGAATAGAAGGATCACCAATTTGCATTTCGCATTAGAATTCGCCTTTTCATAAGCAATATATATAAGCAATTTGGAAGGATCAGATCAATTCGATAAACATATGCGCATAGAAAACAAAAGAAGTTAGTCGTTCTAATCTATTGTGTTCTTTGATTTGCAATTCCCTTCGCAATAGCATTGCAAACATCAACAAACTCTATAGGAAAAGACATTTTACCAGCCAAAAACTAATTGATTCTCCGCTCGACATTCTGTCTCGATTCGTTGAATTTTGATCAATTTGAGACTTGATTGATTTATTTTGAAGAATTTGACTATGTAAAATGTTATGATCATTCAATCCTTTCTTAAGCTTTCTAAAAGTACTTTTCAAGGCGCATCTAGCAATGATGATTTTAAAAGATGTTTTGAATAAATCTGTTGAGCAATTTTCGAAAATATGAAATGAGATTTTTGGCCAAAATGTCGAAATTTTACATATCAATATCCCACAAAGATGATTTCAGCGGTTACGTTAGATCGATAGAAACATTTTGATTTAATATATACCATAGTAAAAGTCTTCATTATCAAGATCAAAAGCGCGATCGTTTGATTTTCGGTGAAAACCGTGAGGTACCCCTCATGCTTTTTGATCGATTTTCGATGATCCCAAAAAAATTGAGCAGAAGTGTCAGAAAGCTAGTGCTTGATTAGGGCAATTGTATGGTGTCATTCCGGTGGTCTATAACGGCTTCTAACACAAGAAATCACGGCTTAAAACATCTGTGTTTTGCATATATTTGAGTTGTAAGAGGTAGTGCTACTATACTGTGAGCTCGTAAATGGATTTTTACAGTCGATATAGATGCGGAGCACTACAAAAGTGTCAGATCGACAGGGACAGATCATTTATGGAGTGTTCTGTCCAATGTCGACCGTAATAACAGTATCACTGACTTTTGCTCAGGTCGCCCAGGTTTTGTCGATTCAAGAATGTAACAAAACGAGTTTTGTACGTAATCTATTCCCCTGTGTGGCTACATAACCGAATGTTCTCTAGATAATGCTCAACCTTGCCCAAAATCAATTGATGATCACATTGCCTAAAGCTTTCCCTTTGCAACCAAACGGTAGCCCTTCGTTTGCAACGCATGTGTGGATTCGATTCAAAAAAGGTTTATTTCACATCATTCGAAACTGATATTTATCCAGCCTTGGGTTCATTGCCTTCTTGCTCCTCAAACTGGTCTTCTTGCGTGATGACTCTCAGTACTGATTTTTTGCTGGTTTCCTGTAATTCGCCAGCGATAAGAAGCTCATCCAAAATAAAGTACGCCTTTCTCTTCCTTGTTAGTAACAACTAGAGGCTAGTGACACTGATTGCTTTACCTTTTGGAAATTGAAAATCAAGTCGAGTTCACATACCTGAGAAAATGTCTGTAAGTATATATTCAGTCAGCATTCTCGTCTATTTATGCCTACATTTCCGAAATAACGATCCAGGATTTCGACATAACGATGAATAATCTCGAGTGTAATGAGCTCATTATCATCTTGGTTGATGCCAGCTACAAAAAAGAGACTTGCGTATCTATATGCAACCATGTTTCAACAAAAGGACTTCTTTATCTTACTTTGGATGTTACCTTCTGTACACAATCTTTTGGTCTATGAAACGAGTGTAAGTCCATCAAATAATTTAGCAAGCAATGCTCTATGCTTACCTTTGTATTCAAGAAAGTTGCACATCTTGACTCTTCTAGCCAACACCAGTTGTGTGGCATCTTTTACAATCTTAGCCTTTTCTTTGGGTGGAATAGTAACAAACCATTTTGTAAGACGAACTTTTCCTTGTCTACTGACCAGTAATAACCAGTTAATCTATACATCTCAGTGAGTAAGCTGCTACATTCGAGTGTCTTTGGTATGCGTCTGTTACCGCCATGATGTATTTTGTGTGTTGTGAGTGAAATAAAGTGTATAGAACCCAATAAACCAAAAAGACACGTTACATTGAGAGGAGAGGAGACTTAAATGTTAATTGCTTGAATTGAGACGGGGTTATTTACGTTGTACGTTTTGACAAATGTGATCAAGTGTAGAAAGAAATAGGCTTAACGTCCGAGTATGCTTTATATAGAAACAAGTGTTTATGCTTCAGATGGCCCTCTATCTTCGCTTCGCTTCGGTGAGGGCCAACCTTCGCAGTGGCAGCTCGCGCTACTGATTGCCCATGCGTATCTTATCTGAGTACTGCTACTTTCATTTTGGCCCTCCATTTACACATGAAAACCCTTCATGTTATCTGTGGATCTGATTCTTGTGTGATGCTCTACATTCATATACACGTAGCTACTTTATATGTGGGCAAACAGAATACTGGTATTTCCCCTTTTTAGTCTTTAATGTCCCTGATACAGCAAAATCTGAGCGCATTTGAGCTGTGTTTTCTTGCGTTCAAGGCCTTTTTAGATGGTCAGAATAGCACCACACAATTACTCTCATCTGGCAGTTACTTTCTGACACCATTGCTCAACTTTTTAGGAACTAAAAAAAACATGGACAAAATTCGACCAAAAAGCATGAGGGGTACCTCATGGTTCTCATCGAAAATTAAACGATCGCATTTTTCACCTTGAAAATGAAGACTTTTACTATGGTATATCTTGAATCAAAATGCTTCTATCAATCTAACGTAACGCCTAAAATTACCTTTGTGTAACTTTAATATGTAAAATCTCGACATTTTGGCCAAAAATCTCATTTCATATTTTCAAAAATTGCTCAATAGGTTTATTCAAAACATCTGACTTACTTTGTACCATTAGATGCGCCTTGAAAAGCACTCCAAGAAAGCTTAAAGGAGCATAAGATGATCATTAAATTTTATATAGTCGAATATAGCAAAATAGTTCAATCGAGTCGAGAAACTATCAAAATCTGTCCAATCTGGAGTAGATCGATATCTGAATTTAAAATTATTTTGGCTGATGGTGCCGGCTGGCAGACTCAATTCCCTTTCATCATCAAGGCAATACAGTAATACATACTCTTGAAGCGTATGGAAAGTAGGTGACAAATTACACAATACTACCGTTAGTCAAGCTATTTTCTGTGCCTTCTATATTTAATAACACCAGTCTATCAAAATACTTGTCAGATCAACTCAATGTCCATATTAGGGTTGTAAAAGTGTTTAGGAACTGAACATTGATATATCAGATGACTACTCAACACAATCCAAGCTACCTTTTTGGCATTATGGCTGAAACCTTGCATTGAAAGCATTTGTCACAGTAGCAAAGGCCAGTCTACATCTAACACGATACTGCCTATGATGTGATGCAGTTAGCAATGGAGCTGTGTGAGCCTTACTCATTTACACTAATACTGCAACAAACAGCTTAGAAAAGAGGGCTTCCAGAATATCGTACATGGGAAGAACGGAGTCTTTCTATTGACATTTACTCACCCAATGAAGGTCTCTGCTATAAATGCAAGCATGGATTAGCTGTTCAGAATGTACTGCTTCTGGATCTGCTAAACATGAAACCAGCGGCGTGGCCGCAAGCATGATGGCACGGAGAATATATAATGTGCCTTCTGCTCTTGAATCTGATCAACAGCCCCCCTGAGGTTCAATCATCTTCTCCACACTTTTTAAGGTTCATCAACCATGATGAAAGAGATATATATTCCCGCCTTTAGAGTCCTTTTTCAGTTCTACACATTTCTCTTTATAGATAAATCTTCGAATCAACCTAGTGCCATGTCCTTTTCCCGGATTAATTGTTATGTAATATTCCCCGAGCTTAGAATCGAATTCATCTGAGACGTTCAAGTATAAAAGAAGGCCCCATCTAGTTTCTCTCTACTTGTTTTTCCTCTTCTATCCATACCCTCACATACACACAACACAACACACAATGACTGCTCAAACTTATGCTACTTTGAACCGCACTGGCGACAAGATGCCTCTTGTTGGCTTCGGCTGTTGGAAGGTTTCCCCTGAGGATGCTGAAGCTACCATCTACAATGCTATCAAGTCCGGTTACCGTTTGATTGATGGTGCTGCTGATTACGGTAATGAAGTCGAGGTGGGACGTGGTATCAACAAGGCCATCAAGGAAGGTATTGTTACCAGAGAAGAGGTTTTCGGTAAGTAGTAGTAAATCCTCTTGTGGGAAAAGATTATGCAAAAAGAAAAAGATGGGAACACGTATAATAACACCTTTGCTTCTACTAGTTGTCACCAAGCTCTGGAACACTTATCACAACAAGGATAGACTTCGTGATGCTTTTGATAAGCAATTAAAGGATCTCGGTTTGGATTATGTTGATTTGTACTTGATTCACTGTAAGTAGACACGTAAATAGAGAGGTGCTATAAAATTAACTTGCTCACATGCCATACTACCACAGTCCCTGTTCCCTTGAAGCACGTTGACATTAACCAAGCCTATCCTCCTGGCTGGTACCAACCCAACAAGACCGAGATTGAATTCGAGCCTTCTCCTATGCATGAATGCTGGCACGAGATGGAAAAGTTGGTTGAAGCCAAGTTGGCTCGCAACATTGGTATCTCCAACTTCAACGTTCAACTCATCTTGGATTTATTGACTTATGCCAAGATCAAGCCTGCAGTTTTGCAAGTTGAACTCCATCCTTATCTCCAACAAAGCCGTATGGTTACTTGGGTCCAATCTCAAGGTATCCAAATCACTGCCTACTCTTCTTTTGGCCCTGCTTCATTCGTTGATCTGACCAATGATGGTAAGACTGCTGCTCCCTTGCTCGAACATGCCACCATCAAGGAGATCGCCAACAAGCACAACAAGACTACTGGCCAAGTCTTGCTCCGTTGGTCCACTGAGAGAAACATTGCTGTCATTCCCAAGAGTACCAACCAAGAGCGCATCAAGTCTAACCTCGATATCTTTTCTTGGTCTTTGGATAAGGAGGACATGGATAAGATTGCTTCTCTTGAAAAGGGCTTGAGATTCAACGATCCCTACAGCTATAACTTCAACTTGCCCTTGTTCAACTAGATTGCATCCCAATCTAATAGTGTATAATATATATATGTCCTGTAAAATTGCTTAAATAAATATCCAAAACTAAATCAACTTGCTCGCGCTGGTAAAGTTCATGCTGTCAAATGTCTAGAGTCTCAATGCGCAACATCTTTCGCTTTTCTTTCCATCCATATATATAAGCAAATGTCCACCATGGATCAATTACCAGAATAGTTGCTGGCCAAGCTACTCGACTACAGTGAGTGACTCGACTGCCGATCCAGTTCAATGTCGCTTAGTCTGTCAACAATGCAAACTCCTCGCTGAGCTGTTGCTGTTTGGCAAACATATCACCCTCAAATCAATAGAGGAAACCCTTTCATTCTACGGTCATTTATCTCAAAAGCCACACTGTGATCGCCTGGCATTTACTCCAGTGACGGAGCAAATGAATAGTTTATTTGGTGGTGGACATGCCTTCTTTTCAGTGATGGATGCCATAGCCACAGCTAAATACTGTATAACCCAGATCAATTCGGCAAGTTGACAGCCATCCCTCATCCTCACTATCACTCCAGCGCGTACGAAAACCTATTACCCAAGCCCAGCAACACCCTACAACGTATTGTCATTAGACTCAGTGGATCAAAAGTTTGACATCTTAAAAATTCGGCAGATTCATTATGATAGAAACCTTACTAGAAGGCTGCACTCGTTTGCAATTCGCTGTCGATATCCATTTGCAAGAAAATATTCGCAGCGAAAACGACATGGCAACTTGGAAGGCTACTAATGTCAAGATTGGGCGCAACAGTGTCAAGAGCCTCAAAGTTATTAATGATTGCAAATCCAATTTGCTTGGATTCTTTGTGCACAAGTACCCCAATATGAAGAGCATCCTTATTAAAGCAGGACAGACCATGTCTAGTACGAGAGAAGACATGAAGCGTACAGTTACTGCGATTAAACGAATATCCGCATGCAAAGTGAAGCTTCTTGTCAACGAAGATGCTTTGTTGCCTGCCATGAAACAGCTTTTTTCGGTAGATGTGAAATTTACGTTCAAGGAGCAGAATGAAGACGAATTCTGCATTGAGATCAGCTCGCCTTGAAACCCTTCTCCATGTACAATTACTGCTTATGTAATGTATATTCACAACATGATATAGTTTATTCCATTTGTACAGGCTCTGTTCTAGTTGCAATATAACTGGTGGAAAAATGGATCCAGTTTTGTGGTTTCTGTGCTATAATAATAAAAGCCTGTTTTAGTCTGAAATGAAAAGGATTAGCCGAGGTTACAAATTAAACCATTTCTCCATTTGGATACACGTTAATATCATTATGCAATCTTGCCTACATTGGCAAAAAAAAAAAGTATTAAATTTATTTGATGCAAATGGCATTTGGAGGAGAAGCAACACCGTTTTCCTTGTTCAAAGGAGCACTAGTGAAGAAGTAGGTATAGATGCCGTCTTTGGCAGAGTCCTCAGCCAACTTTTCCAAGTAAAACATCTCACCGATGGGCATACCCCAACCACCAAGAAAACAGGAATCTATAGAATAGCGCATGATGAATTTTTACGTATGGATGACTCATTTGAAAGGCTGCTACTTACGGCATGATTTGGCCCAGTCAGTCGGTGGGAAAGCTTCGAATGGGAAATTGTCTGATGCTACAGCAGCAAAATGATGATCCCAAATCCATCTAAACGTATCTTCGCATGCCTTGACACCAGCACAGCTTGGGTTCTCAAGATCGACGATCTTCTCCTTGACTTGATCACCGTATTTCTCGTATGCTTCCATCCAGCCAGTACGCACCATCAAGATGTCTCCAACCTCAAATTGGACGCCTTGGGCCACGGCAACCTTATCCAATTCCTCCACGGTAATCTCGATTCTCTCGAATGGATCAAAAGATGGGTTGTTCTTGGCTGCCCAGCGACCGTAATCGAGCAAGACAGCACGACCAGCAATACCACGACGAGCCATATGATGGATAGCAAGACGGCCATTGGACTCAGGTGTGCCTCGAGCTACTTCCGTGGTCTTGACACCGTTATAGAATTGTCCTGAGGAGAGATGAGCAACATGGCGGAGACCATCCCACTGAGTGGAGGATTGTGTATTGAAGTTGTTGTAGCAATCATCGAATGCCATGTCGCCGGGTACCAAAGGCTTGTAGTCATGCTGGATTTCAGATCTTCCAAAGAGCACAGGCTGAGGAGACTCGAGTTTCCAGTTGAGAGGAAATACAGTGCCTCTGCGAATGCATTTAGAGGCCTTGTTTGCAGTTTGTATGAGCCTCGTGTTACAGGGCAACTGCTCTACTACTTACATTGGTTACTCGTTCCTCTGTCAACAGGTTCAGTGTGCCGTAATTGTCATCTTCTCCCCACAAACCCCAAGCGGTCTTGGGAGGGTACTTGGGGTCGATGGGCAATTGGTCGTAGGAGGGTAATTTGGCAGGAGCTTTATCAGTCATGATTTGAAATGAAGGGAAAGAAAGCCAAGGCAGTAGATAGTTGCTTTGTATTTATATGCACTAATCAACCTCGGGATGCTAAAAATCGTTGGAAATCAAGATGACTTCGTGGGAAAGGGTTCATGCCTCTTTTATTACTTGTGTGGGGAAATCCTATCTTATCCTTGTGCTTCTCTTTCAAGTAGTATCTGCTTGTATTTTGGCTGCTCTTCTTTAGGGATGTTTGTAAAGCACTTTTGTGTGTATTTGTTGATGGAAAAGGCGCTCACCTCATCCTCACCATCGCACAGTTCCTTCAGCTTGGCATCACATCTCAAAACACGCTTGTCCGTCTCTGACTGCAGGTTGTGCTCTCTGATATATTCCCACATCTTCTTCACTGCCTGAGGACGCGAACACTAAACGCGCACATAATCAGTTCCCGGCTAATGTTTATATCCCTCCACACACTTACAAGATCAGTTTTGATAATGTCACTGAGAGGTGGTGATACCTTCAGTAGTGGCCAATCAATCACTCGCTTCTCTTTTACTTCCTTTTTCTTTTTTTGTGCTGGTTTCTTGATGGCTGGTGATGTCGTCTTTTTGATTACTTTGGCATTGGTATCTTGAGCTCGGCTTACTGGCGGTGGTGGTGGTAGCGAGGATTTCTCTTGTTGCTCCTGGAATTTCACAAAGATATCGCCAATGAACGCATTGATCTCCTTCTTGATGGGATCTAGAGATGTGCCCGTTTGCGCCTCCAGTGAACGGCGAATACTCTTTGCAGACACAGTGGCGAGGTCAGCATCCTTCAGAATGGCTAATTGCAACACATGCTCGTGTTTAGCAAGCTGTTTCCAATGATGCATCGTGTAAATACTATGCTTACCTTCGATATTGGCACGGTATTGCTCACACATGATGTTGAGAGGAAAAATTCAAATTAGATAAGGGAGTGAAAGAAGTCTATCATGGAGACGAGGGGGGGGGGGCAACAACTTATAGTCAAGTGAATGGAGTGTACTACATGCACTCCAATGTCCTGATATGCCGGTGCATCAGAGATTTTGATTCGACAATGGGCATAATCAAAGCTATAGATACGCATCGCATACATGGAAACAACATGGTAATGCACAAGCCGCAATTTATTTTATGATGCTCATCAGTTGCTTTGGTAGTCATTTCATTGTATATAGCAAGCAATTTAATTAAGCAAATAAGGGTTTTGCAGTCCGCATCAGTCCATTCGACACGTTTTTAGCGTTGTCTATAGCACTATCCCCTCTTTTCTCTATTACTTTATACAACATGTCCTTCCAGGCAACAGCATTTGCGTTCCTGTTTCCAGGAAATGCCATGACCAACTCCATCTTGGCCACTGCCTACATTTCTATATTCCCCAATCTGCTCCTGTACTTTGTTCCTCCTGACATTAACACTGGATCCTTGAATGTCTTGGTTAGTTTCGCTGTTGGTAAGTTATATCAAAATTCGCTGGAGAGGTTGCTAATGTGTGTATATGGCAGGCGGTCTTCTCGGTGATGTGTTTCTCCATTTGCTTCCTCACGCGTTCCTGGGAGAACACACCGAGGAAAATGCTGTCGTTGTTGTTGACAACCAAAAAAACGTCCTTATCGGCTTGGGTATCTTTGTTGGTTTGTTCTTCTTTTTCTTCATGGACAAGATGATGCGAGTATTCAACGGTGGTAGCGGTCATAGTCATAGCCATGAGCACGTCGAACAGGAGCAACATGTAGAGCCCACTGCCACATCTACTGCTGTCAAGGAAAAGCAAGAGGACTCTGTTCATCAACGCAACAAGCATGTGGTCGAACAGGTCAAGAAGGAGGTCAAGAAGCAAGAAGGCGTTAAATTGAGCGCCTATCTCAACTTGCTGGCTGATTTCACTCACAACATGACGGATGGCCTTGCCATGGCAGCCTCGTTCTATGCATCTCCTGCTGTCGGTGCTACTACTGCTGTAGCTGTCTTTTTCCACGAAATCCCTCATGAAGTCGGTGATTATGCCATTCTGATTCAGTCTGGATTTAGCAAGCAAAAGGCAATGATGGCTCAATTCACCACAGCTATTGGCGCTTTCTTGGGCACTATTATTGGCATCATGATTGAAGAATCCTCTCTCTCCAACAAGGCTGCTGATGAAAAGGCCGGCAACACTAATGTCGTTGGCTTGCTGGGCACTGATCTTCGCTGGGGAGACCTTGTGATTCCATTTGCTGCTGGTGGCTTCATGTACATTGCTACTGTGGGTGTCATTCCAGAGCTGTTGGAGGTCACTGGTAACATGAAAAAGGACAGAAAGCAAGCCATTAAGGAGTTCTTTGCCATGTTTGTTGGATTGGGTTTAATGCTTTTTATTGCTTGGAACGATATTCCTGCGTAAGAGTCATAAGCTATATATATATTCTAATCACTGTCTTCGTCATCCGAACTTGATAGCCCTTCTTCCTCATCATCCTCTTCTACAATAACAAAATAAATTACATGAGCATTTTGATTTTCTTCTCTACTTGTCAACACTTACTGAATAAAGCTCTGAGGGACATGGGCCCTGCTGAAGTGCCGTTTTGTGTAGGTGGTCTATTGGTGGGTGTAGGCGTATTGCTCTCATAGGGTGATCTTCGGAAATTGGAAGGTGATGGCATACCAGGGGTATTGACTCGGCTTGGCTGATGCTGCAGATGTTGAGGTGAAGGTGGAGCAGAGGGGCCACCCTTGGATAGACTTTCAGAAATGTCGTTTGCCAGTAGATCGAAATCCATATCATCACCACTGCTGCTTCCACTATCACTCTCACTGCCGCTGGAGGACGCTGTGCTTCCAGATTCTGATCCAGAGCTTGACTCGTCATCATCCTCTTCCTCACCACTGGAACCACTCGAAGACGACGAATCACTGTGCGTCAATTTCAATCGCTTGTTGGCTTGCTGCTGATGGACGGTGGGCTGGGTCACTGGTGGAGCAGCTGCGAGTGGAGATGCCATGCCGGGATGTCGGATAGGCGCAGATGCCATTTTTAACTTGCGTTTCTTGTTACCAGGCGGTGTATTGGTTTGCACGGGAGATGGTTGATGATGATGATGATGCTGTTGTTGTTGTTGTTGTTGTTGAGGTGTTGTAGGTAAAGCAAGATTAAGTGGTATATTGGGTGATGCAGGCGGCAACGATGGTGTTACAGGTAGACTCAGTGGTGAAGCCATATTTTGTGGTGTTGGTGGAGGCAATGGAATGGGTGCAGCAATCTCTTCAAATACGTCTGAATCAGATTCGGATTCGCTCTTGTCGTCCTCGACATCACTGTCCAAAATGGCATCCATGTCCTTTGAAATGTCAAAATCAAAATCATCAGCAACGGAAGCGTCCTCCTGGTCTTCCTGGTCTGGCGTCTCTTGCTGTTGCGGTGATGCAGTAACAGTCGTCGTAGGCTTGGGTAATTGCAGTTGCGGCTGTACGACAGTGGGTGTTGCTACTACTGCTGCTGCTGTAGGCATCGGTGGTGGTGTATGTATAAAGGGTTTTGGTACAGGTGAATGGTTCAATTGGCCATTGGGTAATTCTAATTGTCTATTTGTCAAGTTGATTTGCGCACTCTGGCGCTCCAGCGTGAATGTCTATCGCAGCTATGAATGAGCACAAAGGGTGATTTGGAGTTGTTTGTTTGTATTACCTTGGTTTCATCGTTATAAATGAGGATGCAGTTGTGCTCTTCTTCGGTCGTCACTTGTGCATCATAAATCACATTGGGTTTCTTTTGAGCGTGTGTGTGTCTCGTATATTAATACAGTGCTTTCTCTGCCGTAGTGTGGAATACTCACGTCTGCATGCTTCATTTCCACCTGGTATCTATCATTCTTTTTCTCTAATTTGGCGTCCTTGCCAAAGATGCTTTTATCAGCGCTATTTGCATCTGTTGTGTCGTTTCTGTTGAGTATCTCTTGCTCGCAATCCCACACACACAACCACTTACGCTTCACATTAAAGAACTTTTGGGCCTTCTTCTTGGGCTTCACATCAAACGACTTGCCCAACACTACTTTGAACTGTCCACTTTCCAAGAATTCAAACACCATGAATGTATATATCAATTTGATCTAGTATAGACTAACAAAGCAATTTGATTCAATGGTTTATTGTGTGTAGCGATTTCAAAGTTAAAAAAAAAAAGGGAAAAGAAAAAGGGATAATTGAATGCGATTGTTTGTCCGTGGGTTGTTATGGCTCCAAAATGGAGTCTTAAAATAGCAAGTAAAGAGAACAACCGCCTGTACTTCAGTGGATGAATGGATGGGATGTGCTGTATATGTATTGCAAGTCACCAGATCAAGAATCAATATAGAACAGCAATAGATGTCATTGCTCACATGCGCTTGAGGACATAGAGCTTCTCTCTTCCAGAAAGGGGCGGCAAAGGGATCATCTCCTTGGTATACATATAGTACAAGATGGAAGCAAAGAACATAATCTTGAGAACGTTCAACAGATGGTACATCAACACAGCAAAAGCACTACAACTCTTTGTTAGTATATATTACAGCTCGCTCTCAAGGGCACCTACCCGTGTACTCGGCGTTGAAGGATGAAGATTCTAATATGTACATGATGATGATGGCCACCTTCTCGTTGTTGCTGTTGATTAACGCTGTCTCTGGGAGAAGCAATGGGTCGCTGGCCAGATGCTTCTTGGGATAAATTGGCACGGGTATTAGGCGACATGGTTGCTTGTTGATTGTTAGGCAAAGATTCTTGTGTGTTTTGAGAGAGGTTTGAGAACTTTGGAGTAAAACCTTGGCCATCTTGTCGATTTGCACCCTCTCGATGACTTGCTGCTGGTTGAACAGAGGGTGTTGATAAAAAGGTGCTCTTTGCAGCAGCAGATGGTTTAGCAGAAGCTTCGGCTTGATGGTGGCTAGCACCTCCTTCATGAGCTACCTGCTCTTGAGAATGCTCCTTGAAGCTAGGTGTGGAAATGGTGCTTTTGGGTCGCTCAATGGTGCTTTTGGGTTGCTCAACGGTGCTGCTAGTCGTAGGCTCTTCATGGGATCTAGTAGTTCTTTTCAAAGGATGAGGCGAGGAGAAAGAGAAATCATCGTCAATTGTATAGGGTGTCACTGTGGGAGAACCAAGATCTTCATCTTGGCTAATTGTCTCATACTCTGACTCTTCAGAACGCTCTGCCAACTGCTGCTTGTGGCTGTCATCAGCACTATGTATGTGTTGAATTAAGAGCTCATGTGAGTATATTGCTCCCGGGGATCTCAAGAGCGATTATACCTTGATGGTAAGGCTACTGTAGACATTTTCAGTAAATCTGCCTATAATAATGCAAATTAGAAAGAGAGAGAGAGAGAGAGAGAGAAAGAGAGAGAGAGAAAGAGATTGAACAAGATGGTTGTCCATGCTGGTGTGCTTTTAAAAAAAAACCCCCCTACTCACCCTGATATATTAACAGTTCAAGATGACAAGATTTGTCAGATCAACCAGATTTGAAACTTGGTGTGAATCAACTTGGCTCCAATAGACAGCTGTTTGGTATATAGATAGATTACATAGTCGTGTATGTCAGGATAATACAAGGTTACTTGTAATACACTGCCCTTTATATTTATTATAGTACATACAAATACTACCACTACATTTGCAACTCAAATTCATTCCAACCTGTACCCAGCAAAACATTAATGTCCTCCATAAAGGCATTTGCAGTAATGTCAGTATTCCTATTTGGCAGGATAGAGGCATGATTGATGGCATGGAATGACGAGGAAGAAAACAAATGTTGATGCGGGTTCTGTCCCTCATAGTAATCATCTGCCTTGAAAGGGGCATAATAGCCGCCAGATGCGATCAAACCCATTTGGTTATTTGTCATGTTATAGTCATTGCTGGTGCTGGACAACCTGGAAGAACTGGAAGTATAATTGGTGTTGCTGAAATTCTTGTCAATAGAGATATTGCTGCTGATTTGGTGAGGGAGCTTGTTGGTGACCACTGATTTGGTAGCAAGTGTTGTGTGAGGATTGTCCTGCTTGCTTTGTGGAGTGTTACTAAAGCAAGTGCTGAGAGGCTGGTTCAATGCCAATGTTGATTTACATGGCGCAAAAGACACTTGAGATCCGCTTGTTGGAGGAGGAGCATCCAATAAATCTGCAGGAAGATCAAGGGACAAACTCTGCACACCAGAGTCTAATCCGATGTAAGCGACACCCTCATTCGATGGTGGCTTATGTATCACTGGCGGCAGTAAAGAGTGCGATTTCTCTTTCCTCTTGTTCATTTTGCTGCCTAAACACAAAGGCGCTGATGCTTTGTCCACGGAGGGCGGCGGTTCCAGTTGTGAGCTGGTAATGCCTGAGTTGGATGAAGCATACGATGTGGATGAGGAGCTTTTGTATTCAGTATATTTTCGCTTATTGTTGCGCCGTTGTGTAACTGGATTCCACCTAGAAAATGATGATGTTAATCATCCAGTCGCACAACATGTTTGTAGCCATTTTTTTTTCTTTTTTTTACCCATCATCATTTGCTGTTGCTGGTGTATCTTCCATCATACTCTGTTGCTGGAAAGCAGGAGCTCGAAAATTTTGCCTTAGGCGCAAGCCCGGTGACACTTCCAATGACGCTAATTCTACCAAACTAGAGGGTGTTCTGAGTCTACTGGACATCACATCCTCTTTGCTGTAATAGCTTATGATGTGTTGCTGCACGCCATCCACTATCAATGATATGGATTTCTTGATCAGTCCATTTCGCTTGAATTTAAACGATGTCTTGAGAGACCCCACCAAAGCCTTTTCTTGCTGACGACGTAGTAAATCTGGTGCCATCACATAGCCTGTTGTAGCGTTCCTTGCGGTAGTCGTGTGCTTGTTATTGAATGTAGCGTCTTTTGAGCGGATTGATTTCTTATCCTCCAGTTCACGATATATCAAAAAGTTGCCCATGATCCGTGATGGAGACCATACAAAGCCGTCTGTCCACCGTTTGATCCCACTCTCATGCTCGTCGAAACAGAATATGGTGCCACTTCGAATCAGGATGCGCTCTTTGTCTTGCAATCTTCGAGTAATTCGTGGTAACAATCCCCGTTTGCAGGCCTCGAATAATAAGAGTGAATCCCGTGTTGTTTCAATGTATCCATAAAAGGTTTCTGTAACGGGCACATTCTTTTGTCTTTTTGCAACAGTGCTTGTCATTGAAGTGGAAGAAGAAAGGTGAAGAAGAGCAAAATGAGTTGAGATTAGAAACCTCATTTTATTTATTGCCACACATCAGCGAAACGACTCAAAATCAGCCTAGTCTGTATTTGCAGCGTTTTTCATATATATATATATATATATATATATATTGCCACGCTTGTCTCTTTATTTGTTTGTATAAAACCTTGCTGACTCGTCATTATAAGCGTTACATGACGCTGTGAGCTGGTTTGTACATTGACATGAGCATCCATCTCATTCAAGATGATTTTCCAAATGTGTAGAGACATCGACAATTTAATTCAGGTACCATCTATTATATTCCTAATTTAGAAACACAGATCTTTAACAATACCACCATCTGCCCATCGTCCATGTATCATTTGCTCACATGTCAGTTCATTTACAGTGACACGTGTGTACATGATTTCAACAGTTGCTTCCTCTGAATATTCTCATCAGCAATGCGTAATACACTAGATACAGAGTATACATGATGATCTGCCATAGGTAACATCGTCATCAAATGTATACAAGGTTCTCAGAATAGCCCACTTGCAACAGTTCGAACTCACACATAAAAGATGACTTTCATACCCATGACATACCATTTTTTAGACATGCTTAAGTGACTAACCTATTATCAAGGATGAAGTCCCATGGTATTGTTTTTGCTGCTCATTGCCTTACGATCAACAATATTTGACTGTTGGATAAAACCAACTTTACAAAGTATCGAACCATTACAACATAGATCATTAAACAATAGCTATAATGGATAAAGTGTTTATGTTATAAACGCATGGCATTATATTTCATGGTAGTGAAAAAGAAGTCAGTTTCATATAATGTATTGTTTGCACACAAGCAACTATCAGTTTCGTTATACCAGGTCATTTTACTAGCAAGTGAAACACTGTAGGCAAGGTATGAGAAATAGTCCCATACAACAGCAGCCAACATTCAAGTAATGCGTAGCAAATCGGATCCTTTGTCAACTATACTTATCATGGCAATGACTGTACTCGAAGAACAAAGAACAGAAATAAAGAAAATTCAACCTGGAAATGTACTGTGCATTCTCTTTGGAGGAATTTTCGGCGCCCAAGGCATTCGGCACCTTTGAGAGGCGACACATGAGTCGGTATGAACCAGTTACGTCGCCATTGCCAGGTAAATGGTAAATTATAACGTTCTTTTCTAGAATAAAATTGGCCGTGTCCGACAAAAACCAAGCAACCGCACACTTGCTTTCAGTAGCTTCATATTATTGTCAATTTTTTTTGTAGTCAAATTGTCATTGCTATTAGTAGACAGGTGAGAAAATGGGAGTAGAGAAAAAAGTGGAACGATATTGGGCATGATAAACGGTTTACCATTAGCAGCGGAAACGCCAGGGCCATTTATGCCTGAGAAATCGGGCCGCTTATGTCGCTCTGCCATGTTTCACTGGACAGACACATTTCCATAAGTAATCAAACAGAACATTCTACAAATCAAGCGCAAACTTTATGCAAATAAGCATATAAAGAATCCAAAAATTGCTTGGATAAAATAGCAATTACTTTTAATATACTATTATAATATGGCACAAACTGCTATCGACACATCAACAGAAGACATTATCCATGGAACAGATACCCCCATGGCAGCTGTTGCCCCTGACAATGTATCCATCATTGAAAATTTGTTCCTGACAGCAGAAAAAAAGCACAACAGATTTTCAAGGAGTAACAGAAAGAAGAAACCCAAGCAAAAGACAATACCCATATACCAACTGTTTCGATTCGCAACACCACTCGATATATTACTGATATTCTGTGCAGCCGTTTGCTCTGCTGGCACGGGCGCCATTATGCCCATCTCTGTTATTTTCATGGGAAATCTCTTGGGCGATTTAACAGCATCATTAGCAAATCCCAGTATGCTGCTCGACGCTTGCATGCCGTTGATCCTGATTTTTGTATATCTCGGCACAGCTACATTAGTAGCTGCTTACATCTCAAATTGTTTCTGGATCATGACAGGCGAAAATCAATCGCAACGCATCAAAAAGGCTTACATGCATTCCATCATGCATCAAGACATGGCCTGGTTTGATATGGCTGATGACGGTTCTCTGGTGACGAGATTGAGTAGTGACATTAATCTCATTCAAGACGGTATCTCTGAGAAAATGGGTCTTTTCATTATGTGTATTGCCCAGTTTATTGCTGGCTTTGTTGTGGCATTCACTCAGGGCTGGAACTTGGCAGGTATGTTGTCCTGAACACCACGGCAAATCTTTGTACTGACGTGTTTCATAGTCATCATGCTGGCAACTATTCCCGTAATGGCTGTTACTGGTGGCATGATGGGATATTTGATCACTAAATACACTCTAAAGTCCCAAAATGAGTACGCTGAGGCTGGCTCTATTGCTGAACAGGTGTTTTCAGGTATCCGCACTGTGTATTCGTTTTCATTGCAAGATCGCTTTGGTGATTTATACGAAAAGAAACTGGACAAAGCACTAAAGGCTGGTGTTACTCGCGGCAAAGTGCTTGGCTTTGGATTTGGCACATTTATCTTTGTTTTGTTTGCTACTTATGGTCTTAGTTTCTGGTACGGTGCTACTCTGATCTACAAAGGCATCATCACAGGTCCCAAAGTAATGACGGTGTTTATGTCCTTGATGATGGGCGCAATGGCTCTAATGACGCTCCCTCCCAACCTATCTGCTATTTCAAGTGCTTCTGGTGCTGCCTACAAGATCTTTAGCACTATTGACAGAGTTCCTACTATCAACAAGGAAGATATACAAGGCAAAAAGACCATCCAAAACTTGCAAGGCTGCATTGAATTCAAGAATGTTAGTTTCAAGTATCCTACGCGTCCTGATCTCACTATCCTCAATAATTTGAGTCTCAAGATCAAGCCTGGCATGACCGTAGCGTTTTGTGGATCGAGTGGCTCTGGCAAGTCTACTACCGTTCAGTTACTACAGCGTTTCTATGATCCATTCCAAGGCCAAATTGAGCTTGATGGCATTGACATCAAAGACTTGAATCTCTCATGGTTAAGACAACACCTGGGCGTGGTATCTCAAGAGCCTGTGCTTTTCAATATGAGTATCCGCAACAACTTGATGCTTGGCGTGGAAGGTGACGTTTCAGAGGAAGAGATGATTGCCGCTGCCAAGGAAGCCAACTGCCATTCGTTCATTTCCAAGCTACCTGATGGCTACGACACGCTTGTTGGAGAATCTGGGGGCATGTTATCCGGTGGTCAAAAGCAAAGAATTGCTATTGCTCGAGCAATTCTCAAGAACCCGCCTATTCTTCTTTTAGATGAGGTTAGTATACAAGTGGATTGAATCATCACTGCCATTACCTAACACGGTTCATTATGTTCTAGGCCACATCTGCATTGGATACACAATCCGAAAGACTCGTAAAAAACGCTTTGGACGCTGCTGCAGCAAGACGTACAACTATTATGATTGCACATCGTCTATCTACAATCCGTAACGCTGACTTGATTGTCGTTTTGGATCACGGTCAGATTGCTGAGAGAGGCACGCACAACGAGCTCATCTTGATGGGTGGTATTTACGCTGATTTGGTCAAGAAGCAAGAAATCTTCCTAAAACAAGATACATCTGCTGTCTCTGCTGCAGCAAAGGACATTGAGAAGTGCACTGAGCCTGACGAAGACGAAGCTCTCTTGCAGAAACTAGAGAAAGCCAAAGTCTTGCACAACAAGAAGAACAATGTAATCATCAAGATGACCGAGAATGCCGTAGGTGCAGGAAGGACGTCTGCGGCTGATATCGATGTTTATGAACTCAAGCTGCAAAGAGCCAAAGAAGAAAAGCAACGTGTCAAGCAGCAAAAAGCACCTGTAGGTCGTGTCTTGTCTCAAATGCGTCCTGAATTTCCCCTCCTCGCATTGGGTTGCATTGGTGCTGCTATTGCGGGTGCTGTGTTTCCTGTATTCTCTCTAGTCTTTGCGCGTGTCATTACAGAAATCTCTGTACCTGGAAGCAATCTGAATCCCGGCCCCTTTAAGGGTGTGAACCTGTATGCATTCTTATTCGTGGTAATTGGCATTGCTGGCTTTATTGGGTTTGCCTTGCAAGTGGTCTCTTTCGAAGTGGCTGGAGAGCGTTATACCAAGCGAATCAGAGCTCTTGTGTTCCGCAAGTACATGAAGTTTGAAATTGGTTACTTTGACGAAGAGACAAACCATGCTGGTGCTCTTACTTCTAAGCTTGCTGTGGACGCTAAAAATGTGAATGAGATGGTGACAAAGGTGTGGGGAGATGTTTCTCAGGTGATTGTTACTTGTATTATCGGTCTCATCATCTCGTTTGTATACAGCTGGACACTTACTCTTATCATCATGTGCATGGTTCCCTTCATTGTTGCTGCTACTGCGTACGAAAGCCGAGTGCATCGTGGCTACGAAGATAGCACCAAACGTGCGAATGCTGAATGTGGTGAAGTAGCTGGTGAAGCCATCCGGGAAATCAGAACTGTAACTACTCTGAACCGCCAACAGTTCTTTGAAGAGCGTTATTCCAGGGCAAACAAGCACCCTCATGAGTTGGCTGTCCGTCGTGCCTATCTATCATCGATTGGCTATGCTCTTTTGAGAGGTATCATGCTGTACACAAGCGCCGTCTCTTTCTACGCTGGCATCAGGCTTATCATGGATGGCTGGATCGACTTTATGCAAATGTACACTTGTATGATGACTATCATGGTCACTGCTCAAACTGCTGGTCGTGGCAGCGTCTTTACATCCACTTTCTCCAAAGCTAAAATTGCGGCTGTTGCTATCTTTGAAGTCCTTGATCGCGCGTCTCGTATTGACCCAGAATTGGAAGGCATTGAACCCAAGACTAGTACCATCAAAGGCACTATTTCCTTCCAAGATGTGGCGTTTGCATACCCATCTCGACCTGACAATCGCATATTCTCGGGGCAATTCAATCTGGAAGGTAAAGCAAACACAACAATAGCGCTTGTTGGCCCCTCAGGCTGTGGTAAATCAACAACTGTTGGTATGCTGCAACGTTGGTACGATGCTCAGTCTGGCACTGTCGCGTTGGATGGAAACAATGTCAAGTCCTACACTTTGAGCAACTTGCGAAGCCATATGGCACTTGTCGGTAAGTACTTGCATGCATTTACACATCAATACAGTTTATATTAACATTTATTCCGCTGATCAGGACAAGAGCCAGTTCTCTTCGACATGTCGATTATGGATAACATTCGCTTTGGTGTAAACAATGGTATCGAGGTCACTCAACAGCAAGTCGACGAAGCCTGTAAAGCAGCCAATATTTACGACTTTATCATGGGATTGCCTGACAAATATTCAACTAAAGTGGGTGATAAAGGCTCGCAACTGTCTGGTGGGCAAAAACAAAGAATTGCTATTGCTCGTGCTTTGATTCGTAAGCCCAAGGTATTGCTTCTTGATGAAGCGACCTCAGCTCTTGACAGTGATAGTGAAAAAGTGGTACAAGCTGCACTAGACAACATTATTGAAAAGGGAGGAAGAACGACTATTACAATTGCTCATCGCTTATCGACAATTCAGAACGCTGATCTTATTTGTGTAGTCAAAGACGGTGTTATTGCTGAACAAGGCACTCATTGGGATCTTTTGAAAATGAACTCCATCTACAGTTCGCTTGTTCATGAGCAATCATTGGCAACTTAGATTTGATTTATACATACTATACATATTTGTAAATAAAGGTTCTTTATGAATAAAAGAGCAATCCCAAGCTGAGGCTCCTCAAACTAGCTACCATAAACTTAATCAACGAGCATAAACCTTATCGATCAAATGCGAAAATTATTTAACTGATATTATTTATAGTCCATTTTTAATGTGTCAGATCCCATTTTGAGTTGGGGAATGGCAATTTCGTTTTTCATAAAACAATCTACATTTGTATTAGCAATTTGTAACCTACTAGGTATAAATGAGCAGCAATAGTAAAAAAAAAAAAAAAAAATAGAAACCATGCTAATCTATAGTGCTATTTAGAGGTTTTTATTATTTGCTCCACGTAGACTATAGTAGCAGGAATACAATCAAGCGGCAGGCGCAATTTTCTGACATCATATATTGCGACAAACGTATGAAAACGATTTACAAGAAAGGATAAATTATAGACTGGCATTAGTAGTTGAGCAAACACCATGATAAAAGGCATTTTGCCAGCCAAAAATTGATTGATTCTCCGCTCGACATTCTGTCTCGATTCGTTGATTTCTGATTATTTTGCGACTTGATTGATCTATTTTGAAGGATTTGACTATGTAAAATGTAATGATCATTCAATCCTTCCTTAAGCTTTCTAAAAGTATTTTTCAAGGCGCAACTAGCAATGGTAAATATGAAAGATGTTTTGAATAACTCTGTTGAGCAATTTTCGAAAACATGAAATGAGGTTTTTGGCCAAAATGTCGAGATTTTGCATCTCAAGGTCTTGCAAAAGTGGTTTCAGGAGTTGCTTTGGATCGAGAGATACGTTTTGACTTGATATATACCTTAGTAAAAGTCTTCATTTTTGAGGTCAAGAGCGCGATCGTTTGATTTTTGATAAAAACCATGAGGGGTACCTCATAGTTTTTGGTCGATTTTTGACCATGTTTTTTTTTGGCCCGAAAAGTTGAGCAATGGTGTCAGCAAGTAATTGCCAGATGAGAGCAATTGTTTGGTACTATTCTGGTGGTTTGAATCAGCTCTTAACACGAGAAAACACGACTTGAATGCATCTGGCTTTGGCTATGTTTTGCATATATTTGAGTTGTAAGAGGAGATATTACTATGCTATTAGCCTGTATATGGATGGTTTCAGTTGACACAAACATGGACCATTGTAGAAAATCCAGGTTCACATTTGTACCTCGTTAATCAAGAACTGATATCTAGTAATATAGCGAAAAGATAAAATGTTAGTGTCTACAGTGAGACATGGCTCACTAGGGTCTAAATAATTGATATCCTTATTTATAATTTATAAATCCATCTTTTGGATTGCAAACAGACATCAATATTTAAATTACGTATGATTGAGTAATGAATTTATTTCAATGATTGATGGATGATAGAGGCTAACAGTATGAGGATGTGTATATTTATTGAGTGGAGTTGATGGCAGCTTGAGCACCATTGAAGGAATCCATGACATGAGCATAGCTGGGCATACGCTTAGCAAACAAAGCAGCCATGCCGTTGATATCGTGTCTCCAATCACGACCCAATTCACAAGCAACAGCAAACCAGTTCATGAGTTGGACACCAGCTTGTTGCATTCTCATCCAAGCAGCTTCGCGGACGGGATCAGTAAAAGTACCAGAGGCATCAGTAACAACAAAGACCTCGAAACCAGCCTTCTTGGCAGAGAGAGCGACAAAAGTAACACAGACATCAGTAACAATACCAGAGACAACTAATTGCTTCTTGCCAGTGGCACGAACAGCATCGACAAACTCTTGAGAATCCCAAGCATTGATTTGACCAGGACGAGGAATATAGGGAGAGTTAGGGAACATGGCCTTGAGCTCAGGAAGCATAGGTCCGTTGGGGCCATCTTCGCGAGAGGTGGTAAGAACGGTAGAGACGTTAAAGTACTTGGCAGTATCAGCAAGACCCATGACATTGGTATAGTAGGAATCAGGGTTGTAGTCTTGAACCAAGGAGAAGAGGCCAGTTTGATGATCGACAAACAAAAAGGCGGTATCGTTGACATTGAGACGATTATAGAGGTCAGCAGAGACAGAGGATACCAAGGCGGCAGCACCGAGAAGAGTGGCAGTGAGAGAGAAACGCATTGTTAAATGGTTTGAATGAGATGAATTGAATGATGGAGAAAAATCAGGAAGAGTGCATTCTGTTAAGCCTTTTTATACTTGTGAATACATGCCCTTAATCGGTTGATTTATGCTCTAGAATTTGAAATTGTACAACGCTTTAGCAAGTTGTTTCATTCTTCCCAAATCCTGCTAGGATTTATAAATGTATGTAAGCTTTCGGAAAAGGGGACATAAAATTTATTGATGCATATCAACAAGGTCTTCCTGCTTATGGATGCCTTACGAATCATACAAAAAAAGTGAAACCTTCATTGTTAGATCTTTGATGAAGCAGGGCCCTCATATTCCTAATCTCCACATGAATTTTGATAATTCCCAGGTTTCATGATATTAGTAATTCTCCTGGTATTTGCCATCATTTCCCAGTTCTAGATTTGATGTCGTGTCAAAATGCCAGTTATTTTATCTAGATGATGGAACTTTGTGGCATTTGAGAGCAAGGCATCCTTGATTAAAACATTACGATGTACGTTATAATACGGGCGTGCTTTGATAGCACATATTTCGCAATGTTCCCCTAGTGTAGGTCGTGCGCATTGCGCCTCGGATTGACCAATCCCTCAGGTATATGCCAAACATTTCATCTAGATTAGACAGATTCTATCGAGGATATATAATTACACATAAAAAAAAACATTGTATTGTATTTGGGAAGCATAGCATGCTGAGATACATCTACCCTCAGATGTATCAATTCAAGGTACAAGTTATTTAGACGATAGATTCATTGTCATTGATGTGGATTTTATTCATAAACCTGACGAGCTTTCAAAACATCCAGTGATAATCAAACATCGCCAATCAAGATTCATGCGATAGGATTCTTCCTATGTGTGCTATCAAGTTTTAGGCAATTCTCAGTGAACATACAAACATTTACGTAAGCCACTTGGCTGAGGAAGCTTTTTGTTTTCAATTGCATTGAAGCTTGGTGTTGCGTTGCTGTATGTATAGAGCACAGCATGCTTCATAGACAGTAGATGAGTCATGTGTTGCGATAGCCCAGCTGATTTGCACAATGTTAAAATCAGAGCATTATTATAGCTTACGAGTGTTTATGCTTCGGCTGGCTCTCTACCTTCGCTTCGCTTCGGTGAAAACCAAACTGAGTAGCGGCAGCTCGCGCTACTAATTTCTCATGCGTATCTTATCAAAATACTGCTACTTTTATTTTGACCCTCCACTTACGTATAAAACCCCTTCATATTTTTTGTGGACCTGGTTCTTGTGTGATGCTCTACATCCATATAAACGTAACTACTTCGTATGCGGGCAAGCAGCATACTAGTATTTCCCCTTTTTAGTCCTTAGTGTTTCTAATACAGCAAAATCTGAGTGTATTTGAGCAGCGTTTTCTTGCGTTCATGGCCTTTTCGGATCGTCAGAATAGCACCAAACAATTGCTCTCATCTGGCAGTTACTTTCTGATACCATTGCTCAACTTTTTGGGGACCAAAAAAAACATAACCAAAAATCGACCAAAAATCATGAGGTACCTCTCATGGCTTTCATTGAAAATCAAACGATCATGTTTTTGGCCTTGATAACGAGGACTTTTACTATGGTATACGAGCCTTTCAGCACTTCGGGTGGTTTCCTGACCTACGCTTCGCTTCGGTGGAAACCAACCTACGTTCAAACGGCTCGCGCTGCCGCGGGCCTTTGGCTAATATCCCAAAATTAATATAGCTAAAATGTTAGAAGAGGAACCCTGATTGTTGATTGATATATAATCACTAATCATATGAGTGTTTATGCTTCGGATGGTTCTCACCGAAGCGTAGCGAAGGTAGAGAACCAACCTGCGCAGCGGCAGCTCGTGCTACTGATTGCTCTTGCGTATTTTATCAAAATACTGCTACTTTCATTTTGACCCTCCACTTACACATAGTAACCCTTCATATTATCTGTGGATCTGATTCTTATGTGATGTTCTACATCCATATACACGTAGCTACTTCATATACGGGCAAGCAGCATACTGGTATTCCCACTTTTTAGTCCTTAGTGTCCCTAATACAGCAAAGTATGAGTGCATTTGAGCTGAATTTTCTTGCGTTCAAGGCCGTTTTAGATCGTCAGAATAGCCCCAAATGGTTGCTTTCATCTGGCAGTTCCTTTCTGACACTTTTGCTCGACTTTTTGGGGACCAAAAAAACATGGTCAAAAATCGACCAAAAAGCATGAGGTATCCCTCATGGTTTTCATCGAAAATCAAACGATCGCATTTTTCATCTTGAAAATGAAGACTTTTACTATAGTATATCTTGAATCAAAATGTTTCTATCAATCCAAAGCAACCTCTGAAATTATCTTTGTGGGACTTTGATATGTAAAATTTCGACATTTTGGCCATAAATCTCTTTTCATATTTTTACAAATCATTCAATAAGTGATTTCAAAACATCTATTTTACTTAGTACCATTGGAAGCGCCTTGAAAAGTACTCCAGGAAAGCTTAAGGAAGCATGGGGTGATTATCATACTTCACTTAGTCGAATCTGCAAAAATAGCTCGATCGAGTCCAGGATCATCAAAATTTGTCCAATCTGGAACAGACTATGATTCTGGGTTTGAATTAATTTTGGCTGGTAGGGCCAGCTGGAAAACTCATGCCCTTTTCATAAGGCAATACAGTAGTAAATGCCCTCGAAGCGTATAGAAAGTAGGTGGAAGGTCATAGCACTATCGTTTATAATGATATTTTATTGCCTTCTATATCGTTCATAATGATATTTTATTGCATTCTATATTTAATAACGTTAGTCTGGACATTGACAATGCATGGGTTGCATAAAATGTCTGCAGTAAGTAATGAAATCTCTGAGGCTCTGAGACGTCGCTCAAATAAAACATTGACAGCATTGAGCAGAGGAAAGAGGGTAGAAATAACAGTGGTTTTTGTTGATTGATTGTAAAATCATTATTCTCATATGAGCCAGGACAGATAGATGCCTTGAAACTCAGGTTCCATATTAGGATTGTAAAGTGCAAAAGTACTGAACATTTATTATGTTATGATATGAGCCAGGACAGATAGATGCCTTGAAACTCAGGTTCCATATTAGGATTGTAAAGTGCAAAAGTACTGAACATTTATTATGTTATGATATGAGCCAGGACAGATAGATGCCTTGAAACTCAGGTTCCATATTAGGATTGTAAAGTGCAAAAGTACTGAACATTTATTATGTTATGATATGAGCCAGGTCTGATAGATGCCTTGAAACTCAGGTTCCATATTAGGATTGTAAAGTGCAAAAGGACTGAACATTTATTATGTTATGATGATATGAGCCAGGTCTAATAGATGCCTTGAAACTCAGGTTCCATATTAGGATTGTAAAGTGCAAAAGGACTGAACATTTATTATGTTATGATATGAGCCAGGACAGATAGATGCCTTGAAACTCAGGTTCCATATTAGGATTGTAAAGTGCAAAAGTACTGAACATTTATTATGTTATGATATGAGCCAGGACAGATAGATGCCTTGAAACTCAGGTTCCATATTAGGATTGTAAAGTGCAAAAGTACTGAACATTTATTATGTTATGATATGAGCCAGGACAGATAGATGCCTTGAAACTCAGGTTCCATATTAGGATTGTAAAGTGCAAAAGTACTGAACATTTATTATGTTATGATATGAGCCAGGTCTGATAGATGCCTTGAAACTCAGGTTCCATATTAGGATTGTAAAGTGCAAAAGGACTGAACATTTATTATGTTATGATGATATGAGCCAGGTCTAATAGATGCCTTGAAACTCAGGTTCCATATTAGGATTGTAAAGTGCAAAAGGACTGAACATTTATTATGTTATGATATCAAATCAAAATGTTTCTCTCGATCCAAGGTAGCCCCTGAAATCATCTTTGTGAGACTTTCATATGTAAAATTTCGACATTTTGGCCAGAAACCTCTTTTCATACTTCTGTAAATTACTCAATACGTTTATTCAAAACATCTATCTTACTTGGCACCATTGTATGCGTCTTGAAAAGTACTCTAAGAAAGCTTAAAGGAGCAATTTTTTTTTTTTTTTTTTTTTTTTTTTGTAGGGGAGTCGAGCTCCAGGTTTTATTTAAAGTCCTTTAAATGTCATGCTGAGGGATAGAAAAGACTGTTGGTGGACCCAATGTCTGCAATGAAGGGGAATAAGATATTTTTTGAACTAAGTTGGGAAAGAAATCTACTACTAATAAGGTGCGACTCCTAGAGCCAGTACAGTCTTGCGGAAAATCGTCAAAATATAGATCATGGATAAGAGCACAAAACACCAAACGAGGACATCAGTACTACGTCAAAAAAATCAAACAACTTGCGTTCACCAGGATTTGAACCGGGATCCTCCCGTTGGCATACGGGAGTTTTACCACTTCGCCCTACCACCAGGGACAGCTTAAAGGAGCAAAGGATGATCATCATATTTTACTTAGTCGAATCTGCAAAAATAGTTAAATCAAGTTCAAAACCATCAAGATTTGGCCAATCTGGAAACAAGCTACGATTCTGGGTTTGAATTAATTTTGGCTGGTGCGGCTGGTTAATCATATATGAGCCAGGCCTGACAGATGCCTTGAAACTCAATTTCCATATTATGGTTGTAAAAGTGTCTAGGGACTGAACATTTATTATAATATGATATACGAACCATGCCTGACAAATGCCTGGCAACTCATTTTCCATATTAGGACTGTAAAAAATGTCTGAGTATAAATATGAATTTCTGTGTGATGAACCCTGAGTAAGCATTTGTCATGCCAGGTAAGACAACACCGCATAATTCTCAGTGTAACCGAAGCAACATATATTATTCGACGTGCTGTTTTACAAGCATCGAGTCTGGTACACGGTTCAGAGAGTTGAAAATTTATACAATGCTGATGTATGTGCGGCATGCCATACAGCCTTTTATTAAATGAACATTGTTATACCCAAGCAGGAATTTGATTATACGCTCCAACTTTACGCCAAATTGATGGTAATAAGTTAGTATAAAACGCTTTTACTGCAATCTATTGTCGAATAAGCCAACCAAGGAGTACTCTGAAATGTGTCTTGATGTTTCCAAAGGGAAAAGCTATATAGCGGCTGAAGATGCATTTCACAACGGCCTTTATTTATATGATCAAGCAACAAAGTTCAAAAATAAAGCTCATTGCTAGCATGAAGGCACAAGCTCACAGCCTGTCAAATTTGAGGCGAACTAAATTCAGGTCTAAACATTTTTGTTAATATCACTAGGCCTGTGCAATGATCATCGTCAATGGACATTACTTCAACATAATTAGTATGATAGGCTACAATGATAAAAAAATGCCATCATGATTTAAAATGCTCTATTTTCAAGTAGAAAAAGGTTTATTATAACTTTGAGCATGTTTGGATGTAGTAGCGGCATAAATCTGAATTAAATAGAATAGTAAAAGTAAGAAAAAAAAAGGCATATGTGGTTGCAAGTTTGGGATATATGTATGTCAAGTAAAAATAGATGCGCAAAAAAGAATAGAGGGAGCGACAAAAAGTGTGGATACAAATATATATCTGGAGATTTAGGATTGCTAAATTTAATATGCTTTGGTTGCCGATTCAGTATGTACATGGTATTCATTTTTCGTTTTGAATAAAAAAGATCTACGTCTACAATGGAGGCGAAGATTGGCTAGACTTGGATCTGGATTTGTTGAAACGTGGACTTCGACGCTTAGTTTCAAAAGAACGAGAAGGGTTACCTTCCATAAATTCGCCTTGATCTGCGTCTTTCTCATTCTCATTCTCATTTTCGTCTTCTTGATCGTCACCCATGTCGTTATCGTTGATGATATTCTTGGTATCGTAAGATGATGATTGTAGACGAGTGGAATTGGTGTTTGATGGCTCAACAAGATGGTTTTGCGGCACAAATTCAACAGGCAGCATGCCTCGCATGATTTGACTCGATCTGTGATTCCACTGTGATGATGGCATTTTGTCTGCATTTGCATTATAGAAGGACTGAGAGGCGTAGCCACTATCAGATGAGGTTTGTTGCTGAGGCTGTTGATGATGATGGTGATGATGATGATAGTTGTGGTGGTGATTATATATGGGTCTTAACGTGTCTGCATCAGGCGTTGCACGAGCAATATAACTGTCATTGTATTTGGGATAGTTTTTTTGTTGTTGATTGCTAGCAATGGAGGAAGAGGAACTTTGTCCTTGTTGAGTTAGAGGTTGTGTGATATCGTCCTCTGAAGGTTGTCTTTGACGTCGTATCACCGTCTCTTTATCCCCATAAGTGTCAGCTGAACCACTGCCAGAACTACCATTTCCATTGGAGTTGCCGTTGGAGCTGGAGTCAGCAATGCTACCACTGTAAATAAATAAAAATTAGAAAAAAGTCAAAATGCTTCAAATGTTAGCAATTACGTCAAATAGATTACCTTCCAGGCGATGCTTGTTTTGCTCTCTTTCTGGCTCTACCAATGATGCGATTTGCAGCGTCTTGCTTGGATTTGAATTCATTCAAGTACTCTTGATAACGATGGTACTGTGGAGTCTGTCTGTATTGCTCAAGGGCAGCCAAGTATTCGTCTTTGGCCCGCATGGCTCTGCGTTCATAAGATTGCTTCTCAATGTGGCTGAGATTCTTCCATTGATCGCCAACGATTTTAGCCAATTCAGCAAAAGACAAGTTTTGATTTTTCAATTCAGCGCGAGAATCGTTTGAGAACATGATGTAAGCTGAGGGAGGCTTTATAGGAGCATTGCGATCAGGTTTAGCATGACGTCGGTATTTTCGCTTAGTGGGAACAGACTCATTAGTGTCGATTGAGTCAGCATCGTCATTCGAAGAGATACTGTTGCTACGAGTTTCGATTGTGTCGTTTCGGCCATTTGCTGTCAAGGCGCTGTTGTTATTGCTGATGCTATTATTGTCATTGCTATTTCTAGTGGAAATGCTACTTGGTTTACTGGCAAAGCTGCTTGCACTACTGTTCATGAGTGAACTAATGCCACTGTCCATAGACGAATGTGGATGGACAGAGGAAGGCTGTTGGTGGTGCATTCGAGATCGCACAATGTTTGGGTCAGAGCTAGAGTTGTTGCCGCTGCTTGCACTGGAATTGCCACCAATACCGCTATTCATGCTACGAGGGCTGGTCAATCCAGTGACAATACTGTCGTAGACGGGCAGGCTGTTGGTCAATAAGCCATTGTTAGTATTGTTATTGTAGATATTGCTGGCGCTGTTACTCGTGCTGCTGCTATTGTTGATGCGTCTCATTTCGTCCATTTTGGAAGGGGTATTTGGCATTAATTCAAGATGAAATTCTAGATTCAGGAAGCTTAATATGGACACTACCACAACTAAAGACAAGATGTAACCTACTTGCACCCATCACATTAGTAACAAGCGGCTGATCACGAGGAATTCCTTTGATATTAGCTATTTCTCTTTGAATCAACTAGATCAAATTTGTGTTATTTTTTTTAGGACATTACGTATGAATATTTCATCCGCATTTACCCTTCTGTGACCTCGCTTCACATTCATGAATATCATGTCTTCCTCTGTGATTTCTAGAAGCTAAAATAAGAATAATTTAGAAGGAAAGGCAACAGGTTTTTTTTTTTGAAGTCCCTTTTACCGAAGTGACAGAATCGAAGCCTTCTGACAAAAATATAGCCACATACTGATCAAGATGGCAGTGGTGGAGAAACTCTTCCACTGACTGATATTTGCAATCAATGTAATCGAAATTATTGTTGTGTTGTGCTTGTAGTGTCTGCATTGCTTATTGATGTGTTGATTTTTGATTGTTTGACTTGAATGATGATAGTTAATCTTACGAGTATTTAAGATGATGAAGAGGCTTTGTCATGGAAAAGATGTAAAAAGTGAAAAACGGAAGAAAAAAAGAATAAAAATAGTTCTAAATGGGTTCGTCGTCTAACAGCCTTTATACTCATCTTTCAAATGGGAATTACTGGATTTAGCAGATTGATTTTTTTGTTTTGGTTGGATCATCGATTAGCGCCAACTTGGATCTTCGATTGCTAATGCACTTGCTCTTATTTGCAGCTATTAAGGCACAGCTATCATGGTAGATACCATCAGTACATTTGCATCTGTACATCACATTCGAGACCTGCTCTGTACCGTATTCATCAAATACGATGAAATGCAAAAATATGGGATCATTAACGTTTATCTAAATCTGGAAGGCACGCTCTTTCAAATCGTTCATCAGGAATCGAAGATTTGGCCTGTATCGACCGATTTTGCTTGATGGAGAAAAAAGTATAATTTCAATAACGCACTGCGAGGCTTCTCCCTTGTTTTCAAATTTGGTATGCAGGCCTTGCTTCATCATGACTAGTTTGCCTTTCCCGATAATTTTTTTTTTTTTTTTTTTTTTTTTTACAAGCTTGTAAATGTTGACGGCTAATTGAGACCATTCACATCATCCATCAGATTCGATGGCGATGGCTTTTGCTAGCAACTAAAATTTGCTCGAATGAGAAGAGCCCTTGGTATCTTATCTTTATTAATCATCACTCATCACTCCTTGTTTTTTTTAGGCTTTAGCTTCTAGATTTTATTCGAATGTTCCGCCATTTTACGGGGTTGGCAGTAGTACATGATTTTCTGGGTGTGTGTCTGGCATTGTTTATCCTGGCTTCTGTGCAACATTTAGTGTACGAATTAGAAAATTATCCCACATGGAAAATAGATATTCATAAGCTACGTTTCGTGTTTTAGCATGCCATGTAAGGAATCAGAGGTTATATTGGCTCCAAAGTACTACATTTGTACTACACTCCCTTTCCATGCTTCTTGCTCAATTAACTATTGCATATACTCATCTCTATATGTGACACAGTCCTGATACTCACATCTGATAATGCTACACAAATGATATCACAGAATAATCAAGAAGTTTCTCCTCTTGTAAATAATACATTGCAACGCTTTTAGCCTGTCAATCCAATAGCTACTACATTCAGCTACTAGGGGAAGGTTGCTTCATCGCTCATCATAGACATTCTCCTATAAGACTCCTCGCTGTGGAACCTTCCTAGAACTTCTCGGAATTAACCTTATTAGGGTTCAGCCATTTTTTTTTTTTTTTTTTTTTTTTTTTTTTTTTTTTTTACCTTCCCAAGAATGATATTTGACAAATTTTGAACGAAAAAGACTCGGCATCTCTCAGCATCAACACCTGCTGAAAAAAAAACATCGCATCATAGGCTATATGTTGGTTAGCTTATATTTGAGTTCATTCTCCATGTTGTCATTAAATGTGCTTTAGATGCGTTTCAAGCCCATGTTTATAACAACGATGACAGAATTTCTTCGTCTTTGGTCTACTAACTTGAGTACATGTGTGAACAGAAGCAGAATTTAAGCAAAGGAAACAAAACAATAGTTTATATTTTCGCATCTACGCCAAATTTGCTGCGCCTTGAAATACCCATGTTGACTAAGAAGGTGAAACTTCGGTGAATGACTCCAATGCTGTATCCCATCTTCGCAATAGAATTAAATGGCATATTTTTGGTTCCCTGTACTACATCTTTCATGACGACAACTATGACTACAGTGACATTCAAAGCACCAAGGAAAGTGTGCGATACAGCGCTTTATGATACAAACAAGAAGGTTTTTTTTTTTTTATATTGTCTATGTGAATATATGATAACTGATATACAAAAAATTAAGGTTGAAACCATTTAATTTTACTTGCGTTGTTTCTTTTGAGATTTCTTTTGTGCCCCCTTCTTGCTCTTGCTGGAAGAATCACCATTGATGAACTGCAGGACTTGATCAATAGGAAGCTCGCCCACTTGAGGCTTGGGTTGTGCAGGCTCAGGCACGGAAACAGGTGTGGTTGTGCTATTCAAAGCAGCATTGTTCTTTTCTTCACGAGCACGCTGGGCAACAATCACAGCGTTGGTGGTCAATTCCTTCAACCACAAATCACTGTCTTTGGTTCTAGCATCTTCAGGTCCGAGCTTCTTTTCAAACACATCAAATGCAATACGCTCAGCTGCCAAGGCCTTGGGGAAGTTGCCCTCCAATGTGTATGATCTAGCAAGGACATGGTAACCAGTAGCAGTAAGGACATGCTCCTTACCCAGCACTTGTTCAGTAGTGGTACAAGCTCTTTCAAAGAACTTGGTGCTGGTAGCATAATCACGGAGAGATTGGAGCATAACACCAGCATTGTTCTATAGAGTGATATCGTTAAGGGCTATTCGAATCGGATCAAGTTCAAACTTACATCGGCTGTGGAGGAATCAGGATGGCCAGGACCCACAAGGAGATCCCAGTAGTATAAAGCGTGATGAATGTAACGAAGAGCAAGCTTGGTGCGACCAGCAGCATGTTCAAACAAGCCAAGATTCAACTGCATAATATGGTTAATGTCATGGAGTTTGTTTGTAGCATTTCAACTTACATAATGATGGATGGTTTCAGGGTGATCAATACCACAAGTTCTCTCAGCAGAAATGACAGCCTTGCGTTGGAGATCCAAGGCAGATTCGCGGTCTTCGCTGTGGTGATAGATCATAGCCAAAGTAGCATAGCATTTGCTAGTTTCGGGATGCAAGAAACCATAAGTTTGTTCATGCAACGACAGAGACTCAAGCAACAGTTCAAGACCCAATTGTCTGTGACCTTGAGCAATACTCATCTTGCCAGCCTCAAAAGTCTCTTCGGCAAACATGCTTCTTGAAGATGCTTGCTTCACAGTGGGCATCAAATTTAAGATATCCTCAGGAATAAAAGTAGTAGTGCGACGAACAGGACGCTTGAGACCATCTTGTTGATGCTTCTTATTCTTCTTGCCGCGAGAGCTGGATTGTTCTTGCTTCTTACGGTCGATGGCTGTTTGGTAAGCAGCATCCTCAGCGAGATTGGCAGCGCGCTCTTCCTCGGTGTAAGGCTCGGCACGGTAATTTCTGGTGCTGATTTGGACACCAACACGGATACAGAGTTCACGAAGAGTAGGGATAAAGTTGAGCTTTTCAATAGCGTCGTCTTCCAACTTGTAACGGAAGCGAAGTAAGACTTGTTGAGCAACGAGTGTCTTCAAACCAGCAGGTGTAATTTGGGCCCATTCAAAGTCATTGCGGTTAGTACCTTCAGGCAAGACAGGAGAAGGTTTGGCATTGAAGCCAGCACCGAGCAGACAGTTGAAAAAGTGAGAGATACAGAGGCTGGTGTGTTCAACAGGACACTTGCTGAGGTACTTGCGCAAAAGGCGCTTGCAGGCACGCACAATCATTTCTTGAATAGCGAGTTGACGGACATGCTCGATACGCTTATCCTTGCTGATAGCAATCAACTCGGTAAGCTTACCGAGATAACGCATGTTGATACCACGACGATGCATAGCTTTGGTCAGAGCATCACCGTCCAAGGGAGAGATGGAGTATGAGGCAAAGTCGAGCACGATACTGGGCACGATTTCCTCGGCCAAGAACTTGGAAGCATCACGAATCACTTGCTCGTCTTGCTTGAGCTGCTCGCCTTCGGGCTGCTTGGCATCAGTAAAGACATCCGTGTTGAAGTTGAGCTTGAACTCATTCACGTCAATCTTGATCTCCTCTTCCTCCTCTTGTTCCTCGACATTTTCCTTGTTGGCCACAGCCTTTTCTGCTTCAGCAGCCTTGGTTTCGCCCTCCTTTTTATCCTCAACAGCAGCAGGCTTAGCGTCACCTCTTTCCTTCTTGATTTGGTCAGTCTTGGCCTTGACCCATTGTCTAAACTTGTGCTCCCAGAACAAACTCATCAATTCAGGTCTCAACAGAGTCATCTTGTGGGGATAAGCAGGCTTGTCGTCATTTTCAGCACATTCCTTCTCCTGAAACTCAATATCGACAGGATTCAGTCTGTAGAGATCCAGCATGTAGCGACGGCCGTCAGCACCGAGCAAGCCCTTGGTTTCTTGAGAGGTGTACAGCTTGGATTCAGTCTTGCTGTCATCAATGACGGTGTGTTCAGCTAAATGAAGCGACTTGGCAACATCCTTGGCCAAGGACTCATGGAAGCCAGCATCAGAAGAGATTTGAACACCATTGTCGACAGAACCATAGACGATGGAGTTCTCGTCTTGGCGACGGAAAATACCAGGAACGATGCTTTGAGCAACGATACGTTCGCCCTTGTAATCAACAATGACACTAGCTAAAGTGTACAAACCTTCAGAGTCGATGCTATTCAGAATCTTGACGCCCTCAAGATCTTTGCTAGTAGCAACGTGAGCTGCTTCATCAGCACCGAGTTGCTCAAAAGTGCCACGACCATCATTTCCCTTACTGAAGAAGATGTTGTTGTAAATGTACATGTGAGATTCTTCGGCTTCAAGAGGGTTCAAAGGAATGACAGAGCCATTAGCAACGGCCATAGCGCCACGGACAGCAGCCTCAGTGAATTCAGCTTGCACTTTGGTAATCAAACGCTCACGCAATACTCTTTCTTGCAAATCAGTCTTTGGCAACTCACGGTGAGATTGGAGTTCGTCGTTCCAATCACGGAGACTCTCCACAGCATCAGCACCGGCATTCAAGTAGGTTTCGCAAGGTCTGGAGGGGTCGTACAAGTGTTGGGGTGCCTCCACAGCCCAAGGATGATTGGGATAGTAAGTGTTGACGGGGAGCACTTCCAGCATGTGGTGACGAGTGATGAAATTTTGCAACTCCAAAAACTTCTTTTGGAAGAGTGGGGAGATCTTTTGCAACAGAGTGATGAGAGAGTGAGCAGAGGCTCTCTTGGTGTAGCTGGGAGCAGGGTCAAACTTGTTGTTGGTTGAGTTGTTGACAAAGAAGCCCTTAGTGGAAGCAGTAATGTGGATAATCTCATTCTCCAAGGTGGTTACTGCCAAATACAAGAGGTCGCCCTTCAGCTTTTGTTTGTGAGGCACTGGGTTCCACCCAGAGAGAGTCAAGCTCTTGATACATTCAGGGGCCACTCTTTGAAAGTTGCTGGGAACAAGCTTGGAAAGCTCGGAGCGTTCCTCGATATTGACGTTGGTGAATGCATGTTCGGGAATAGGTTCATCAGAGAACAAATCATCAATCTTCTTGTCAGCTTCAGCAACAATTTCCTCGTCTGCAAAAGAACACAAGAGTCAGTAACATTGCCCTGAATTTATAATCCACAACTTACCAATTTCGCCTGTAATAGCGGTCAAAAATGAAATGGCAGGATCAATGCCGATAGTAGAGGGATTGGGCTTGTAGGGACCACCCAACAAATCGCGGAGACGACTGATGTGGAGTCTAACATCGCGTTCAGTGTAATTGTCTACACAGACACAAAATGAGCACTTTCTACCCTCGTCCATTTTGATTATTGCAACTCACCTTCAACCAACTCGAGCTCGCTCTCGGTTGTAATACCATCAATTTCGCCCAATTCAAGGTAATCATTCACTCGTGCACCCTTATAGGCTAAATAAAAGCAAGAGTTGGCGCACGTATCAGGAGATTCCATGATAGATTGCTTGATATCCTGGATATTTTCACGAGGACTGGCCTATAACGCATCCAAGCAAACGTCAGACGGCGCTCTCTCTCTCTCTCTCTCTCCACCCTGATTTGTAACAAAGCAACTTACAATGATCTTGATATCTTCGCCTCCTCCAGGCAATTTCACAGTGAGTTGATAGGTTTCTTCAAGAACTATCATGTTGTATAGAGAGTCAATCAAGGCATGCCATAGTATGCAGCATGTCCCAATTTACCTTCTTCAGGGACTTGTTCCTCGACTGTCACCTGTTGTTCCTTTTCTTGTACGTCGGTCATACTATGGCCAGAACATTCATTAGATTATGCTACGCGAGGGCTAATGCTGTCTCCATTCCACTTACATTGTAGCTGATGTTTTCTCTAGACAGTTGGTTGTTAAAGAGAAAGGTGAAAAGAGAATAGAAAAAGGAAATAAAGTTGAATTTCTTTTTGCGATAAATTTATAATATAAACTAGGGGTGGAGGTTGTCCGTCCGCTCGCTCGCTCGCTTTTTTCAAAGCGATGGAGAAAGTTTATATCTGGGTTGAAATAAACTCGTCTTTCATTCTTGATGTGAAGGCAAGTCCATGTTGAGAAAAACACAAGTCATTAACCACATGTATAACAGCTCCATGTCAACATTTAAGGTTAATATGAGAGCCTCTATCAAAGCCTTAAATTTCAACATTTATAGTTTTGGAGAGATCGAGATGTTCAAGCAGGGCATCCCCACCCCCACCCCAGCGTGGGCAAATTTGCTGTCAGCTGTTGGTACCCTGGTTTGATCCAACTCCGTTTGATGCGTTGATTTCTTTCCTGCAATTCATGCAAAATAGAAAATGAAAACTTTCTTTTATTTGAAATAAAGCATAATGGAGGGGTCAAATGTCTAAATAATACGAATGCTCTTTCTGCACCATCTCTTTCTTCTCTCTGCCTTGAGCTTTGCTTCAATCAAATCAAACACGCGGCTCTCTACATTGGACAGCCTAACATCCATATCGTCATCCAATAGGCTCATCTCATCTTCCAGGCTGTAAAAGATGTTTCCTACTTCCTCGCGAAGTTCATCTTGATCTTCTTGTAGATTCTTTGCCTCTTCTTTGATACCCTTGACATAGTTCTTGATACGCAATTGGTTTGTCAATGTCTTTCTCTTAAACTGCTTCATTTTTGCATCCAGATCATAGCGTGCTCTCTCCAGGTCTTGTATTTTTTTTGCCTCTGATGCCTTAAAGTCATTGGTACCCATACACGCCTGCACATTGAATAAGTCATGCTGTGAACGGGCGCTTATTACTTTGAGCTCGCTGACTTTCGACCTGCCTTTCTGGTAGTGAAGAAGAGAATTTCGACTTGATCTTGACAGAGACTTTGGTACAGATGTTTTGCGCTTGTGATACTACTGTAAATTTTAAAAGCCTGTTGAAACATGCTCGTATTTGCTTTCTGAATACCTTTTTAGTTACATAACGAACTGTCGTTTTGTTGCTTTCTTCTATTTTGTCTCGTAGCATCATCATTTCTATATTGAGCGTCATTAGTATCTTTCCAGTGTCACTGCGCCCTGATGTAATATTTGTCGTACCTTTTTGCAAGATGCCAAGCTCCTTAAATGGCCCTGAATAGAGGTGTTACTAATCTAAATAATATCACGTTGCATAATCGAAAACTTACCCTTCATTTATGAAATCCAAATAGTGTAGCTGTCTGTACTGCAATTCCAAGAAACATTGAAGTAAATAGCTTTACAATATCCATTTATGAGCTAGAGATTTTGTTTTAAAGCTGGAAATCCTCTTGCAACTTTCCGGTATAAATATGAAAGCAATTGCTGACCATTATTCTCTACAAGACAAACAAGCCTACAATGCAAACACGTCATACAACACACTAAGCTTTAAACCACAAAGAGCTTTGTTGTTTTCGAACAATCAATGCAACCGGTGATTGTTAATACAATAATGGGTATATATATATTGGTGATTATCCCAGCAGCATTTTTTAAAAGCTTATAATACAGCTCGAAAAAGTATTGTACCTGGCTCGATTATTTTGTCTAGCGAATGTTAGATGGATACACAAATACGCACATGTACGCCAAACAAGGAGTATTTTCAAATAAGCTTTTGGTCTATTCCATTGAAATACCATTTGTGGTATTCAATTTTTCTTGTAGATAGGAGATGCGCTATCTCCTCTAGTGCATTTGTAAACAACTTGATGCCATTCGAATGACGATATGAATTAATTAAGCCTTTCTTATTCATGTGCGCTAGAGAACAAAGTGTGTACCTCTTAGGGCGTTCTTGTAAGAACTATCTTCTGTTGTCCTCCTATGTACATTATCCACCCTGAAGTAAGTTACAACCCTGGTAAATGGTTGCACAACACGCTTAGCTGCGTGTTGTTTAGATCGATTGATCTAATATATATACTGTAAAACATTCAAAAAAAAAAAGAAATCGTATCCTTTCAAAAATTTTAAAGAATTGTGAGCCGTACAAGGTGAATAAACCCACCAGCAAAGCCGGCAATAGGGAGGGGGTTTCGGGGAAGAACATAACGCATCTAATTCAACACTTGATAGCATTGATCTATATGGGGGCTTAATTGCATCTACCAAAGATGTGATTCATGCTGTGTAAGTAAACTCTATAAAGCACATAACCAAATTTGGCAGCTTCCAAGCCTTCATATCTTGACATGTAGATCTTTCTGAGCCACCGGAATAACGCCAAACAATTGTACTCGAGTATTAGTAACTTCCTGACACCTTTGCTCAACTTTTTGAGCCAAAAAAAACATGGCCAAAAATCGACCAAAAACCATGAGGTACCCCTCATGGTTTTTATCAAAAATCAAACGATTGCGTTTTTGACCTCAAAAATGAAGACTTTTACTAAGGTATATATCAAGTCAAAACGTATCTCTCGATCCAAAGCAACCCCTGAAACCACTTTTGCAAGACCTTGAGATGCAAAATCTCGACATTTTGGCCAAAAACCTCATTTCGTGTTTTCGAAAACTGCTCAACAGAGTTATTCAAGACATTTTTCATATTTATCATCGCTAGTTGCGCCTTGAAAAATACTTTTAGAAAGCTTAAGGAAGGATTGAATGATCATTACATTTTACATAGTCAAATCCTTCAAAATAGATCAATCAAGTCGCAAAATAATTAGAAATCAACGAATCGAGACAGAATGTCGAGCGGAGAATCAATCAATTTCTGGCTGGCAAAATGTCTTTCCGAATAGTTATATTTTGCGCCTTCGGAGGGCTGAGCATTGCGCATAACAAAAACCTCTCTGCATATTGAGGTGATTAACATACATTTGCTGTTCTTAAATAGAAGGTTTATTGCCAACAGATGTAAGGTGTTAGAACTGGGTAGAGTTGCGCAGCTTTTATTTGTATTGCTTCATGACCATATGAAGTCTTCTTCATGCAAAGCATGCCATGTACATAGAGAACTGATCCCACCATTTTTTGACGCTTCCCATCTAAATATTCACTGCTGTTCCTGCTCATGCCTGTGCCGAGTTTTGCTGCACCTTACGCCATGAAAAGAATACATGTATCCAATGTCTAAAAAATACGAAATAGAACATTATGGAATACACACAAAATAACATCATGGGAGCTGCGTGTTTTTTATGCTTGCAATGTGTGTACAGCACTTTACTACATATACAGTTTTATTGCCTGGTATGACGAAATGAAGCGACAGAATTCAACACGTTCCGTTTTATGAGGCTTTATTTTTATAACATAGATGACATGGATCTACTCCAAAGTTTCATGTAATGCAGTGCTGAGGAGTTTATCAACTTAATCAAATAGACAAATATGGGTGTTGCTTCCATATATAGATTCCTGTAGGCGTACATTTCCTTATATCTCGTTTATACAGAGATGGACACATAAAAGGAGAAAAAGTCATTCTTTACTGTGTGCCTATGTCCAATTTAAATGTAAGTTGGGGTAAAGTGCGATAACGAAAAAACGGGAGGGGGTGGGAAGAGGAGGAAGGGATTTGTTGTTTGAATTAATGCAAACAAATCTGCCGTGCACAGAGGAGGAGATGCAATTCCAAACTATAAAGTGGGTGATATTAGCATGGCCTGTTTGTTCTTGGATTGGGATTTACATGATTCGAGACCACATGCTTCATATTCTGACAATCCTGTGTATAGAAAAGAGTAAATTGAGAAGCGTTACATACAACAAATCAATTAACATATGATATTCTCGTTTTCGTTCACGTTTCGTTTGGAGAACAAACAATCATATATTTGCATGTGCTCTTGTCAAGATGCTACTGTGTATGCCCTGAATTTGGCATGACTGTAACTTCATGATTCACGTTACATGATGTGTTGAAGCGGTTGTGTATACAATCCTATAAGGCCCATCATCTCACAACTATCATCATCATCTCGCAAATGATTGTATATTTAGATTATTGTATATATTTATACACGAGTCCTTTCGTCTCCTTTATTCTCATTTCAATCTTGACCTGTAAAACAAATGATCAAACATGCATACAGTAGCCAACGAGAAGAAAATGAGGCTTCGATCAATGGATTTGCGATTCCAAGCGAGTGAGTGATCTGCATCAGTTAGTTTAATATATCTGCTGGACATTTTAGGATCACTGATAGCAAAAGCAGAGTGCAAGCACAGAGATTAAACGCAAATAAAAGGAAGAGTGTGCTCACTAGTGTCATTCACTGCAACATTGGATCCAAACTTGTCAATATAAAGAGCTCTGACTATATGAAAATACAGATTACGGTTTCTGAAACCATATGATCTAAAGAGAAAGGGATTTAGCAAAAACTTTTAGTATGGTCTGCTGCTGCTTGCTTCTGCTTCATGCTTCTTTACAGTTGATTTGATTTAAATCTATGATATACAATGACAGCTGACTAGGGACATCATGAGACGCATCTATAAACAAAGGGCAATGTACACTTTACATGTCCTAGTAGATTACTCATGTATACTGTATGTATATTACATGTAGTGCGCCGATAGCTGTATACAGTATACATCGATGTCATGTTACAATACAACAGTAATCTGTGTGATAGAATAAACGGTGAAGCGTTGGTATCATTCAAGTATATAACGAATGGGATTTAATCGAGTAGTTTATTCGATAAAAAACAAGGCCACAGACATGACATTTTGCACACACGCAGACAAAGAGGTGTCTTGTTTGTTTATTTAATTCAACACAGAGTCCATCCGAGAATAGCGATGACAGCAATAAGATGAAACAGAAATAACAGTTTAAAGTTTTTGTTGTACAAGTTTGGAGTTTAACTTATCATGGGATAATTGAAAAAAAAAAAAACGGATTTGTTGTATGATGGAATAGAGACATTTGAGAACATCTGTTTCCAAAAGATATCATCTATGCAATACCAAGTATATGATTGCCTGATTCTTAGTATCATGTTACTAGCCGATCTATCTCGCTACGCTCGATGACGGCGTCGCCCTGCGGGCTCTGGCCGAAGACATTTCAAATCAGAGATAATAAAAATTTGGTATATCAAGTAGGTTTTAAACAATGATTATATTCGATTCGAAGATTTTAAAACAAAAAATAGACTTGAAACTTGATTGAGACGACAGGAGTTGGGAGTTACAGACCAACTTTTTTTATACAGCATTTATATTATATAATACTTCTGGGTAGACAACATTCTCTGTCCGAGTCGCATTTTCTGGCAGTAGAATTGTCATACCATTTGCAGATGTTGCTCTCGAGATGGCAACATAGAGTTGGCCATGTGTGAAAACAGGACTCCTGAGGTCTACAGCGACTTTTCTAAGGGATTGCCCCTGAGACTTGTTGATTGTCATCGCAAAAGACACTTTTACAGGGAACTGTTTCCTAGTCAAAATAAATGGTAATGTACCAGGCAATGTTGATAATGTAAAGCGAGGAATCAACTCTACTGCACCTGACCCTCCGAGGATTTTCACCTTGAGGACATACTGTCCAATTTGCTGAATGATCAGCCTTGTACCATTGCACAAACCTCTTTCAGGGTTGAGGTTTCTCAAGAGCATTACAGGAAGACCTACTTTCAACTCCAAAACTGCTGGCGGCAGCCCTGAAGGCGAAAGGGTTTGCAAATACTCTGAGGG